TGATCTGAGACACAGTCTCCAATCTCCACAAAGTACTTCCTGTCTTCAAGGTAAGACCTAAACCAACTTAGGGCGGTGCCAGCGACTCCAACCCAGTCCTCTAATCTATGTAAGAGGATCTCATGGTCGACGGTGTCAAAGGCAGCACTCAGATCTAACAAGATTAAGATTGAGACTTTGCCTGCGTCAGTGTTCAGCCGGATATCGTTTGTAACCTTGACAAGAGCAGTCTCAGTGCTGTGGTGGGGTCTAAAGCCGGACTGAAACATATCAAATGAGTTGTTGATTATAAGAAATCTAGTAAGCTGTAGGTAGACAACTTTTTCAAGGACTTTCCCCATAAATGGCAGATTTGAGATGGGACGATAGTTGTTAAGTACCGTAGCATCCAGGCTGCTCTTTTTTAGCAGGGGCCTGATGACTGCAGTTTTCGGCCCTCCGGCACTTTCTCTTTTGTGCCCTGACCGAGTCTGCTTTAGCCCACGGCGCCTTCTGCTTATTTTTCACTATTTTAACCTTCACAGGGGCAACGGTATCCAGAACATTCAAAACACTAGAGGTGACAGAGTTAAACAGTTCATCTACAGTAGAATACGATGCATTCTCAAAGTTTATCATTCCCATAAATAGATCACTCGTATTTTCATTTATGTGTCTTCTTCGAACAGTTGCAGAGTCCACTGGTGGTTTGTTAGTGAAACACATGTCAAAAAATACACAGAAATGATCCGAAAGAGCAACATCGACCACGCTTATATTTGAAATATTCACCCCCTTTGTAACTAACAGGTCTAGAGTGTGCCCTCTGCTGTGGGTGGGGCCACTCACATGCTGAGTGAGACCAAAGGTATCAAGTAAAGAACTCAGCTCTTTTGCATTTCTGTCATCAACATTATCCACATGAATATTAAAATCACCTGTAATAACTAAACTATCAAAATCTGTGCATACAACAGAAAGCAACTCGGTAAAATTATCAATAAAACTGTGACATGACTGCGGTGGCTTGTATAGGACTATGAAGAGTATTGGAGGAGATTGTTTTTGTTGTATTTTAAAAGACACATATTCAAAAAACGGAAACTTCCCAAGAGACATTCTATGGGAGACAAAGTGGTCTCTAAAAATGGCAGCTAAGCCTCCTCCTTTTTTGTTTTCCCGTATTTCAGATTCAAACTTGAAATTTGGTGGTGATGCTTCTATTAAAACTGCATTTTCTGTATTTTGGTCAAGCCATGTTTCAGCCATGAACATAAGATCAAGATTATAAGAACAAATAAAATTATTGATTAAAAAAGACTTGTTAGAAAGAGATCTGACATTTAGCATAGCAAGTTTCAAAGTTTCAGTATCAGCGGTTGTGGTCGGCTGATTCTTACACGGAACAAGAATTAGATTTTCCAGATTAGACTGATTAACTCCAGATGTCTTTCTGTAATGTATTCTTTGTGTTATCACTAAGGGAATGGCCCAGGTGGCTTCATGACAGGGCCCCAGCCGGGTCTCTCCTCTAACTAGACTGCCAGTGGCTGCGAAGCAGAGACCCTGTGCATCCTAGGGAGAGGAGGGAGGAGGATGGAGAGGTGGGTGGTTCTTGGGTGTTGGACGAGGGGGGGTTGGAGGTGGATGGGTGTTAGGGGAGGGGCAGGAGTTGGGAGATGGACGAGGGGGGAGTGGAGGTGGAGGGGTTCTTGGTGATGGGAAACGAGGGGGGGGTGGGGGTGGGGCTGGAATGGTTTTGGGGTTAGGGGAGGGACCTGTGGATTTTGCGGGTGAATTCGAGTTAGAATTTGAGGGACGGGTGGATTTTTGGGGAGAATTTGAGTTGGACGCCCTAGGTGGCTTTGGAGGTACGTATGGGGAGAAGTTATGAATGTTAGATAGGACCCTTGATCTGGCTACAGTGGGTGTGAGAGGAATATTCTTCATCGCCGATCTTATCATGCCTGCAGAGTGTTCCGGTAAATCCAATAGTGATGGAAAACACAGGGAAAGGTCGTCCTCATGTTCCTTAGATGGAGTGGATGTAGCGGGGGGGACCCAAACCGGGTCCATGGAAGGTGATGAGGGAGTCTTTGGTGGAGACGGAGGTGGTTGAGAGGCCCCCAGTGCAGGCCTGACTGTAGCCTGTAGCAATGGGGGGGGCTTCACGGGAGCTGTAGGTGGGGAAGGTGCTGCTGAAGATGATGCAGCAGCCACAGCTGGTGCTGGTGGTGCTGATGCTGAAGGCGCTGATGACGCTGTGGCAGCCACTGCTGCTGCTGGTGCTGGATCCTTTGCTGATGATGATGCTGGTGGACGTGTTGAGTTCTTTTGAGGCGGTGGAGGTGCCGAGACCTCTGGGTTCCGTGAGGGTCTCGCCCTTTGTATCCTCCTCTCTTTCAACGGCTGAACGCGCTGCGCAGGCTGAGGTCTTAAGGCAGATGCAAAGTTATCCATCAACACTTTTACTCCGTATTTGTTCAGATGTGGGCCTTTCCCTTCAAAGAGCTCGAGCCTATTCCAGAACAGATTGAAGTTTTCAATGAATCCAAGTCCTCTGCGTGAACACTCATTGTGTAGAAATGAATTTAACTGGTACAGACGGCTAAACTTCTCAATTTTTCCATCTGCATTTGGAATGGGGCCACTGATTAGCACGTTTAACTCCATTTTTTTAAGGTCATCCAGCAGCAGAGTAAAATCTCTTCTCAACTTCTCGGTGGATTTCTCATAAATGTCTACTGCCCCTGTGTGTATCAACAATGTACTTACATCCTTGGTTTGAGATAAAACTTTTGGCACCAAAGCTCTTATCTCAGACACTCTGGCTGAGTGCAAAGAATAAGTCTGTACAAAGTTCAAAGATACATTCCGAATGGCTGAATCTCCAAGCAGCAAACACCGTGGCCTTGACGGAGGGGGAGAAACAGACTGTGGCTTTGCTTCTTCAAACAGAGCAGCATAACGATTTGAAGTTTTGCAAACATTTCGTGGCAGAATTCCACTCCCATTGTCATTCTTAGCTTTGTCAACTTTGGGTTTAGCGCCGCATTTATTCCAATAGTTCTCTTTGTTGATTTTGGGAAAAGTAATTACGTCATCATAACTTACATTTCCAGTCTGTCCATTCATTCCATTTTCACACATTGGAAGAGTCGGGTTAAGTCCCATTTCTGTTTCCAAAATATCCATCCGTTTTTGAAGAAATTTGAGCTCATTTTCCAGAGAGCAGCAGCCATCGCAGATTTGTCTTCGTTTCTTCCGTCCGGACATGATTAATGTTGACAAATTTCACAAAGCTGAAGTCTGCAGAAGGAGTAATATACAAACAATACCCTCAATAACACAAATCAAACATAGACATGAACACACGACTGTTACAAACTCAACAACAATAAAGACAAGTCAGACTCACAGACAAAGAACAAGAGGCCAGCAGTGGGCAGCAAGAGGTGAGGTGATGACAAACCATGTATTATTGTATAGGTGAGGCAGAGATGTGAGTATTTGACCATGTTTTCCCAACTGAGTAAATGATGCTTTTGTAAAAGTGGACAGTGATGTGAGAGTGGTTTGTGATCCAGAGTTTTTATGGTGCGTTTGTCGAGGGACAGGATGGGTTTGAGAGACAGTTTAACAGTAGGTTAGATGTGAAATGATCATTGAGTGCATGCACAGGTAAACGGGTCAACGCATCCCATTGGTTTATTTTTATCGGTCCACTCCAAAATGTTTTTTGAAAACACATGATTACTTGATACTTTTAGGGTTTAGGGACGTTTTCCAACAATATTTAAATAAATGTGTCTGGAAAAAAATCACTGACTGCATCTTTAAGTCTCATCTAAAGACCCACTCCATTGTAGATTTGGCTTTATGTTTTGGATCATTGTCCTGTTGGAAGATAAATCTCCGTCCCAGTCTCAGGTCTTTTGCAGACTCCAACAGGTTTTCTTCCAGAATGGTCCTGTATTTGGCTCCATCCATCTTCCCATCAATTTTAGCCATCTTCCCTGTCCCTGCGGAAGAAAGGTTTGACAGTGGGGATGGTGTGTTCAGGGTGATGAGCTGTGTTGCTTTTACGCCAAACATATCGTTTTGCATTGTGGCCAAAAAGTTCAATTTTGGTTTCATCTGACCAGAGCACCTTCTTCCACATGTTTGGTGTGTCTCCACGAGACTTTTTATGGATATCTTTGAGAAATGACTTTCTTCTTGCCACTCTTCCATAAAGGCCAGATTTGTGCAGTGCACGACTGATTGTTGTCCTATGGACAGACTCTCCCACCTCAGCTGTAGTTATCTGCAGTTCATCCAGAGTGATCATGGGCCTCTTGGCTGCATCTCTGATCAGTCTTCTCCTTGTTTGAGATGAAAGTTTGGAGGGACGGCCGGGTCTTGGTAGATTTGCAGTGGTCTGATACTCCTTCCATTTCAATATAATTGCTTGCATAGTGCTCCTTGAGATGTTTAAAGCTTGGGAAATCTTTTTGTATCCAAATCCGGCTTTAAACTTCTCCACAACAGTATCTCGGACCTGCCTGGTGTGTTCCTTTGTCTTCATGGTTCTCTCTGCGCTTTAAACAGAATCCTGAGACTATCAAAGAGCAGGTGCATTTATACGGAGACTTGTTTACACCCAGGTGCATTCTATTTATCATCATCAGTCATTTAGGACAACATTGGATCATTCAAAGATCCTCACTGAACTTCTGGACTGAGTTTGCTGCACTGAAAGTAAAGGGGCCGAATAATATTGCACGCCCCACTTTTCAATTTTTTATTTGTTAAAGTTAAAATTATCCAATAAAGGACGTTCCACTTCTCGATTGTGTCCCACTTGTTGTTGATTCATGACAAAAAATTAAAATTTTATATATTTATGTTTGAAGCCTGAAAAGTGGCAAAATGTTGAAAGGTTTAAAGGGGCCGAATACTTTCGCAAGGCACTGTATATAATAACAATAACAATAAATAATAATAAAGTTATATTCTATTGTTGTGTGCTCTACAGGTGGATGACCCTCCTCTACACTCCCCAATCCTCTGTCATCATGAACGCCTCTCACCCGAACGCCTCCACGCCGCTCTGCTACTCCATCAACAGCCCGCCTTTCGCCTACCACCCCACCATCGCCTCCGCCTACTTCTCCTCCGTCTTCAGCGCTCTGGGCCTCACCTCAAACCTCGTGGCCGTCGTGGTCCTCCTCCAGTCCTTCCGTCGCACCAAAAGCCGCTCGCGCTCCTTCTTCCAGGTCTTCCTCTGCGGTTTGGTCCTCACAGATTTCTTGGGCCTTCTCGTAACCGGCTCGATTGTGGTGTCATTTCACGTCACCCATTTTAACTGGCGGGAAGTGGACCCCAACTGCCATTTCTGCAACTTCATGGGCATGTCCATGGTCTTCTACGGCTTGAGCCCGCTGCTTCTTGGTGCGACGATGGCGATCGAACGCTTCATTGGAATCAACTGTCCGTTTGCAAGATCCCAATCCATGTCCAAGACGAGGCCCGTGGCCATGGTCCTGATGGTGTGGATGATCGCTGGCTGCATCTCTTTGCTTCCAGTCTGCGGAGTGGGGAGCTACCATATGCAGATTCCTGGTTCATGGTGCTTCTTTAATATCAGTTCGGTCGGCGTGGATAAGGTCTTCTCGCTGGTTTTCTCGCTGGTTGGGTTGGCGTGTTTGGCGGTGTCGTTTGTGCTGAATACCGTGAGTGTGGTGACTCTGATCCGGGTCTGCTGTGGACCAGGGGGAGACCAGAGGAGGCGAGACCATGAAATAGAAATGATGGTGCAACTTCTTCTCATAATGGTCATAGCTTCAGTCTGCTGGTGTCCACTTCTGGTAAGTTCCATATGGTTTTTTATAACAATATATTTTCTATGCATTTTTCTGTACGGGTAATGGTCCCTGCACTGAAAAAATAACATCTTGGTCAGATTTATTCACTAAAAATAACATAAATGCATATTTTTGTTGTTGCTTGAATGTAGTTTGTCATAAGATTATTTTACTAGTTTTAAGATAATAATTCTTCATAATCTTATTTGAAAAAGTCTGAGCAGTGAGTTTTTAAGCTTGTTTTAACATTTTTTTCTTATTTCCAGACTTTTCTTGTTTAGATAAAATAAGTTTGATGCTGTATTTTAAGAAAACATCAACAAAATTTAAGAAATAAGTAAATAATACTTGAAATGTATGTTTTTAAACTAGAATCAAGTCTTGGCTCTGTCACATCCGTGGACAGACGGGTCTTCACAGTAAACACTAAAATCACCTTTAATTCAGAAATGTCCAAAACCAATCTCAGCGACATTTCAGGAAACTCAATAACATCTGTTGCAAGAAGCAGCAAAAATATTCTGCTTTTTCATTTCAAGGTCCGTTAGACTCTCGAGCCCTTCCTTACAAATGCTGTAGGTTTTAAAAGTCGTCTCATATGTCTCTGCTTAGATAAGATAAGTACATTCCTCGGTGTTTTCTCAAAGTTAAAAATGGGATTCTAATGAAATACAAGTTGGTTTGACTTGTCTCATTACAGGTAAAACTGACCTGTCCCTAACCTCAGCCCTTAAGGATGATTTTAAAAATAGAAACCATGTGTTTAAATAGTATTTTCTGTCTCTTTTTCATCTCTCCACGGCCGATTTCCTCTCAGCAATGTTACATGTGATAGAAATCTACAAGGATGAAAGACATTGTTACAACTGTTTTGGTCAGAGGGAACAGCTGGAAGTGATCTTTGACATCAAATAGTTTTCAGTTTCAATTTTATTTCTTCTTCGGTAACCACATTCAAAATAAATATTACGTATTGGTTTACAGAAAAATACAGATACATGATTGACCGAAGGGGTTTAAGCTGAAGTATAAACGTATTTATACCCCTATTTCTGTGGCATTATCACAATATTACATCGTCCATGGATAATCACCAATCCGTCACAGACATCGTATAAATGTTAATATTAGTTTGTCGGGTGAGTCCTCCTCTAACAGCGCTGGTGTGACAGGTCTTCACTGTGGAGAGTTCTGTGACTGAGGCTCGGTTCTCTGATGAAATGTTACTGTTCTACATTCGTATGGCCACCTGCAACCAGATCCTGGACCCCTGGATCTACATCATGTGCCAATGGGCTAAGCTCAGGCGAGTTCATGTGGTTCAGTGTGGAGTCAGCTCTGGTTGTGATTGGCTGCCTCCTCATCATCGCCCGGAATGACAACTCACTGTGCTTATGTGTTTGCCTCACATCATTACATTTAAATATTGTTCATATTTTCATGCCTTTTAACTAATGGTGTCCAAACATTTCTGGTCCTGGGATGCGGAGATTGAACGAAAAACGTTGAATGTATCAGAGCCTCAATATCAGACACACCATGGGTCACCAACTGTTTTAAATCCAAGCACCATCAAAAGATTGCAAAATGAATCCAGGGTAACTTTATATTGTAGCACAATGCGGACAAAGATCAAAAACTGATAGGAATGCACCGATACCACTTTTTTCCAAACTGATACCTTAATTCCAGTACTTGCCGATACCGAAACGACTTCTGCATTGTGTTATCTCTGGGAATTCACACACACTCATTCGGTGTGTGTGTGTAGGGGACGTATCACTCAAAGGCAAAGAAATATATACGCTCTCAATCCCCATATAGTTTGAACACCTCTGCAATAAACTATCTGTACTGTATTCTAACAAACCCACAACATGCTGCCAACCAAACATCGGGTGCCGCTTTTATTACAAATACATTTTTTGGATGCAGAGAAATATTGAAAGCATATATAAACATGGTAAATGTCTGTTTCTATGTCCAGTGATCCATCATAAAACGACATATGCAGTAAAACCATGCGAATACAGACAGTTATATTCTCTGTCTCTGAAAAAGGCTTGACTTTCTGCTCAGAAAAATACACTTTATCCACTGTGGGATTCCAGACGTGATGATGTTAGGAACTGGACAGTGCAAGATTTCTGGAATGTGTTTTTGCATGTACTTCCTGTTAGTATTTCTTATAGATATGGGTTTGTTCACATTAAAGTTACAAAAGTGTGACAGAAAAATATTTGCCAAACATGTATTTGTCAATCTTTTTTTCAATCTTTAATTTTATCCACACTATCTCTTTGCTTTGTCTGTGTTTTAAAACTTTTCTCTTATATATGATTGATATTAAATTTAGTATTTGAGTTATAACCTTTTAAAGTCCTTTACTGTGAACACACCCATATAGTCTTTCTATGTCGTTAACCCATCATCCATGCATTATTACTTTATGGAGGCAGCTGTAAAACTGGGTGTGAGATATATTTGAATTTTGCTTCTTCTCTTCACTCTTTCTGTTTTTCTTCCTGTTTTATACCCATGTCTTGTCTGTCTCAATTCTTTCGTTCCTTTCTCTCGATAGGTCTTTGTTGCACAGACTGTTTTGTCGGGAAGGCTGCTGCAGATCAAGTTCCTGCTGCTCTGGCTTCGCTTTGCCACATGGAACCAGATCCTTGACCCATGGGTGTACATCTTATTCCGAAGAGCGGTTCTTCAGAGGATCTATCCAAACCTCCACTGGTCCCGGCGCTCGATGCTGACACTGTACCCGTCTCTGAGGAGCACTGTGCGGAGACTGACCAGGACCTCCTCTGCCGGGGACCACGACCACAACCACCGAGAAGCCAAAACCACCACCGTTACTGTCCGGAAGAGCAGCGATAACAGGCACTGATGGTTTCAAATGGTCTCAATGGGGCCTAGGGCTCAGGGCCAGGATGGTGCAATGTTCATTTAAAGCTGGGGTATCTAACTTTTAAACCCTTATAAAATGTAATTGGTTCACTCCGCATTAAACTGTACTAATGTGTGTCCACGGCCGTTACTGCTGAATGTTCAGACTCTTATTTAATTCCTTGTTTGTCCAGTGGAGGGCGCTCTACTTAAACACAGTCGTTCACGCCGTAACAAGTGGACGAAGTGTTATGTTCAAAATGCTCGGTTTTTCTGCAGTTATTGAACCACTTTGTTTTGCATAATGTACAATCTACAAGCCCCGGTGATCCAAGATGGCGTCCTGTTCAAATGAATGGCTTGTGCTCAGTAGTGCATGTGACAGACACGGGGATCGGGAGATTAGCGGAACTCGCCCATATTTGGTCATCGTCTGGTCCTCCCGGTTCTGTGCAGTGGACGAGTTCCTATGATGCTTTGCTCCAAATACGCGTGTGTGGCTCTCATGCACGTGCACAGAGGGGCTTGGCCGCGCTCTGACCAATCAGCGCTGCTGATCAAAGCAGCAGCAAAGCGGAGTCAGAGTGGGAAGGAAAGGAGCAGAGTTTGTGGCAGTAAAGTGTGGATTTAAAGAAAACCGAAGGATATAAGAAGAAAAAAGGGACACTAAAATCCACACAAAATCCAATTGTGATGAAAGCTGTAGGTTCTCTGTCAGGTTCTCTGTCAGCTGAGGTTGAGCTGCTTTAGTTTACATTGAGCTCTATAGGACTTTTTTCTGGGTAGCCCACATAAATTTAGTCTGCAGTACCACAGCGCCCCTTGTGCCCATGGGTGGGACAACTATAAGCTAGTAATACTAAATTCTGATATTATTATAGATCCATGATAATCTTTAATTAGAGATTGATTCTAGTTTCATCCCCAACCATAAACCATTTAATAGTCTTCTCTGCCCTGTAATTCTTCCATTCACAAAGCCTGCAACAGAACATGTCTGAGTGGTTAGCACTCTCGCTTCTCAGCAAGAAGTTCATTAGTTCAATCCCGGTCAGAACAGGGCCTTTCTCAGTGGAATTTGCATGTTCTCCTCGTGTCTGCGTAGGTTTCCTCCGTGTGCTACAGTGTCCCCCTACCACTAAAAACATGCAGAATAGGTCTGAATGTAAAAGAGTGTGTGGATAGTGTTGATTGGGGGCTTTGATCCAGTGTGTTCTGCGTCTCACTTCTGTCATCACCAGGTGTGGACGGATTGGAACAAACTCTGAATATTGTAAATCGCTTTGGGTGACATTGGTCTGTAAAATGCTCTATATAAATAAACCTAAATGTCCTAAATGTAACAATTGTGTCCCCAAAGTTCAATAAATTTTTTGAAAGACCTGTATGTTTCTTAGTTTTGAGCACATCTAAGATTATCTTGTGCATATCTTTAACCAAAACCTAAGAATTTTGAAGTACAAACATTTTTGCTACATACATGTATTTGATTACCGCATTGTACAGTTTAGTTTGGAGTGAGCCAAATACATAATAAAACACTTCTAACCAGTTCCTCTCAGACAGCTTGGTTCAGTAGTTTTCACATATCTGTCTTTTCGGTCTCTGTGACATCTTTTCAGATCTTTTAAAACCTTCAGACCTCTTTCTCTCTCTCTCGGCCAATCAGCTCTCAACCCAGGTCTATATTGTTCAAAACATTTTTTCCTTTACAAAACTCTTTCTGTTGCGACAAACGGCAATTTATTATTAATGGGAAAAGGTCGGGGACTCCAGCATCAGATGTTATTGTCTACAGATGGGAGAATAACCCCATCATTACTACTACACATTTCACAAGCAGTAAACAGGAGCAGACGGCGTCCCTCAGCCAAGTATGCAAAGGTGATGTCACAAAGAATTCATTGTTATTGTTGCCATAAATCACCTGTGAAGTATAAAATGAAGGATGTAAAGTCTGAGTTCGGATCCTTCCAGGACTATAAACATGTCCACAGAGAGGTGGGACTTTGTCTGCAATACTTTATAAGGAAGGAAAGTTAAGGTTAGTCTGACCTAGCCTGGTCTTACCACACCATTGTACTCATTTCATTTCATACTATGGTCTGGATTTGCTCCGTTGACTCCGTTAACAGGTTAGTTATCAGAACTTCTTTTGCAGATTGAAACGATTGGATCTGACTTTACTGTGACGTATGAGTGGGTGAGGCATTTAGCATTTAGCCTAGCTTTAGCATTTAGCCTAGCTTTAGCCATCTCCTTTGCCACTAACGGAGCCCGTGGGGAGGAGAGCCACAACATCTTTGCTTCAATGACATTTACTAAACATTCCTCTTGCTCCGGCTTCAGTTTCTTAATATTTGGATTGAACCAGAACAGATTATTTTACTATCGCATTCTTCGACAAACTACAACCAGCAAATTCAGCACAAACTCTTGACGTCACCGACACCGACCTACAACACCCGCCTCCCCCGCTCTCTGATTGGTCGGAGGGGGTTCAACCGAGGAAACTGCAGCAACTAGGATCAGACCAAGCCCCGGGGATCCAAGATGGCGCCCTATTCAAATGAATGGTTGTGCTCAGTGGCGCTTTGTGACAGCATGGGGGCTGAAAGATTAGCGGAAGTCGCCTGGAACTCGCAAAGATCTATGGGAAACTCGCAAAAATCTATGGGAAACTCGCCTGTATTTGGGCATCGTCTGGTCCTCCCGGTTCTGCGCAGTGGATGATCTCCCATAATGCGTTGCGCCAAACACGCGTGTGTGGGTCTCACACCAGGTCTCACGCACGTGCACAGAGGGGCTCGGCCGCGCTCTGACCAATCAGAGCAGTTCATCAGAGCGGGAGTTAGAGCGAGAGCCAGACGGGCAGAGTTTGTGGCACTAAAGTGTGGATTTAAACAAAACCGAAGGATTCAAGAAGAAAAAAAGTTCAGGATGACAAAGAACCCTAAAATTCCCACGAAATCCAACCTTTATTAAAGCTGTAGGTTCTCTGTCAGCTGAGGTTGCGCTGTTTTAATTTACATTGAGTTCTATGGGGAAAATGTCTGGGTAGCCCACGTGAATTTAGTCTGGTTCAGTCTGCAGTACCGCGAGAATCCCCCGAGCACTTGGGTTCTTCAGCTCCAAGCTAGTAATACCCTATCCAGTTATTATAATAGATCCATGGATCAGACCCAGACGTACATGTAGGAAATGATCATGGACCAGAGTTTACACATGGTAAGACCAGTGGGGGCGGGTCCCGGCCAATGCTAACATATAGCATTGGCAGACCTCTCGAAAACGTCTTTCCAGGATGGTCCAAAAGTTGGCTCTTGGCCCAAAGCTCCGTTCCACATGTGTGTCAATGCTGAGGGGGGTGAATTTTTTTGGACCAGTCTAGTTTACTCGCTGTGAATTTTTGAAGTCCCTCGTTTAAATGAATGGGGCTCGTGCCGGCTGACGCATGCGCAGATGCGTTTTTTCACATTTTCCAGCCCCCGTGGCCATTTTTAATCACTCCATGAGGGCCAAATTTTTGGCCCATTAGTTAGAACGGCGGAGATAGGCGTGACTACGTCAGTTAATACTGTATATACAGTCTATGGGTAAGACCCAGACGTACATGTAGGAGATGATCATGGACTGGATAATCACTAAATCCAATGAAATAAAATGTAAAATATATATAATTTCACACATAAATCATGTAAATCTCTCCAGATTATAAATCGCACTCCCGGCCAAACAGCCAAACCATGACAAAGACTGCAACTTACAAAAAATATGGTAATATTCTTTCTTTTTCTAATGTATAAAGCTTGAGACAACTTTTGATACTATTATTAAACCGTCACTGTTTCAATGTCAACAATACAGACTCCCACATTCATTATACTCTGTCTGTATCATTACTATTGTGCACACTGTGAATAAATAATGTCTGTATCTGTAGCAGGTTTCGACAGAAATGTCACTAAACAACACTAAAAACAATGATGTGCAAGTGTCATATACTTTATTTACATTATTTCAAAGATTCAACGTCAAAAACAGGGACAAAATGAGAGGATTTGTCAATGATACAGTGTTGTAGAAAAACAAACAGAAAATGGCTTTGTTGTTTGATATTAATCTCAGCAAGTGGAGGGCTGGGATCCGGTCTGGTCTAAGCACCAGATGTCGTAAGCTACAGTCTGAGAGCTGCAAATATGGGATATATACATTCACATCAAGTTAATTAACCCCAATGTGTCACTCAAACATTGATCTAGATCCTGCCATTTTTCACGTCCCTAATAGCTCCCCAAACATCAAACAGGAAGACATCCGGGAACGCAAAGTCCCCGAGCACCGAGTCCAGCGCCTCCGCAAAGTCATCCGGGTTTTTCTTGTTTTTTCCAGCTTCCACTATAGTTGTAGCTAAAGAGACACACAAGATAGGACAAGATTTTATTGATCTCTGATGGACAAATGTACAGGTCACATTAGCACAGATAGAATCACCCAGATTGTGCAAAAGACAGAAGTTTAAAACATGTTAAAGGTAAAAAATAAAGTCTGTGCAGGACATAATTATGCCGTAGCACCAACTCGAAACCACTCCCCCTCGCCTCTCCACCAAACCACTCCCCCTTCCCTCCCTCTCCACCAAACCACTCCCCCTCCCTCCCTCTACACCAAACCACTCCCCCTCCCCTCCCCTCCCTCTACACCAAACCACTCCCCCTCCCTCCCTCTCCTCCAAACCACTCCCCCTCCCTCCCTCTCCTCCAAACCACTCCCCCTCCCTCCCTCTCCACCAAAACCACTCCCCCTCCCCTCCCTCTACACCAAACCACTCCCCCCCTCTCCACCAAACCACTCCCCCTTCCCTCCCTCTCCACCAAACCAAACATCCAGCATTTCATTTTCTTTGTCACAACAGGGAGAGTGAAGCAAACGTGAAATTGTAATTTTCTGTTCAGTCCTTTTAGGTTTTAGAAAATCCGATAACTCCGGTGCACTCGTGAGAAACAGGAAGAGGGTGAAGGAGGTAAACACATCCCATTGGTTCGTTGGAGATGAACAAATCCCATTGGTTTATTTTTATCAAACCACTCCAAAATATTTTTAATTGATTTTTGTAGACTATAGGCATCTGGTCAATTCCATTACTACAGAGTAACTTGATACTTTTAGGGTTTAGGGATGTTTTCCCACAATATTTTTAAAAAATCTGGAAAAAATCACTGAGTGACTGCATCCGTAAAGTGACTTATTGTACAGTCTGACAGTGGTGGGGATGAAGGCTCCTGGTGGTCAGAAAATACATTTACATTCTGAAACGGACACATAGGTGTTGTTGCTGTTGTGATGGTACGAGAACCAGGTGAGGAAGTCGTCTGCATTGTTTGGTGCCGTGTGTCAAAGGTTTGCAGCAAAAACAGTTAGACCTATGTCCTTCTCTGCCTTAAACTATTTAGGATTTATTATTCACTAAAATGAGTAATAAAAATGCTGCTAATTGGAAGGTTACAAACCAAAAAGATGACATAAAGGTGTCCTCATTTTTACTCACAGGAACATTTTTCTAACTTCGGCTCATATACTGTATGTTATTGACTCATTCAGATTTACACTGGAAAAAAATCCCTTAATAAGTAAAATACTGCTTAAAATAATAAAAAGATATATATATATATATATATATATATATATATATATATATATATAATCTAAAAATAGAAGAAAAAAAAATATGACTTTAGATTTCTGAAAATAATATAATAAAACTAGCTCCAAACGACTTGATTCTTGTTTAAAAACCTACATTTCAAGTATTATTTACTTATTTATTAAACATTTTTGATGTTTTCTTAAAATACAGCATCACAAACGTATTTCATCTAAACGAGAAAAGTCTGGAAATAAGAAATAATACTGAAAACAAGCTTAAAAACTGACGTAAAATTATCTTAAAATAATCTTAACTACATTAAAGCATCAAAAATAAGCATAATTTCTGTGATTTTTAGTAAATATATCTTACCAATATTTTACTTTTTTCAGTGCAGTAGTAATTATGTGTAGCTTGCTCTAAAAGTTGTAAAAAGGACAAAATCTAAAGTCATATTTTCTTCTTCTATTGGCAGATCATTTTTTATTATTCTAAGCCGTATTATCCTTGTTTTTACGTATTTTTTTCAAGTGTATTTCTCCAGCGAAGGCCTTACCCAGCTCCACGTCCCGTATTCCCATGTAACTCTCCAAAAGGTCATCCACTTTCTTCGTCGCCTCCTCCTCGAACTCGTTGGGCTGAAAGAGAAATGTCTTTGTTTGGAACCATTTAGATCCAAATAAGGACCTTCTTTCCACAGGCCTTCTTTCTCCACTGGCTTTGGCTCAATAAATACATCTCTGGTTATATAATGTGTGTAACGTACAGTGATTCATCTTTGAGCTCTGTCTTTGGTCGCAGCTGCTGGGAGGTTGCCTCGGGTTTGTTGAGGTGAAATTCTGTAAGTCTTAAATTATTCGGTGAAATTTGAAACGAGATAAAGCGTGTGTGGATTGTTCAGGTTTTCCAGTTGTCAAGTGCAGGTGTTTAGTTTAATTTAGGACGGAATCCGAAATGGTTTTCTTAAAGGAGCAGTGTGTAAAAAATTTGGTCAAAAGTGGTACTGCAGCCTCTCCCACTCTCCCTGACTCAGGTTGCCAGATATGCAGACGAATCCAGCTGGGACCATAACAGCTGAATAGACAAGAGTTTTGTCAACAACAAATCTATAACCAACACCTTTTTCACAAAGATAGAAATCCTGGTTTTATTCCTTGTTTTGTCGTTAATGATTTGAGAATCATAACGAGACCTTTTTTAGTTCTGCACCAACTGGTACTTTAGCAGTGAGATTAGCTCAACGCGGTGAGTTCTGGCGCCCAGAACACAGACTTTCAGATTGGTGAAACGGTGGAAGGCGGTCCATCGAAATGAAAACAATAACAAGATTTAGAGGCTGGAAAAGTAATTTATAAATTCAAATATCTCTGAACTACTGTTATCAGTTAAAGAAGTATTGGAAAAGAGCAGTTTATTATTATGACAGATTAGGGCCCTTTAATGATGAAGGATTAAATCCCTTTAATGATGACAGATTAGGGCCCTTTAGTGATGACAGATTAGTTCCCTTTAATGATGACAGATTAGAGCCCTTTAATGATGACAGATTAGGGCCCTTTAATGATGACAGATTAGGGCCCTTTAATGATGACAGATTAGGGCCCTTTAATTATGACAGATTAGGGCCCTTGAATGATGACAGATTAGGGCCCTTGAATTATGACAGATTAGGGCCCTTTAATTATGACAGATTAGGGCCCTTGAATGATGACTAATTTCCACTTTAAAGGTCCCATGTGGACGTGCGACTGAGAGATAAATTAAAGTTGGTTGTTTGGAGGAAACTCACCACTTCCTGAACAATGGCGGCTCCTTTGGATCGCAGGCGCAGCGTCTCTTTCCCGTTCACCATCTTTCCCTCGCTGGACTTGGGTGCTTTAGTTCTCATTCCAATCATATCTAAAAACAAACAAACTGCATCTCATTATACAGCAGATATTAACATACAGCAGATATTAACATACAGCACATATGAACAAGTTACATGACAGATATTAAAGCTGCACTAACTCACTTTGTGAAAGTTTCGAATGTGAGCGCTGGCCTCGCTCTTCTGCTGGGGAAGCGCAGAGGAACGAGACTTTCTTTTGCCTGTTTTGCTGTGTATGCAGTAACCGGTAACAAAGACACAGGAAGCTTCAGGTTAGCCTCCGCCGCTTGTTTACTTTAGCTGTCTGTGCGCGCAACCGAGAGACCTGTAGCTTTTCTCAAAAAAGTGTGGTCCGCTGTGATTGGTCACAATCTAGTTCCGAAACAAATTCTCTTCCTTGTTGCACGAAAACTCGATCTAGAATAAAATGCCCTGCCAGCACAAATCTGCGCTACTTTTTCTTCAAAAGGACGTATATCCCAATGCACTGCATATGGATTGCATTTAACTAATGAATACAAAAATAAAGTGAGGTAATGCAGCTTTAACATACAGCAGATATCAACAAGTACATGTAAATAGCCTTTGTAGTGTCAGCTATTGAGATGACGGTGGACTGGGTTGCCGAGGTCTCCGCCTTCGACCACTGTCCAGTCCTCTCTGCACCGATACCCTATGGATCGCCCTCACCTCTGGTTCTGAGCTTTGGGTAATGACCGAAAGAACAAGATTGCGGATACAAGCGGTCGAAATGAGCTTCCTCCGCAGAGTGGCTGCTCCCTTAGAGATGGAGGAGCTCAGTCACATGGGAGGAGCTCTGAGTAGAACCGCTGCTTCCCCACGTCGAGAGGTACCAGTTGAGGTGGCTCGGGCATGCTGTATGTTCAGGATGCCTCCTGGACGCCTCCCTGGGGAAGTGTTCTGGGCATGTCCCTTCAGGAGGAGGCCCTGGGGAAGACCCAGGACACGCTGGAGGGACTATGTCTCTCCTCTCTATGTCTGGACGAAGTGTGTGAGAGGGAAGCCTGAGTGTCTCTGCTTAGACTGCTGAGTGTCTCTGCTTAGACTGCTGAGTGTCTCTGCTTAGACTGCTGAGTGTCTCTGCTTAGACTGCTGAGTGTCTGCTATTATAAGCCCTACATACAGTATATGCATGTGTCTTCATATTGTGTTGACATACTGTATGTGGGACATTTGGGCCCAACCAGTTCTGGGAAACACTGCAGCTGGTTGAAAAATTCCAAAGGACATGACTCTGTGTGTGTCCTCAAAGGTCACTACTTAAGAAATTTCTAGAGTGTACAGTAATTTTCAATAATCAAAATGAAACCAGATCCGTCACCAGAAGGTTATTGTGTTGTGTATTTCCTCCACTTCCTTCTTGCGTCTGTCTCTGTCTCCGCTCTTCCACATAAACAGCTGATTGCAAAAACACACAGCGGGAACTGGGAAAAGCAAGGCTGGGCTGAGATAAGGTCGTCCCTGGTGCGAGGTTACGGTCAGGGCTGCGGTAAGAATCCCTCAGAGGTTATCCATGAGGGCCGCTGTCTACGTCTACAGCGGGTTATTGTGTCAAGTCACAGAACTTTGCTATTCACATAAACCAACAGCAGGAGGAGAAAAGGCAGATGAGCTGAGGACGTCTCGGATAAATATTTAACATTTTAAAAGTTTGAGAGTCATTGCCGCCGATGCCACTTATGTAGACGATATATCTGGCTGTTTTGGGTTTGTTCACACTAAAGGTACAAAAGTATGAGAAAAGGCCAAAAAATGAATAAATACATAAATAAATAATTTTTAGAAATCAATCGACGGAAATCCGACATTTATGGAAGCTGTAGGTTCTCTGTCAGGTTCTTTGTCAGCTGAGATAGAGCTGTTTTAGTTTAAATTGATACTGGGGCTAAGTGTACTGGGTGCAGCTCTGACTGCAACCCCCCCAATCCAGAAATGGGTGGATGGATGGAATTGACGGAAATCATCAGGTCCGTTACATGTTCTTTAGGGTCATTTAAATTTATATTGATAATTTGTATTATTCCTTTTTAAATGCAGTGATTTCCTGATGTAGTGTTAATGTTAATCTTATGGGAGTTCATCTTTGTCTCTGACTTTTTATTTTCTCTGAGTCACAGAATGATCCAATCAGAGCTGATCTGGGTTTTTAAGATTTCACCAAAAATGTATTTGTCAATCTTTCCTTTTGATTTTATCCACACTATCTTGTTGATCTGTCTGTGTTTTAAATCTTTTCTCTAATCTATGATAGTCATTTAGTTTTTGAGTCATAACCTTTTTAATGTCCAGGTCTTATTGACACTTTACTGTGAACACACCTGTATACAAAATACAACACAGAAAATGTATCTGCTGTTTTTAGCTGAACTCTTCGTGGGTCACTTTTAACACAGAAAGGATTCAAACTCAGAACCTTCTTGATGCCACTGTGTCGCACTGGTGCTGTTGTATTACAATAATTATCAATAACGTTTTGTGTCTTGTATTTTTATGTTTTCTATCATTATTTGTATTTCCAATACAGCGAGTTTTCTAAAAAACTGGTGAACAAACATCACTGCACTGGCTGTGGTTCGGGCACCAGGAAAGACAGTCTTGCTTCAGATTTGAACTCACCAAAGGCCTTTTTGGGTTCGACCAGTCGTAAGGTGAAGGGGATCCCTCTGGGCTGCTCCTTCAGCATCTTGGCAACCTCATAATGTCGACATCCCACAATGCTTTGCTCATTTATGGCCTCGATATGGTCCCCGACACACACCGTCTTCAGCTGGTCTATGGTGCTGCCCTCTTTGATTCTCTGAAAGAACAGTGTTGTGGAGGGTTTTCAACATTTCAGGGCTTTAGAAGTCGTTTTAATACATACACTGGGGGGAAAAAAGAAAGAAATCTATGAAAATAAGTAAAATACTGCTAAAAATAATAAAAATGATAAGAAAATATGACGTGAGATTTCTGAAAATAATCAAATAAAATTAGCCCCAAACGACTTGATTCTAGTTTAAAAACATACATTTCAAATATTATTTACTTATTTCTTAAACATTTTTTGGAATTTTTTTCTATAATAATAAATAATATCCGTTTTTCAAAGTGCTTTTGGCTCAGTCTCTTCACATTATTATTCTTTCACTCCAAACACGGTGGTGATAAACTCCTACTGTAGCCACAGCTGCCCTGGGGCAACCAGTCTGTGCCATCAGCCACTCCAACCACCATTCACACACACACCAGACTCCTTCTAATGTGGGGAAAGTGTCTTGCCTAAGGACACAACGGCAGTTTGGCACTTTACAGCCGCAGCCGCCCCACTGTGGCACCAGAGGTTAAGTGTCTTGCCCAAGGACACATCGACAGCAGACATCAGTGGGAGTAGGTGGAGAAAGTCTTGTGGTGGACTCGAACCCACAACCTTCAGGCTCAAATGCCAATGCTCTACCAACTGATCCACTGTCACCACATTATCTCACATGATAAACTACATTCAAGCAACAAAAACTTAAAAAATAAGCATCATTTCTATTATTTTTAGCGAATAAAGTGTTTTCAGAGTCTGATTTACTTTGATGAAGGCGTAGCCGGCTCCGTTGTCTGTGATGGTGAGGCCCAGAGCGTCTTCTGTTTTAGTGACTTCCACTTCTTTGGTTTCTCCTCGAACATGAGCAAAGATGAAGTCCTCGAGTCCGATCTGGCCCCCGAGCAGCTTCTGCATGTCCACTTTGTGAGTGTTGAGGGTACAAAACAGGATCTGAAAATGTAAACAATACGTCTTTAAAGAGCTGCACTAGGACTGAAAAACTCCCACTGCTGTAGCCACTTTTGTTTTTATTTTTCATCATAAATGTGGCACAAAAGAGACTATTTCATTTTAATATAGTCTATAGCAGGTGTCTCCAACCTTTTTCACCCAGAGAGCTACTTTCTCAGGACGATAAAGGAAGAGAGCTACTGCATTGCTAAAGAATTGGTGATTTATTGGAGTGAACTAGTCTGATTTTGGGAACAGTCATTATTTATCATCACATATTTGTTACTAGTGACAAAGTAAGTGTATTTAAAATAATAAATAATGATACTAATACAAGTTGTTTGTTTCTAAATCCTTTGGCGAGCTACTGGAAGAGGGTGCAGAGCTACAGGTTGGAGACCTCTGTTCTATCTGTCACATAATTTATTCTTTAAACCTTTAACATGTTGCACACTTCCTGTATTTCTGAGTGAGATCAATAAAGTTTATATTATCTCTTCTGGTGGAGTGTTATTTCTGAGCAATATATTTTTACAGTGCACCTTTAAATATGTCGTTTCTATGCCACGAAGGAGGTATTGTAATGGTCTCGGTGTGTGTTTCTGGTGGCTGGTGCGCAGTGGCGGAGCCAGAGGGGTAGCCAGGGTGACCACTGCCACCTCTAAAAATACCCTTGCCACCCCCTTGGGCGGCACGGTGGCTGAGTGGATAGCACTCTCGCCTCTCAGCAAGAAGGTCCTGGGTTCGAATCCTGGTCGGACCAGGGCCTTTCTGAGTGGAGTTTGCATGTTCTCCCTGTGTCTGCGTAGGTGTCCTCCGGGTACTCCGGTTTCCCCTACCACTAAAAATATGTCCAATAGTTCTGGCATGTGCCTCCTGTACAGGCGACCCCGCTCCCATCTCTGTGTGGAGTGAGAGGACAAATGCCCAAAAATAACAATTGTAAACCGCTTTGAGACTCAGATCTGCAGTGAAAAGGCGGTATATAAATAATGATTACTTACTACTACAGTGCCCCCCTCGGAAGACGGCAATGTAATAATGTTAATCTTGAGAATCTTCCGCACTTTTTCCGCCAAAAACTAAAAATTCCCACGGTTTCCCCCGTCTGTGAACGCACCTTGACTCCGTGTGGAGCCAGTGCTGTACGCTAATGTTTTGGGTTGTTGGACTCACACATGTGCGCAAGTCGTGATGAAAACAAAGAGGTAAGTTAGCGACGCAGAGCCAACCGTTTACATTTGACACAAAGTATAGACACACGTACTGCAGCGCATTACTTGTTCAGTTTGTAGTACATATAGTGTGTGTGTGTGCGTGCCTGTGTGTGCCATCGTGTGTCTGCGCGCATGTGCGTGCCATTGTGTGTCTGCGTGCGTGTGTGCGTGCGTGTTTATGCGTGCGGATGTGCGTGCGTGTGTATTCTCCATTAATAATTGCCCATCGTATCATCGCCCTCTTCCCTTTAGTGTAAACATTAAAAGAAAAGGAGGAGACATTGCGTCTTTTTTTGTCAAGAAAAGGCCTGTAGATCAGGATGATGAAACCTGAAGGTCAGACTCGGAGGCAGTATGTTTTGAGATGATGAGGAATTTGTTGTGTTGTATTAAAGTATAGCTTATACAATTCAGTTTCAGAGAATGCGAGGGAGTCGCAGACAGGTGTAGGATTGACTATTGGCAGAACTAGAGAGGTGTTTTTTCACACACAAAAAAAGAAAAAAAAAGCTAAGATTATGGATGGAGTGCAGTTGCTTGACCCCAAAACATTTTTGAAAGAAGAACCCCTGTTTTCATTTGGCAGAACCTTTCAGTCAGATATAGAGGACGATAAGCATGAAGTACGTCAAACTAGGCGGCTTCTTGGGAGGAAAAAATGGATTAGAGAGTCCCTATTGGACTTCCTTGTCCTTTTGGAACGTTTGGAAAGTGTTTCATGAGCTTTTGAGGCTTGCAAAGATCTTTTAAATACCTGTCAGTACTGCGTCTTGTGAAAGAAGTTTCTCTGCCCTAAATCTTATTAAAGACCATCTCAGAACGACCATGGCAGATGATTGAGTCATCTTGGTATCCTCAGTGTAGGGTAAAGGAGGGCTCAGGGCTGAATATGGATGAGTTTGTCAACATCTTTGCTGCCTTACACCAGAACCACAGGAATTTGCTAAATTTGTTAAAAGAAAAATGAAATGCAATGTTTGAATGATGTCATTTTGCACTTTTTTTTTTGTTCAGACTACTGTTTAATACACTTTTTTGCTTTGTAGTTTCCAAGTGTGCTCTCAGTTCACTTTATATAAAAAATAAACTTAATATTAAGATTAAAATGTATCGTTTAGCCAGTTTTTGTGTGAAATAAAATTTCTGAATAGTATAAATGTGGACCCCTTAAAAAAAACCTTGCCACCCCCTGGCCACCCTCTGTTTAAAAGTCTGGCTCCGCCACTGCTGGTGCGTGGGGAGAGGCTGCTTTAGATCCGCGGTTACTAAAGTGGGGTCAAAGCATCAGATTTGTTCTACTTCAATGTTATTCTTCAACTGATCAAGTTTAGGATCCTCTGTTTTGGATAAGAAACTCCGGGATGTCATGTTACCTGTACGCCTCTTGGACCACCAGTAGGGGGCAGTAGCGTTCTGTAACACGGCAGCCATTTTGTCGTACATAAAGAGGATCCATGTAAAAACAAAGAGCTTTTTGCCCAAAGTTGCTCGGGAATACAAAATTAGGATTATCCCCGATCAACGTAAGTACTTGGGGAAATCAGACATGGATCTTGACAAGAGTGAGAAAAAAAAAACAAAAAACGGAAACGCTTCTATCATGCATAATATTTAATTGCTGTTAATTCTATAATTGATTCCTATAATAAGATAGAAATTAATCCAATCAATCAATAATAATTATAAAATCGATTTCAGACCCCCGTGGCTCTAATCCAGTTTCTCAGTGTCTTATTTGCATGTTACGCACACGCACGTTATTTTTGGAATAAAGATTAAATGATTTATAACATATTAATCATAAAATTACATTGGACAAAGATAATGGCTGGATTGTGTCATACTATTGATAATTGTGTCAGTAGCATCTAAGGCGCAGGAGCAGATTTATATTGGATGTGACAGAAGATTTAGATGTTATTTTTCTCTTGTGAATCTGTTCAGACATTATTCTGGTTTGACTTTCAACGAGGGATAAGGATCGAATGAATTTTACGGCCAAGTTTAGCAATTCATGATGTAATGTTTGGTAGTTTTACTGAATATAGTGTTAATAATCTTATATCGTTAGAAAAACATTACATTCACAAGAGCAGTTTTTTTTAAATCCATCCCAAATTACACTCATTGGAGAAATTAGTTCAAGCTATTCTTTTATTTTTTGTATGGACCAATTTTATGGTGAGTATGAAATAAAGATTAATAAAATACTTCACACTTTCTCTATAGTCTTTGAATGCTACTAAACTGCTATAATGTATTTATCTAAATCTAAATGTCTGCCCTGGCCTATGTTTTATTAGTTTGTCTGTTGTGTATTTGTATATAATGATTGTTTATTGTATATTAAGGCACCTGCTTTGTTTGTATTGTTTGAATCTATAATAAAATATATTCAAAAAAGATCTAATGTGCCGGTCTTGGCCTGGAAGAAGTCCACAGAGCAGGTTGTGTGCATGGATCTACAATAACAACGGTTGTGTGTCACAGATGAAAAACTGTAGCTACAAATGTTAGCTTTAACCCAGATTTTATTTTCTTTCATCAATCTGTATTTAAACTGTTGTCTCCAGCGAGGACCACAACAGACTGTTTTCATGATACATTTAGTGATGTAGACTGAGACCGAGATCGAGACAGAGCCCAAGACCGAGGGCCCAGCTGATCCAGGACCTCCCTCATGGTGCTGCCAGAACCAACATGTGACTTGGGAAATCTTGATTGTAAATGTACCATCCTCAAAAAAAAATCATTGGTTATTCAGTAGTACAGTACTTTTCAATATTGGCCACTAATTACTAAGTACTATTGTTTATCTAATGATTTGTAAAACTGCAAAAGCTAATAAGGTGCTTACTCTTTTTACAACTTCACATGGTTGGTACATAGGCCTTTTCTTATTTAGTAGTTTTATAGTGTGACATAGAAACCTGCAGGAGCATTTATAGTCCTTTAAACACTTTTGAACTTTTAATATAAATGTAATGGAAGAAGGCAAACATGATTCAGCTCTATAAATGAATCATTATGACCAAGTACAGAGTAATAACCCATGTGAAGTACGAACCAGAAGAATTGTGATGGAAAAGAGATATGCTTTAATAAATTACTGATGAAGTTTTAAAAGCATGCAGTGGTTTTGGGCTATAGAGAAAAAAAATAGATTTTTTTGGGGAAAAATGGTCCAGCTTCGTTCTAATACATCATATTCAGTCTTTTTCTATGAGGGTTTTCCATGGGTTTCTTGATGTCTGCTGAGGCTCCTCTTGGTGGTGAAGTAAATACGAGTTTTCACTTTGAATTGAAGGCCGCAAAGTGTTGGTTGAGGGGATTCTCTGGAGATTTTGTCCACTCTTTTTTCAGCTGCTGCTTGAGCTGCGACAACCTCATGTTGGGGTTTTCCTTCTTTAAACGAGGCATGTGGACTTCCTCAAAGGCGGCAAACGCTGCTTTCACTCTGCGCTCCGGGTGTCGGTCCAGATCCTCTCCTCCGGTGCTAAAGAACAAAGACAATATTCTAATTATGCAGATTTTTTGTGTTGATTTGTCTGATTTAACCACAGACTGTAAACGGCACAGAACAAATACCTGAGAGCTGCAATGGCGTCTTCTATACTTCTCGCTTCCACACTTCCTTCCTCTGCAATGATTCTATTCACGTTCTCTTCCAGTGGGGTTTCCAGATGTGTCTTTTCTGGAAGAAGAAATTAAAAATGTGTAACATGTGTTTGGGTTTGAAGACAGATGATGCTAAACAGGTCAATATTCTTATTTAAATCCCGCTCTAACCTTTGGGCTGATCCTGCTGCTGCTGCTGCTGCTGCTGCTCGTTCTGCAGAGTTTGTTCGATCTGGGCCCGGGTCACTTTTCCTACGGTTACATCCTCATTTGTGGATCTTCCTTTGATTCTTGCTGCTTCCTCGTCCAGAAGCCGTTGATTCTCTTTTTTTCTTTCCAGTAGTTCCAGTCTTTTTTTCTCTTTGTCATCCTAAAGAGATGAAGTGGTCATTTAACTGGCTCACATAATCCAAGTAAAGCCTGGTTCACACAAGATGATTTTAAAATTGTCGGCCGATTTTCCTAACCTGACGGACCCCACACACGGAGATAAAAAAAAAAAAAATCAAGGGTCTAACCACTTCTGGTCGTACAGTGTGTGGTGCGCAGCCACACAGCAAAATCACGCAAAACACACATCACACACGAACCGATTTCACTCCTGAGCATTCCCAGGCCAGATGGAAATCTCACAAAATCTCTCGAGATCATGCGTGACTTCAGAGTAAACAATCATGGAGGACGAAGAGAATGCAGTGGAGACAGTTTGTTTTTAACAGAGAAAAAGTGTTATCAAAGGAAAAGGCGATGGTCAAAGAAGTGGCGACAACGCGAGCATGGACTATATATATTTATGCCGCTGACTGTTATGATTTTTTTTTTCCGGTGTTTCCTCGCTGCCTCGTCATTTCGTCTTCTGATTGGCTACACGCCACAGTCCACTGGCAGCGTGCTTGTCTGTCCCCAGAGGACAACACACACTAAGAGAAAACGGGCCAAAACAATGTTGGATATCCCTGAGATCGGAGCAGTCTCAAAGTCCTTCTGAGCGAAGGAGCAGTCTTAACACACCACACATAGAATATACATCAGATTTGTTTTACAAAAATCTGAGCTTATTTAAGATTGTCATTAGGGGTAAACCGGGTCTTAAATCGGCCTAATTATCCTGCCGTGTGAACCAGGCTTTAGAGACTGGTTCAAAACACTCTGGCGTTACCTTCCTCTGACCCTTCTTCAGAACATGTTTGTCCGTTTCCTGCCACAGAGCATCCTCCTCAGCCTTCTTCTTGTGTGCATCTGCCACTGCCTTGGCCTCAGCTTTTCTGGCTTTGGCGGTGGCTGCCTTTGAGTTCTCTCCCTGGAACTTCTTTGGCATCCCAAGGGCCTGTTTTGACCTGTAGGATTAATATCATGTGAGAAAGAAGGAGTAGAAGTAATAAGGTAAACTAAAAAGAGCAATACAATAACGTCCTACTTTATTCTTCAGAATTTCTATCTGGGATTTTCATTATATTAATCAGTTCAGTCGGTGGGGGGGAAAAAATTTGTGTTTTAACTTTGAATACTCACATAGCTAGCACCAAGAAGTTAGGCTAATGAATATTTAAATATTGTTTTAATAATAAATTGTGTTTGTCCCAGCAGACAGGATCTTGTTTAAAGGTATACAGGAGGATTTTCTACTTCCGGGTGGATCATCAAGACTATTGGTCCTCCCACTTGTCAATCATTCTGGTGATAGTGCTCTCAAAAAGTGGAGACTGGAGAGGGTCGTTCTTTCCTAAAATTTGGGAAAATCCTCCTATATTTTTCTACAACATACTGTCTTCATCTTTATCATATAAGAAAATATGCCATGTTTTAAATCCATACATGGATAGCTTTATATATGTATATATAAACACAAGTTTGTGTAAGCTCTCAGTCGTACAGGAATTAGTCAAAGCAAAGGAAGGTTTCTCACCCATCATTGGGAAAACCTGCTAATAAGTACAGATGATGGGTGAGAAATCTTCCTTTGCTGTATATAAACACATATCAATATCTCGTTGTGGTTTCAGGTCAGTCAGTAAATAAACGTATAAATAATAATAAATAAATAAATAATAAGCTACTGTTGAAAAATACATGATTTTGTCAAATGTAATAAATTAACGTAAACTAGATGCCACGAATATGATTTAGTGAATATGATTGAGAGAATATGACCGAGTGAATATGAAGGGAATTAAAGTTCTGAAAGTGGTTGATTCTACGTAAAACAGAGCGTAGTGTGTATTGTTTGATAAACAGGAGAAAGCAGCGGCTGTAAGTAAACACTTATCTGTTTTCCATCATATGAACACGGAGGTTAATTATTGACTAAACAGAGGTTTGTGAGATAATGCGATAAAACACACGTTTGAACAAGGTAAGAAGGATATACGTACCGAAATAGTGGGATAAATGTGTAGGAACCGCTGGCGCTGCCTTCGCGTTGGCCACGGCGCACGTTGATGACGACACACTTGCGTAGGCATGTGTTTTATTATATTATTATATATTTGCGAAACGAATAAAAGTGTTATTAGGCCTTGGATGAATACTACTTTAACATTGACAATACATGTAGTGAATACATCTGTCAGTTATTTATTTAACACATTATGACATACATACGTTACATTTAAATACTCAAATAGCTAGCATCAAGAAGTTAGGCTAATGAATATTTAAATATTGCTTTAATAATCCATTGTGTTTGTCCTAGTTTTACTCTACTGATGATGTGTCGTTGCAATAGTAATCCTACTATATATATTTGAATATAGATTTCTGCTCTTCACTTCTTCCTCTCATCGGCCCAGTCCCAATACCCACACTGCACCCTACGCCCTCCTATGAAGTGTGCATTTGTTTGAAGTGCGCGCAAGGGTTTGAGTGCGCAGGTTGCAAGCGTGCACAAAAGGTGGAATTGGGACATTGCACACTGAGTGCAGTTTACGTCATCGACTCGTCAAGAGATGGTCATTTTAAGACCTAAACTTTATAAAAATTAAAGGTAATTTTGTCTGACCCTTTGGGAAACAATATGAATTGCTTCACACACGTTATAATACATTTATATTAGTTGTTTTTAAATAGAGATAGCGGTATAATTTTAAGTTAAATGTGGGTAACTAACTATCTGGTCAGTTTTTATACATTCTAAGATTATTGTACTAAGTGTAAAGTTTAAATTGAATGTTATAGAAACGCTTGCTTTAAAAAGTTATTAAATTGTTAAAACACAATGTCCGTAATTCTTCATCAGACGTTTATGCTTCTCTCCAAGTAACATAGCAAAACTTATTTACACACATACTGCATATATATTTCAAAATGTATATTTAATTGCATTTTCCCGTCGTTTTGGTGTCCCGTCGCAAAGAATTATGGGCAATATCCTTCGCCAGAGTGTGCATAGATGCAGGCTACGGCGAAGTGTGGATCAGGGGCGCAAAGGGGGCGGGGCCAAAGACCTCCCTGGAGAATTGGGACACCCTACGCCAGCCATTCCCAAACTCGGTAACACCGAGGCCCCCTTAAAAATCTGACGGGTCTGCGTGGCCCCCCAAAATAATAACCAAGAAGACAACATTAAGAATAGGCTCTTCTGGTTATTTTTTTTTGGGAAAATAGCCTCTGCTACAAACATTGTAATACAAAAATGATTACAGTGGATTATTGAAGTCAAATAATGAGCACAAATATTTTAATATTACAAACAAAACAGTATAAATTTAACATTAAATAATTATATTATTTTTTTATTTTTTTTATGACCTCCCGCGGCCCCCCTGCAGTACCCTCGCGGCCCACCAGGGGGCCGCGGACCCCACTTTGGGAGACACTGCCCTACGCACTCGCACCCTTTATCGGGAACGCGCAAATGAGGGGCGCGAGGGTGGAAGTGCGAGTATTGGGACGGGGCCATCCTCTTCCCTTCAGATTCCGTACAGAGAAATGACCAAACTACTATAAGCGCTAACCACTGCACCACCTGGTGTTGCTAAAGGTCTCCCATCAAAGAATTAACTATGCCCCAGCCTGCTTAGCTTCAGAGATCTTTCGCCAGAATGAATATCATTGGATATTGCTTATTTTTGGGTGACATTTGATCTTAAATCTGAGATAAAATAAAATAAAAGTAGAAACAGAAACATAATTTCAATGTAAATCAACTGTTTCAATCCAATATCTAAATTCAGAAGCTTTATGTAATCTCACTTATTGTTAGATAATACATCTACACTTCCTGACAGAATTCATATTTAATACAAATGTTAATAAACTAAACTTGGTGGAACTAGCATGGCTGTATATGGCACTTTTTTCCTTTTTCCCCGAGGCAACCTTTTGTCACTAAAGAGGTGGATACTAAAACAGTGACAATATCAACCAACCACTGACAACGTTCTCTTCTCCTCTCATCGCTACACAGCTACTGATTCGACATCCTAAAACTGATAGTGAAAGCCTTATCTAAATAAAAGGTCAATTGATTAGAATATGGTCATTTAACAAGAGCTACCTTGATAAACCTTCATATCATTGAACATGCTTTTCTCAGCGATAAAACCTCTTGATGTCCTTCAGATAAGTGAATGAGGCCAAACACAGACTTTTTATGGTTTTGTTGCAGTCCTGCAACAAACTCATCTGCACAAGTAGTTTTACACATGGAAAGGCCTCTACTGCTTTTACTACGTTATAAAAAGATCTGTTTCAAATTAGTCCCCTGTTATACCATCATTGTCATAATAATAAAATATGTTCTTTTCCAATACTTCTTTTACTGATAATAGTAGTTCAGAGATATGAGAATTTCTAAGTTAGTTTTCCAGCCCCTAAATTTTGTTATTGTTTTCATTTCGATGTCCCGCCCTCCACCGTTTCACCAATCAGAAAGTCTGTGATCCGGGCGCCAGAACTCACTGCGTGGAGCTAATCTCACTGGTAAAATACCATGTGGCGCAGAACTAAAAAAAATCTCGTTATGATTCTCAAATATCCTGGAAAAATATAAAATGCTAAATTTTCAAAATTTCATACATTTTAAAAACTGTTGCCTTGTTTACAAAGCACTTCATGGTCTTGCCCCGCCCCCACTATGTAACTACATTAAACTTAAAGCAATGAGGGGTCTCCGCACCAGAGCCTCCTCCAGAGGAGATGTGGAAATCCCACACAGAAAAACAACATTTGGACAAACTGTGCTGTCCGTCAGAGGAGGCCAGTCTTGGAACAGCCTTCCTACAGACATAAGAGAATGCCCGACATACAGCTCCTTTAAGAAACAACTTAAACATCACATCAAAGTAAATCAGTCATGCACTCACTTTAACTAAAATGTGATTTATAAAGTTTTTATATTGTGTTTTGTATGTATGTTTTGTTCATACATTGTTTTACTTGTGTGACCTGCCTCGGGACTACAGATGTAAATTAGCAGTTTTGCTATAATCTGGCACATTTACAATCTGTGTACAACTGTATATGATTGTTCATTAATGTGTGTTGTCCCGATCAAATAAATAAATAAATAAATAAAAATTGTTAACGACAAAACAAGGAATAAAACCAGGATTTCTATCTTTGTGAAAAAGGTGTTGGTTATAGATTTGTTGTTGACAAAACACTTGTCTATTCAGGTGTTATGGTCCCAGCTGGATTCGTCTGCATATCTGGCAACCTGAGTCAGCGAGAGTGGGAGAGGCTGCAGTACCACTTTTGGCCACATTTTTACATACTGCTGCTTTAAACATACACACACATACACACCCACACACACATTTGTCATCTTTTTATGAGAACGCGAACTTTGATTTGAAGAAGGAAATGAAACGTTATCAGTCATTGCAAGTAAAACGTATGGAAGAATGAAAAAAACAAGATTATCTGAAGTTTCACTATTACAACAGTAGTTCACACATTTACTGCAGGAGATTACGAATGCACAGGGTCAGCGCTGTTCGTTGCAAAGTATTAGCATAAAGGGAGACCTGCAGAGCTGTCGTTCGCACAGTGAGGGTGGATCAGTGAAGTTGCGCAGACAGTCCTACAGGGGGCGACAGTCATGGTTCAGCGTGGATGTAAGCTTGTCCAGGACCCTGCTACCTGCCTCCTGCTGCACTGTGTTCATGAGCCCATCACATCCCTGCACCTGGCTGCTTTCTGTCCCTCTCTGTGGTGCTGGTGCTGGAATTCTAGCCCATTACTCTAGACATAACTCGTGTAACTGAGTTTGCTAGGCTGCACAATCCTATGGGGTCATGGTCAGGGCTTTGCGGTGACCACTCCTAACATTTACTTTGTTGTTCTTAACTCACTTTGTAACTTGTGACTTTGTAACTTTGGGTCATTGTCCATTTGGAGGACTTTGCTGATGTCTTGTTATTTCAATATTTACATAAACACCATGAGCCCACCTAAAGATTGACGCATACATACAGTATATATACATTAATAATTGGCCATTACGTTTACAGTAAGTAAAGCAATAATTGTTTAAAGTCATACAAAAATGCTACTAGAATCTACTACATTAATTGTTGTGACATAGAGAAAATAGAAAAAGAAAATGATGGTTACTAACATTTTACCACTTTTATCAGACAGTGAGAACAAATCTGAGATATGTCCATTGTATCTTCACAAATCATGCTGCATTAGTCAAAACAATATTCTGTAATTATCATGTTTTTGTTGACTAAAACCAGTACCCGTGCTTTTTTTAAGCCATATCTCAAATGTCAAATGTGGCGACGGCTGAGAGTCACAGAAAAGCCAGTTCCGTCAAACTAAATAATAATTCTGAAACTGGGATCTTTATAGACTGAGGCAAAACATTGACCTATATATTTATTTACTGAACTTTAGAGCGCTGTGTTACTGTATTTGTAGTGCTAAAAGTTTGTTTGATGGATTGAAACACAACTTAGAATGTCAAATTGTGTAAAATATAGGGTCACAATGAATAAGTAAGTGAGTATTTAAGTAATCTTTATCACAGATCAGAGTCACAAAGCGCTGCCATATTTACTGCTGGATAACAAAAACTACTAGATATATTGTCTAAATTAAACCGCCGTCAAATGAAAAACGACTCAAAAAGTAAACGTTATTTATAGAAAACTTGTCAGAGTCACAAGAGTACACCTATAACAAGGCACCATCCAAAAGCTGAAAAACACAATTAAAATCCCACAAACAGTACGGAGCTGACCATGGTACCTCTGAGGGTGAGATGCTAAAGACCTCTGCGATCTTCCCATACAGTTCCTTGACATTGGTGAACCCGTGGATCCGACCCGTGGGACTGCCGTGTGCCAGCTGGGTGTGGAAGATGAGCCTGGGCCTGGGGTAGTCCGGTGGTCCTGGTGGTGGAGGTGAGGGCGGTGGCAGTGGCGGGGCTGACGGCTCCACATTCGGGGCCTTCTGATCCCCCACGGCCCCGGCTGGCTTGGTCTCCTGCGGACTCATGGGATCCCCGTTCTGCATGGGCCACGGCACAGACGAGGGGAGAGGCCTGGACTTTTTGGAGGTTCTATAGTGCTGCCTGGAAGGGGATGTCTGTGGCTTGGACTCGACCCGCTCCCAGCCAGAGCTCAACACATGAATTAGAAATGAGAGCAGCCCGGTAACAGTAGCTGGAAGAGGCCGTCCTGCCCTGTCAGGTAGAAACCCAACCCGCCTTTAGTTGAGGTTGTGTGTCTTACACCTGAGACAATGCAAACACACGCTGGATAAAGGCATCTGCTGATCACGACACGGCTGTTTTATCTGTCTGTCCGATTAGGGATGTTACAGTCATGCTAACGTCATACTAGGAAGTAAAAAGTTTGGAAGACAATCAAGAAAGATGATATGTTATGGTTAAGGCCCCCCTCCCCCATTACTGACTTATTAAAGGAGACAGGCGGCTTTTTGGTGATCTTGGTGAACGGGGACAGACAACACACAAATGCGGTGTATCGTAAACAGATATTGTATATAAGCTTGAATGGTGTCACTATTTCTCACACACTGGAAAAATAATATGGAAATAATAATAGTAATAATAATGCATTGGTTTTATACAGCGCTTTTTTTGGACGCTTCAAATGTCATTATTCTTTCACTCAATACACAGCTGCCCTGGGGCACACTAACAGATGCTCTATACCAACTGATCCACTGTCGCCCCAAATAAGTAAAATGCTGCTTAAATAATAAAAATGGTCTGAAAATAGAAGAAGAAAATGTTCCTACAGCCCTGACCTTCGCCCTTTCGGCTTCTCTGGAGAAACTCGTCCAAGAAAATCTCGTTTTGGTTGTGAGTCACTTTCTGTTTGTGTTTTCTTCAATCTGCGATTTTTGAGTTGGATTTAAATGCGTAATGTGTGTATTCGGCGTCTCTCCTCTCCACGGCTGTGACTTGTAACTTCTAATACAGTCTCTGCTATTCACTGGGAAAAACTAAGAAAATATATATGAAAATAATTAAAATTATGATTGAAATAATAAAAATGATCTGAAGAAAAAATGATTTAAGATTTCTGAAAATAATCAAATAAAACTAGCCCCAAACAACTTGATTCTAGTTTAAAAACATACATGTCTTCAAACACAGAGTCACAAACTTATTTGATCTAAACAAGAAAAGTCTGGAAATAAGAACAAATACTTCAAACAATCTTAAAAACTCACTGCTCAGACCTTTGTCTCTAATAAGATTATGAAGAATTATTATCTTAAAACTAGTAAAATAATCTTATGACAAACTACATTCAAGAAACAAAAATAAGCACCATTTATGTAATTTTTAGTCAATAAATCTGACGTTACTTTTTCAGTGACACTAAATCTTACCTCCACATGATGTGTATGTGACCCATGGATCTATAATAATATGTATTTGACTCTCAGAGTTAGGTTCTCGTTGGTTTCTTGAGTCGTGGAGAATCGTTCTCATGTGACGAACGTTGGAGCTGTTTTTATATTTTCAACAAAACAGACTCTGTTTGTTTCTGGAACTTCCCAAAGAAACACAAAAAATCCCAGATGGGAATTTCTGAAAATACAAATTTGTAAAGTTACTGAAACCGTGGACGACCTTAGAATAAAATATAGTTATGTTTTCAGCCACGTTTACACCCAAAGTCTGGGAGTAACTGAATACATGTAATCCCAATATTCCACTACAGTTACTAGTTTAAAAGTTAAAGAAGAGAAAATAAAACATTGTGTAATTCTCAAAGTGAAGATTCTTTTTTCTCTGTTAAAGATGCAGTCAGGGATTTTGTCCAGACATTATTTTTTCAATATTGTGGGAAAACGTTAGCCTGGCTCTGCCAGACCCTTGTAGTTCCGCCATGCTCCACCAGAGGCGTTTGGCTGAACTGCAGCGAACTACATGGGTCTGGCGAGAGTCAGGCTAGGAAAACGTCCCTAAACCGGAGGAGTGGTTACGAGTTGGTTCTACGGCTAAGCTAACAACATCACTTACTGCACCTTTAAATGCAGCTGTTGAAGCTTTTGACTCGTTTTACAAAAATAAACAACCAATCATTGAATAATTACACGTTTTATTCATTTAAACATTAATTGATATACATTTCTTTACTACAAATATATATAATACAACTCATTAAATAAATGATAGCATTCTAAGTATTCAGAATACAGGTACTATTTTTTACAAAGTAACTGAATACTTTACAAAGTGTATATATACACAAAAACATACACATGCATATACAAATATACATACATATACACATACACATATACACATACACATACTGTACACATACACATATACACATACACATATACACATACACATACACATACACACATACATATACATACACAGTGTTAAGTGTTAAGTGTTTTGCCCAAGGACACAACAACAGCAGACATCAGTGGGAGTCGGTGGAGAAGGTCTCGCAGTGGGCTCAAACCCACAACCTTCGGGCTCAAAGGCCAATGCTGTACAACTGAGCTACTGTCCACACATAAAATACATTTAGGTCAGTATTGGGAATGTTTAGAATCATAAAGATAAGACAAACTTAATACTATTCAAATTTGAGCATTTGAAATTTTAGTCAAAAGGAATAAAAACTACACTGACTTTTTATTGTTTTTAATCTTTTTTTAAATGTGTTTTTATGTTTTTCTGGTATTGACCTTTTACTACTGTCTGAAATAAAGGTTTTAATTGAATAAATATAAATAAAACATACTTAGTTTCTAGTCAGTGTCACTTTTGTCCAGAATCACATGTTTTTGTCGCTATTTTCAGTGAACACAAATTCACAAACTGGGACCTTGCTTTGATGTTTTGGTGCATCAACAAATCTTAAAGTCGTAAAAAGCTTATTTAAACTTAAGTTTAAATGAGTTCTTCTTTCATCTCTGCAACAGAAGCGTGACTCTGTGGGTAAACCATAGTTACATATATTCTCTTACAATCATAAAAATAATCTTAATCTACAGTCAAAGCTTTACGTAAAGAATTATTCAAACTATGTGGTACACGCCCACGTCAGGCCTTGTATCACTATCTCCCAAGGTTAAATGTTTACGCATAAAAGTCAGAGGAGATAAGAACAGATCTGTGCTGTGATCCTGCCGCTCATTCACTGGGAAAACACAAACGCCACTTCTCACGTTTGCTTTTTCCTGTTCTGGGTTTATTCCACATGGATTTAATTGTAAAATGAAATGATGTCACTGCAGATTTAAAGTATAAGGATTATCAGTGAGTTAAAGAAGCTAAACTTGATTTATTTTTATTTTTATGAGTTCATAAAAATGCTTATTACTACAAAAAAGTTGTCTTATAAGCCGTACTTTAATTGAAAACTTGAGCTCATTGATTCATCTGTGTATGAATTCAGGCCGTGAAAATTGCTGAGTAGAGACGTAGCGTGACGCCAGCTCTCTTCCAATCACAGGACAGGGAGTGGTGCTGTTGGAACAGGCCGCGCCTCCTCTAGCGTCCACAGCGCAGGTAAACAGAGTGGCATGTTAGCATAAGTGACTAACTCCTCTGTCTGTAACTGCAGACACAGCAAAACAGCCCAAACAACACAACATTGAGGAAGGGAAGAGAGAACTAAAGCGAAAAAATGATCAAAGAAGAAATCAAGCCCGGGTTAATATACTTAGCTTAGACCGTATCCTCTGAAGACACCTGCAGGAGCGAGACCGCCTCGGACGATCTATGCTCGGACTATCTAAGCTTGGACTATGTGCTCGGACTAGACTATCTATGCTCGGACTATCTACACTAGGACTATCTAAACTCGGATTATCTAAACTCAGACTATCTAAACTCGGACTATCTGTGCTCGGACTAGACTATCTATGCTCGGACTATCTAAACTCGGACTATCTAAGCTCGGACTACCTAAACTCGGACTATCTAAACTCGGACTATCTGTGCTCGGACTATCTAATGCTCGGACTATCTGTGCTCGGACTATCCATGCTTGGACTATATTTGGACGTGAAACTAGCAGTAATCTTTCAGTTATACATTTTGTTAGCAGTGCGTTGCTTTTGTTCCATTTCATCAGTGATTGTTGTACAGCTTACAAGACGTTGTGCTAATGCTAATGTTAGCATATTGATCGCAAATAAAACTAGATGTCTCCGTGGTAGCAGAGCGTAGGGGAAATGAGAAGCCTGTGAGCGAGTTGGGGGCGGGGCTAAACATTCAAACCTTGCAGAAACGGGTATAGCTCCATTAATTGGATCAAAGTCATATAAAGCAGCATCAACAATAGCTCTTTATTAAGATTATTTATTTATTCATTGCTCATTGGGGTGACGGTGGCTCAGTTTGGTCGAGCATTTGCCTTTGGGCCGGAAGGTCGTGGGTTCGGTCCCCCCACAAGACCTAGTCTAACTGCTCCCACTGGTGTCTGCTGTAGTTGTGTCCTTAGGCAACACACTTTACCCAACTTTACTGAAAGACCAAGGAGGTGTCACCGTTGAAGGAGCAGCTATCTTCCTGTGGGACCGGTGCTGTGAGCCTTGGGTGCCCCCCTAAACCCAGATGTAGACTAATAAAGGGGTAGAAAATGAATGAATAAAGGCTCATGACCATATATGGTATGAAGGAAGGAACTTTCAAAACAAAACAGAAATACATTGAAGTAGTATTTGACTTCAATGATGAATTACAGCGGCCAACAGTTTCTGAAGGCTGTGTCCACACAATCCTCCCACAGTAACACAATTAAAGATCCCACACCATTAGGCCTACACTTGAACTGAATCAGACAATCAGAGAGTATTGAGCTCACAAAAACTTAATGACGTGGGCTAAGCTTTGGCAAATGTAGGAGCAAGAAAGACTGTAGGAGAGACTGCAGGAGAGAGACAGCAGCAGAGAGACTCTAGAAGAGACTGCAGGAGAGAGACTGCAGGAGAGAGACTGTAGGAGAGAGACTGCAGGACAGAGAGTGTAGGAGAGAGACTGCAGGACAGAGAGTGTAGGAGGGAGACAAAAGAGAGAGACTGCAGGAGAGCGACGAAGGAGAGAGACTGTAGGAGAGACTGTAGGAGAGACTGCAGGACAGAGACTGTAGGAGAGAGACGAAGGAGAGAGACGAAGGAGAGACGAAGGAGAGACTGTAGGAGAGAGACAAAGGAGAGACGAAGGAGAGAGACGAAGGAGAGAGACGAAGGAGAGAGACGAAGGAGAGACTGTAGGAGAGAGACGAAGGAGAGACGAAGGAGAGAGACGAAGGAGAGACGAAGGAGAGAGACGAAGTAGAGACGAAGGAGAGACTGTAGGAGAGAGACGAAGGAGAGACGAAGGAGAGACGTAGGAGAGAGACGAAGGAGAGAGACGAAGTAGAGACGAAGGAGAGAGACGAAGGAGAGACGAAGGAGAGAGACGAAGGAGAGACGTAGGAGAGAGACGAAGGAGAGACTGCAGGAGAGAGACAAAGGAGAGACGAAGGAGAGAGACAAAGGAGAGACTGCAGGAGAGAGATGAAGGAGAGACTGTAGGAGAGAGACGAAGTAGAGACGAAGGAGAGAGACGAAGGAGAGACTGTAGGAGAGAGACAAAGGAGAGACTGTAGTAGAGAGACGAAGGAGAGACTGTAGGAGAGAGACGAAGGAGAGACTGTAGGAGAGAGATGAAGGAGAGACTGTAGGAGAGAGACAAAGGAGAGACTGTAGTAGAGAGACGAAGGAGAGAAACGAAGGAGAGACTGTAGGAGAGAGACGAAGGAGAGACTGTAGTAGAGAGACGAAGGTGAGAAACGAAGGAGAGACTGTAGGAGAGAGACAAAGGAGAGACGAAGGAGAGAGACGAAGGAGAGACTGTAGGAGAGAGACAAAGGAGAGACTGTAGTAGAGAGACGAAGGAGAGAAACGAAGGAGAGACTGTAGGAGAGAGACAAAGGAGAGACTGTAGTAGAGAGACGAAGGAGAGAAACGAAGGAGAGACTGTAGGAGAGAGACGAAGGAGAGACTGTAGGAGAGAGATGAAGGAGAGACTGTAGGAGAGAGACTGTAGGAGAGAAACGAAGGAGAGACTGCAGGAGAGAGACGAAGGAGAGACTGTAGGAGAGAGATGAAGGAGAGACTGTAGGAGAGAGACAAAGGAGAGACGAAGGAGAGAGACGAAGGAGAGACTGTAGGAGAGAGATGAAGGAGAGACTGTAGAAGAGAGATGAAGGAGAGACTGTAGGAGAGAGACAAAGGAGAGACTGTAGGAGAGAGACAAAGGAGAGACGAAGGAGAGACGAAGGAGAGACTGTAGGAGAGAGATGAAGGAGAGACTGTAGAAGAGAGATGAAGGAGAGACTGTAGGAGAGAAACAAAGGAGAGACGAAGGAGAGAGACAAAGGAGAGACTGTAGGAGAGAGACGAAGGAGAGACGAAGGAGAGAGACGAAGGAGAGACTGTAGGAGAGAGACAAAGGAGAGATTGTAGTAGAGAGACGAAGGAGAGAAACGAAGGAGAGACTGTAGGAGAGAGACGAAGGAGAGACTGTAGGAGAGAGATGAAGGAGAGACTGTAGTAGAGAGACGAAGGAGAGAAACGAAGGAGAGACTGCAGGAGAGAGACGAAGGAGAGACTGTAGGAGAGAGATGAAGGAGAGACTGTAGGAGAGAGACAAAGGAGAGACGAAGGAGAGAGAAGAAGGAGAGACTGTAGGAGAGAGATGAAGGAGAGACTGTAGAAGAGAGATGAAGGAGAGACTGTAGGAGAGAGACAAAGGAGAGACGAAGGAGAGAGACGAAGGAGAGACTGTAGGAGAGACTGTAGGAGAGAGACGAAGGAGAGAAACGAAGGAGAGACTGTAGGAGAGAGACGAAGGAGAGACTGTAGGAGAGAGATGAAGGAGAGACTGTAGGAGAGAGACTGTAGGAGGCTGCAGGAGAGAGACGAAGGAGAGACTGTAGGAGAGAGATGAAGGAGAGACTGTAGGAGAGAGACAAAGGAGAGACGAAGGAGAGAGACGAAGGAGAGACTGTAGGAGAGAGATGAAGGAGAGACTGTAGAAGAGAGATGAAGGAGAGACTGTAGGAGAGAGACAAAGGAGAGACGAAGGAGAGAGACGAAGGAGAGACTGTAGGAGAGAGACAAAGGAGAGACTGTAGGAGAGAGACGAAGGAGAGAAACGAAGGAGAGACTGTAGGAGAGAGACGAAGGAGAGACTGTAGGAGAGAGATGAAGGAGAGACTGTAGGAGAGAGACTGTAGGAGGCTGCAGGAGAGAGACGAAGGAGAGACTGTAGGAGAGAGATGAAGGAGAGACTGTAGTAGAGAGACAAAGGAGAGACGAAGGAGAGAGACGAAGGAGAGAGACAAAGGAGAGACTGTAGGAGAGAAACGAAGGAGAGACTGTAGGAGAGAGATGAAGGAGAGACTGTAGGAGAGAGACGAAGGAGAGACTGCAGGAGAGAGACGAAGGAGAGACTGTAGGAGGCTGCAGGAGGCTGCAGGTTGCCAGACTGCGGAGGGAGAAGTACAGCCTGTGTGCGGGTGGATGCTGTGTCATGTGCCCACAACAACAGTTCTCCTTCTGTTCCCAGTGCGTGCTGTGGTGAACAGCTTCCTGGAATGATAATTTTATGGTCTTTTTATGGTTTTTTATCCTTGTTAAGTCTGTGTATAACAGCCTATGGCTGTCAGCTTCCTGTATACTTGAGGATCCCCTTTGTTGAATCATATAGTGTTGTGTCAGTTTTGGCAACAGCCCACATTTATAATGATTATGAAAGCTATAGCTATAGCTTGCAAGCATACATAAATACATAAACAAACATACATTCACACCTATACACACACACACACATATATATGTATATACGCACACACACACACACACAGTTGTTGTCTCGAGACTTGTGCTTCTCTTGAAGACACCTGCTCTCCCCGAATGACCCCAAGAATGTTGATCTTGTTGCTTTATCATTAATCCAGTAAGATAAGTATTTTAGTTATTACGTCAATATACGTCAACGTGTCAAACAGTTACCTATATTAAACAGTTCGGTCTTGTATGTATTCTGGCAGAATGTGTTCTACCTGCACACCTAGTACTGGACATGTGGTCCTTTAAACACAAGCGTTTGTCAATAATTATAATAACATACTAACAGAACATAGACTATCAGCTGACAGTCGTACGACCCACACTCCATATATGCCAATGGGCGGTTCTCACGGTCCTGCCTCCGCGCTGTGATTGGTGGATTGGCCTGACACGAGAGTTTTTTTAACCTCTGTCCGTGGCTCTGATTGGCTGCAGCCCTTGGTCCGATGGAGCCTCATTATCTTAACAGCCGTGGATGAAGTGTCAGAAGCTCAGACTGAAACATCAGCCTGGTTGCGTGACACCAAACAACCACCACAGGCAGAGAAAGGATGCTTGAAAACAAGAGAGATAGATTAAAAACCTTTCTCCGGAAGATCGACGAAAAGGCCATCGTCAGGATCAAGCATTTCATGAAAGAAGGGTGAGTTACAATGGATGCTAGGCTAATGATGCTAACGATGCTAACGATGCTAACTGACCCGTTATGTGCAGAGCATCACAGACAACTAGGATCGTGTTTACTATTGTTTTAACTACTGTCTCTACGGTTTTTAATGAAACAGCGCCACCACCTGTTCTTCTCTAGTATTAACGTAGGTTATGTGATTACTGTCTGTTTCGTTTTTTTAATGTTACTGTGGAATCTAACATGTATGCTAGCAGTCCTAATTGTGTTTTGTCAGGATTTGCTTCATATTTCTTTGCACCATCTGTAACAAGACTGTAAAAATTGAGTACCATTCCTAAACCTTAAACATGAAGTACCATTCCTTAGCCTTAAATATGAAGTACCATTCAGAGACCTTAAATATGAAGTACCATTCAAAGCAACACAAGACTATACATCTATGAGTCTATATATTTGGTCGTTTCTGATGACTTTAGCCACTTCACACCGTCATCAATAGTGTTTGCGGACCATGGCCCCTGACCGTGGCCTCTGACCTGCCTCCCTCATCAGTGTGAACAAGCTCTGGTCTGTGAAAGGTGCTATATAAAGATATAAAGATTACTTACTTCTGCCCATGACTGCATACTGACTTTGACATCCATGAAGCAGTTTTCTTATCATTTTCAGTTTATAACTCGTTTAAGGATATTTAATTATAGATGACACTAAATGGCTCTTAGTAGTTCTGTTGGTTGTATTTGTGGCTCCAGTGCCAGAATGGAGAAGTTTGATTCCTAGAATGCTCTATTTTTAGGGTGCATGAGTAAGGTACAGTGTGGTACAGTGTTGCAGGCTCCTGTGCCCTGTACCAGGGTCTGTTTACGGTGCTGCCTCGTTCACTTCCCTGGAACCAGCTCAGCTATGAGAGAAGTAGAGATGGGTCTGTTTTGTGGTGTGATCATAATCCTCAACAAGTTTACTTGTGGAGCTTGACCGCAAATTACCTTTACTGCAAATGGCAAATAAATGAATCTGATCTGAATCTGACCTTCCCAGTGCAGTCAAGAAGAACTGGAAAAATCACTATTTAAATTTCAAGTGACAATATCGTGACTAAGTTCTGCCAATCGTACAAGCATGTGCTAAAACATTATTTCAGGTCTAAAAATGAGACCGGTGTCAATAACTTCTTTTGATTTTCCGAAGTAGTGAGAAATTGTCACATTATACATTTACATTTTTTTGGAAGTGGCCCACTTGATGAATTGTTTATTTGAAAAGTGCGGTCTGTAATTTTGTCCACTTTAATCTGTCTTGTGTTGACTGGAAACCAAATGGTTTTGCATATCCTGGAATAGTCTGGGTGTGGTGTCCTTTTGGAGGCTGCTCTAATATCGCTGTAGTGGTCAAAGCATGAGCGAGTGTTTTGGGCGGTTGAGAGCGATGGAGAAGTGATTTTGAAACAGAAAATCCAGATCTTGTTTTTGCTCTGCCTCTAATTGAATAGAAGAACTGAAGGAAAAGGAGATCTGTAGAAAAACTATTCTTTTTGTAACACACACTTGCAAAGACTGTGCAAAGAGCGGAGTATTTGAAGGGATGTTGTTATAGAAATACAATATTATGGACTACTTTAGCAGGATGGTTTAACACTATTTAGGTATTCAAACTGTAATTAAGGGTTATTTTGATCGGTTATTCCATCAATGTATTGTTATTTAATCATTTACAATCCGTTATAATCAGACTAAAGTGATGCTGCTCGCGATGAATTAAAAAAAGAAATTCTTTCATTTTTAAAACACATTCCCATGTCTTATTTCACTTACAGCTCTGTGATGTAAATTAGTATCCATTAACTTTCTGCACCTCTATGAAAGGAGTCAAGCTCGTCAATCTAATTATTACACTTAACACAAACATTCCATCGTCTGCTGATAACATTTTCAGCAGATTTTTTTCCACAACAACACACACTTCTCGAAGTACTTACAATAGTTTCTTACTGTAGGATTTAGATTCTTTAGTTTTGTCTTTTGATGGAGAAAATTCCTCGTGCTCGGCTGGAGTCAGGTGAGTCGTTTCCACCGTGCCTCACATGCTTTGCCGATGTCGTAGGAAGTGCCCTGGTCTTGTGACTTCCCACACGTCGTTACTCGGATTTGAGTCATTGATCCAGTGACTTCAGGCTCATATCTGATTTTTAGATTTGGGTGGTAATGATGTAAACGATTTATTTGATTTGAATACTTTGTTATAATTTTGTATGTCTCAAAATATTCTGTGCCGTACAGAAGACACTGTACCCACACACACGGGCAAAAAAAGACAACAAAGGTACAGGGACCACCTGTACAACATATATATAATGTGTGTATATGGGGGGACAAAGAAAAGTTTGGCTGAAGAAAACAATAAGAATAATAATAATAATAATATTTGACAACTATTTTAGTATTTGACCAAGTTACAGATTGTGATTTATTTTATGGCTCAAACAAAGCATTAATTTGTAAATGTATAATTTCATAATCAAATAGATTTGTCTAAAATAATCTCCATCAACACTAAATATTTTCCGCAGCAAATATTGATTAAAAAAATCATGTTTTCCTTCTAAAGAAAAAGAATCAAAAGAATAACTGCTAGATTAATAGATTGGAGAAGTTGCAGCACTTTATTTTGAAACAAATCAATCCTAAAAAGCCAAACCACGATTTTCCACAAGGGGGAGCCATCATTTCTAACTATATCATTGATTCAAGAATTTATTTGCCATTTGCAGTAAAACCACATTGGAAAAACTGCAAGACTTACCAAAGTGTCCAGAGCTCTTGCCACGATTTGGTTGTTTGATTTGGTTTCATTTGATTTACTCTTTTACCTGTAACTAAATCTGCTGTTTGTTCATCTTTTACTGCTCGGATGGTTCCAGGTCAGTTTTCTGCAGTGTGTGCCGCAGTCTATTGTCATGTACAGCGAACAATCAGCTTCGATGGCCGTCTCCTTTTCTCATTGAGAACAGGCGTTAGCTGCTAGACTCTTCCCAATTCGTCAGATTACAAAGTTACCCTCCTCCACTGTTACCCCCGACCTCTCCCTCTGTTGTGGCCCTTTAAGGCTCTTCCATGGAGACCACTGACCGGGCTTTGTTTGTGCTCCCAGACTCTAAACCCAGTCTTTCCTGGTTGTTTCTACAGCTTCCTCCTGGCTCTAGTTTCCAAGGCAGTAAAAAGGACCTTTATAACTTAGTGCTTTGCTATTATCAGATCTGGGGCTAAGGGCAGAAGGAAAGAAACTGCTGGATTAATTTTAGTTTGGAGACATGAAGAAAGGCAGAGCTGGTTTTGACCGGATTATTTCTACCAATTCTTTGTCTGTGGTTGACGAGAGGTAGGTTTTTTGTTGTTATTTTTAGCTTCAGGTCAATTTTTTCATTGCATAACCTTTTTATCTCACATACAAACATAAACATACTGATTTACTCTCTCTGTTGTGAACAGTTCTGTATCTCTAAACAGTCATGGATATAGTTTCATAAGTGTTTACATTGATGGTACATTCTTTGTTACTGGTTAATGGTGTCATTGGTTGTTGTTTCCGGGAATCTTTTTTTGATTGAAATGATGGTGAAATCTTTCTGTTGTGTGTTATGTCTCACTATCTATAATCTCTCACTTAGTCTTGTTAGTTTAGTCTTGGGCCAAAAGTGATTGTTTAAACAAGAGAGTGGGTTAGGGGTTATCACAGCTATTTCTGGTCTCTTCTATTCGAAAGATAAAGGTTGTGTATTCGGACAAGTCTCTCTTTAGATAAGTTAAGGTTAGGGTTATATTTTGTTTTTCCTGAGAGTTGGAACTATAACTAGAGTGCTCCCTGGTCTCAGCTGGACCTGGAAAAATGCTTATGAGAAGGTTTCTTTTTCCTTCCATACTCTAATGCCTTTTAGCCAAATGTCCAAGTTGCAATTCCTACAGTCTGACTTTGTTACTCTCAAGAAACACATGAAAAAAGCAGACTATTCTATACATTTAGCCTCTTATTTAGTGGTTATAAGACTGAACAGAGCGCCCTGAGATCTGCTTCTCTCTGTAGCTCCTTCGTAGTTTCTTAATGATGCTTTTAAGAGTTTTATATGTGCCTCACTGTGTTTTGCGTCGCTATTTGTATTCTTTTAGTCTGTCTGTGTGTGTGATTTGTGGTGTTGGTGCCCTCTGTGTCTCCTGTTTGTATTCCAATGTAGTTTTTTCTGCAAATGGCAATGAATTGATTCTGATCTACGCTAGAATCCATTTCAATGAATATAACATCAGCCCAGGGACTACAGGTGGAAAGCATGTTTGCAATTACCTGGAACAATACATGTCTCCATTGTGTTCTGACTTTGTTACTCTCAAGAAATAAAGGAGAAAAAACAGACTATTATACATTTCCAAGCCTGTGTTGATTCCTGTCTGCAAAGCATGGCAGTATTCAGATTTACAGTAGTGCGTGAAAAGCTAGACTCGTGTTGAATCCAGTTTAGACTCTGGTCACGTGTGCCTGAACAAGATCTGGCGTGTATTGTCTGCTCGGCCTGTTTGCCTCCGGGGGGAGTGGTCCAGTTTGACGTCACTGACTATGGCGTGTCACACCATTTCTCTAGAGCTGCTTCCTTATCACAGAGTTCAGACGGCAACACTTTTCCTACAGGGACAATCTTGAGGTTTTTTTCTACTTTCTGGACGGTGCTCCGAAGTTATTTTCCAGGACTTGAGTAATTTGAGAAGTTTAGAACAAAGTGTGGGTTATAAAAACAGAAATGCCTACAGTTAGTAGGTATATAAGCTTCCGTGCATCCAAGCGTTTCAAAATTTCAAGGTAAGAGTTTTGTCTATGAGGAAACTTTGCTTTGATCCAGGAGTGTGCTACTTTTTACTTGTAGATCACAGTCTTTGGTTTGTTACCTGTTGTTGACTTTTAGCTTGTGTACAAGAAATAAAAAAATAATAAAGATGCTGGTTAAAATGTTGAGGTCACTAGGAACAAGTAAGGATTGTTTTTACGTCTGTGGAAACTTACATTTTTGATATGACTTACAGATTAATTATATTTGAAGTAAAACAACTTAGGAATACATTAAAAGAAAGTCCAGCTTCTCCATATTTTTTTATATTTCTATTTTCCTTTGACATTGAATTGCAATTGTTTTAAATAGTTTGGGGATTTGACATTTTTCCTCTTTTAGTAGCTAGCCTTATTATAAAATGTTATGGTTTGTCATTGCACAAATATTCAGAAACCACAAATAAAATGGTGGTTAAAAGGTTTGAGTTGAGGTCATGAGGAACTACTTAGGATTGTTTTTACGTCTGTGGAAACTTACATTTTTGATATGACTTAGTTTCAGATTAATTATATTTACCATTTGCAGTAAAACCACATTGGAATAATTTACAAAAGTCCCCAGTGTGTACCAGACACGCATAACACAAGATTACCACTTGTTTTTATTGTGCGTAATTATATCCTGCACAGACTATATTTTTAATAAATGCGAGTAATTCTATCTGCAAAATTGGGGGTGGGATTAAACAAGTGTTTACTTCCTCCCTCTCCATTTCGAGCATCCATAAGTGTTATGTTAGTATCATTTCTCTTTTTGTTATTACTATTTGTTATATTTTGTAAATGTAAGTTGCTTATGATTAATTTGTACTCATTATTTCTATGCCCACTTACTTGCTCGAAAAAAAAAATATATATATGTGACATGTACATTTCTCCAGTGTGAGATCAATAAAGTATCAGTGTTCCCCAACCTTTTTACTCTGGCACACCTTTTACATTAATGATAGAAACTGACAGAACCATGAAACTCTGCTGCCTTTATTAACAAAACAAAGCCATTTTCAGTGAATGTACAACATAGGAAATCAAAAAAGTTATATTTATTTTTTCATTTCACATTATTATTATTTTGACCTAGTAGCTGATATTGGATAATTTCCCAAGGCACACCGAATAACATCTCAAGGCACACTAATGGGCCACGGCACACTGGTTGAAAAACACTGGTCTATCTTATCTTATACAAAATTTGTGAAATAAAACGGTTAAAACACACACATGTCTGTCAAAAGTCCTGGAAACTAAACCGTCTCTGTTCTGTCCGGTTCCAGCAGCTACACGGTGGAGGGCGGGGGGGCACTGCCGACAAAACTGAAGAAAAGTCGGAGCAGTTTAAGCAACGGCAGCGTCAAGAAAAAAGAAGCTCGGAAAGCCTTAAGTCTGGAAGCGGCTCAGCTCGAGATCCAGCAGCAGCACAAGACCCTGAGTCGCCAGGGGGCCGTCAGGTACCGACCCAGACCCTCATGTTCAGGCACCCACCCAGACCCTCATGTTTAGATCCAGACCCTCATGTTTAGATCCAGACCCTCATGTTTAGGTACCGACCCAGACCCTCATCATGTCTAGGTACAGATGGAAAGCATAAAGTGGTGAATGACACGGATCCTTGTGTGCGTCACATGATCAGACCAGACTAGTTTGTGGTCAAGTCCCGACATGCACATGGGTTCGTAGCTCTTTCTTATCTGCTTTGGTGGTTTTGGAAAAGAAGCAGAGACTCGTGTTTGCTGCAGTAGTTTTTGATGATATTGTTTTTGTTTGTGTTTGTGCAGGTCACAGACGTTTGAGGAGGACGGTAAAAGCTTTGAAAGGACTGAATGCTCTCAAAGTGTAAGTTGCTTATATACATAACATAAATTTAATTTAAATATCTAAATATCAACTGTAAAAAGGAGTGAGAAGACGTCGAACTTATAGTCTACAAGAGTTGGAGTGTCTACCTCGTAGACTGGCCTATCCGTACACTCCGCTCAATCATTATTTCCTGCATGTAACGTTTGGGTCTGGTCCCTGTGTTTGCAATAACAATCGGTTGAATTCCATCTGACCAATCAGAGAGCGCGGGAGGCGGGTGTTGTAGTTAGATGTGGGTGACGTCAAGAGTTTGCGCCGAACGGGCAGGTTGTAGTTTGGCGAAGAATGCGATAGTAAAGTATTCCGTTCTGGTTCTATCAAGAAATTGAAGCCGAGGAATGTTTAGCAAATGTAATCACTGGAAAAGATTGTGGCGCTACTCTCCCCACGGGCTCCGTTAGCGGCAAAGGAGAGGAGTGGCTAAAGCTAGGCTAAATGCTAAATGCCTCACTCACTCGGGCTCATTTCAAACGTCACAGTAAACTCTGATCCAATCGTTTCAATCTTCAAAAGGAGTTAACCCCTCCCACCTGTTAACGGAGTCAATGGAGAGAATCCAGACCTTAGTACGAAATGTAATTTGTACTATGGTGTGGTACGACCAGGCTACCATAACCTGTGCTAGAAGATACAAAAAATAAGGATACATTTATAACAAAGTAAAAATGTCTCCCTCTATATATAAATATTATAGACACACATCCATATACATACACATATATTAACACTATATACACACATACATATAGGCATATGGACATATTCATTTGCCATTTGCAGTAAAACCACATTGGAATACATTCGCAAGAGTCCCCAGTGTGAACAAAGCTCAAAAGTACAGGAATGAAACAATTCTCACTGTGAAATCAATCAAACTAAAACAGTTTAAATACAAGTATAAGATCATGGAAAGAAGCTGTTGGACAAAACGAGATGTCCTGCTTCTCAGCGAGGGAAGAAGCTGGAACATGGCTTTTCTAGGGGCCAGAAGAGGCATGGATTATTCTCAAAGCTCGGTTTAAAAGTCTGGATTCATAAAAAAAAACAGAACAGACAGAACTCTCCTTTATCGGAACATTTCACACACTTTCCATCTTCAATTCATAATCATCAAACTTTTATTACAGAGTCATGGTCCAGGACAAAACAACACATATAGTCACAGAAATCAGAGCAAACAGCTGTACCAGTGTCTCCACAGATCTAACTGGTACCACGTGGCACTGAATTTGTCAGGTTTATGATTATTATATTCTGGCTTTCATTGAGCCGACAGAGAAAACTGCATCAGACATCGAATGTCCTGAAATGTCCTGATTCCAGCGGACACAAAGAACCTGCACTTTCCCATCTCGGCCTTTTCAATAAAATCCTCACTGGTTGTGTTCCACATTGAGTTTGCAAATGGTTGCTTATTTTTTATTGAATTGTTTTTGAATGGCTGATTTTCTGTCTTCAGAGCTTCATCAAGCACAACAAGACATTCCACAAGTTGTTTCCGGACATTCCTGAGGGAGAAGATTTGATCCATGGTTTGTGTGTTTTTAAAGACTCATGATCATGATTAATTACTAAAATAATAATAATAATAATAATATTTTTTCCAGCTTACCTCTGTGCGCTGCAGAAAGAAGTCCCCTACCATGGCAGACTCTACATCACGGATAAAAACGTTTGCTTTTACTCCTCCGTCTTGCTCAAGGACACAAAGGTAGGCCTCGCACCCCCCTGAGTTTTCATGTTTCCTTCAGACTTGTTTTTAACGTGGCTGGTATTTTCAGGTTGTTGTTCCAGCTTCTTCCATCCACATCGTGAAGAAGCAAAACACTGCTTTGCTGGTGCCAAATGCAGTGTCGATCCGCACAACCGATGGCGATAAGGTGGGTTTGGATTTTAATGACATAACAGTCTATTTAAGGCAGGTGTGTCCAAACTTTTAAGCAAGAGGGCCATGTTAGTTCATCAGACCTGACTTGGGGCAGACAACCTGGATTTAAAAACTGGATTGACTGGAATTTAAAATGTTATGATTCGTCCTTATGGATCCACAGCTGCTTTATGTGGAATGTTGAGAAACAATCATAAACAAATGTCAGTATATTAGGGTCTGAGATTTACAACAAGCTATAACATGACTGTGTTGGTGGAGCTGAAGTTGGCTGAATGACACTTTCATTGTATTTTCTAATTGTAATTTTTTTCTATGTCTTTTTATGTTCAGCACTTTGGTCAACCTTGTATTTATTAGTGCTTTAAGAATAAACTAATCCTCCTCCTTTTATAAGACTCCTTTATTTTCCTTTTCAGTTTCTCTTTGTGTCGCTGCGGAACAGAGAAGGATGTTATCAGCTCCTTTGCTCAGTCTGTCCTCAGGTGGAAGTAAGTTCACCTCCTTTTTATCTAATCTAACACTTTGTTTTGCTCATTTTCCTTAATTTTTTATTTTTTTTACTTTCAGGAGGGAAGCACAAACAGTAGCCCTCTGTTCTCCTCGGCTGAAACCAGCTTTGAGAAGAGCAGACTTGTGGTGAGAAAATGCCTCTTAGTGAAAAATAGAATATTGCTTTTTATTATTGATACTTCGATCAGGCGGCACGCTTTCGCTTCTCAGCAAGTAGGTCCTGGATTCAAATCCCGTTTGGAACGGGACCTTTTCTGAGTGGAGTTTGCATGTTCTCCCCATGTCTGTGTGGGTTTCCTCCGGGTGCTCCGGTTTCCCCTACGACTAAAAACATGTACAATAGGTCTGTCCCTCCTGTACTGGCCCCGCTCCCATCTCTGTGTGGAGTGAGAGACTAATGCCCACAATTGTAAACCGCTTTGACTCTGGTCTGAGAAAGGCGCTATATAAATAAACATTACTTACTTACCTGACGGTGAAATGTGGTTTCTTCTCCAGAATTCCAGCCAGTCGAGTTTGGACGACAGCTTTGATCTCTTCGATGGCCCTAACATCCAGAGCCCTCCCCCGCCGCTCTTCAGACATCACAGAGGTGGGCGGGGCTTCCTCATTAACACTACTTCTTCTTCTACTCCATGCCCTGCCTTTCCTTTCTAACTGTGTATGCTAATGTTCCAGAATCCGTGGATGATGCTAATGTTACGGCTCTTGGAAGCTTGACCACGCAGGAAAGTGACAGCTCCTCTTCCGAAGACCTGTCTGTGTCAGGTAAATGTCTTATCAGTTGATTTTAAATGACTGGATTAGATACTTTTCAGGTATAAATGTCTGAACTGTGTGTGTTTGGCTTTGCAGGTGTGTCCTGGATGTGGAGTGTGACGGAAAATGCCCGGTCTCTGTTTGTTCAGAGGGAGGCGAGCACTCTCAACACTTTACTGTTCATTTACTTGATTTTGTGAGTACACACTTTTGTCACAAATGTTTTGAGTGAATTTTCCCCTTTTTAAAAATGACTTATGTGTTTTCATACAGGGTGGTTTTGCTGCTTTTATCTTCGGGCTACATTGGCCTTCGTATCGTTGCCTTGGAACAACAGCTAACGTCTCTCGGTGCCCTGCCCGAGTTCACTCTCCAGAGCGGGTAAGAGTCTGTGTTTTAGAAAGATTGATCCTGTTGAAGTAAAAGTGTCCAGTATCAGCAAAAACACATCCATCTTAAAACAAACAAAACTAATAAATATGTTATTATAATAACATAATAATAATAATAGTCACAAGAGCAGAGGTGGAGCCGCTTGATTCAGACCATTTTCTCTGCTCTGGTCTGGACCAGTGTAAAACCATGAACACTGAACTGCAGCTACATCTCAGGCAGAAAAAAGCAAGAAAAATATCAAATGTAAAAGACAAAACAACTGTTTCAGAGACACTCGGGACTCGCTCTTGTTTCCAGAACATTCAAAAGTAAACATTAATTTATTTATTGGAGAAAAGTCAATAGTATTTTTTTTTTTTTTTTACAGTGGTGCCATACATGGTCATTTTCACATTTAGATTGACTCTGCAGAGTGAGTCATTTTTGGTTGCCAGATTTATGTGCAAGATCCAGCTGTTTTTGGTCTTTACACAGAGCTGGGCGATAAAACGATAACGATATATATCGCGATAGACATGTGTTCGATATCAATAGAGAATGGGGTCGATAGAATGTTCGATAGTTTAACTTAACTCCGTCAGGAAAAACAGGAAGAAAACACCGGAAGTAAAGCCGACTCATAAGCGCATGGCATTGTGGGGGATGTAGGCAGAGGCTTCTCGACCAATAACAGCCGAGCAGGAACCGCAAAACTTTCTGGGAAATGCAAAAACACCAACAACCGCACCATGCGTAGCGTCCATGGATCTATAGCTCGTGTTTCAATGCCGTGTCAATGGTTGTGCACGTACGTGCGCGGAATAACATGTGAGGCGGCAGAGGCAGTGGACAGACGCGATGTATTCGGCGAAAGCAAGAGATTAACTTTTTCCTCGGGAAGCATGTGCGGCACAGAGAGCCACACGGAGCGGTCACGGGGACACAAGACCCTCGAAAACAGCTAAACCAGGAGCTAAACCAGGAATAAAAAACCAGGACTAACAACGAGGGACACAGTGTGAACATATTCCTCCAGCCTCATTCCCCCGTGACTGTAAACAAGGCTGCTAAGGTTGGTTAGCCCACACGACAAATGTATTTATTTAGGTTAAGAAAAAAAAAAACTCAATATATATTGTAAAGAGCAGTCATTCATATCGAACGATATGAATGACTTATATTGTGATATACTTTTCAGCCATATCGCCCAGCCCTACTAGAAGACGATATATAGTTAATGGATTGGCCGTTTGTTCATTTGAAAATGCAAACTCATAAATACTGCCTCCAGGGGGCGACGATCGCAGCAGAGTGAACCAAAAGGAGCAAACTCTCAGACTGCGATGACCTCTTCCCATACATTTTGATACGCACAGGATAGAGAACAAACTACAACAATGGTGGTGGATCGACCTGTGCTTCTAGTGTCACACTGAGGAGAAATTCTACTTTTGTCTGGACTAAAAACGCCACACAAAGCTGAAGTTGCCGTTTCCGATTTTGCTGCTACTATAAAATGACGTGGTTGAGGAAGTTGTAAAGTTCCACTGCCCTCTACTGGCCGGGCATTGGAACTATATCGTTTTCAGTCGCACAGTGTAGACTCTTTGCAGTTTGAATCTGGAGTAGGGTCATTATTTCTGGAGTCTCTGTAAACTGGGCCTAAACCTCAGCCTCAGTCTCTGTGTAAACTGGACCTCAGCCTCAGTCTCTGTAATCTGACCCTGTGAACTGTAAAGTGTGAGCTCCACGTGCAGGAATAACTGGCAACACAGGGTTTAGATATATTTTTTTAAAGTTATGTAATTTCTTTTTTAATTAAATGACTTTGGCAGCAGCTCCGGCACTCCCTACAGTCATGAGCGATGAGTCTAAACTGGTTTCCCTTTTTTTCTTTCTAAAGGTTTCGTCAGGAGACATAACGCTGAGGAGAGACTGACTTGGGACTTGAAGAATCCTTGGGTTTCCTGAAAAGAAACCCAGAAATGTTAAGACTGTTCACAATCTTGCCTGAATGAAGGAAGGCCAACACGTGCAATAGACAATGGCTCGTTCTTAAGGAAGCCGCATGAGCCAAGCCAAAGTGGACAAACTCACTGTCTGTAAAACCAAATGGCTCCGACTCGTGCCACATCAGAGGCAAACACAAACTTTCATTTCTTAATCATTTTAATCTTAGCATGAAAACAAACAGGGCTATATCTCTGCAGGTGTTCAGTGCTATGCCCCCTGCAGGTGTTCAGTTCTATGCAGCATGATTGCACAAAGAATGACGTCTCTTTTCTTAATGACTGAAATGCAAAAAACTGTTGGTTCTCAAGGCTTCTCAATCAGCACAGCTTCAGTGTTAACTTTATGGGTTCAGATGTTGATGTTGAGATTCCAGTTTTGTCTGGAAACGCCTCCGTGCAGTGATCTGGAAGTGTTGAGTTTGTTAAAGCAGGTCCTTGTGTTAATGACCTGTAACAGGCCTCACAAGGTCCAGAAGGTCCTGGAGATCTTTCTGGAAGGAGAGCATTACGAGTGGTAACCGTTTGTGTTTGTAAACCAACTAATGAGCAAATAACTCTTCTTACAGACCAGAGGTCTGTAAGAAGAGTTATAAACCAAATGTTTTTAGGTCTACATTTTCAAGTAAGTGATCAGAGGGTCCTAAATGTTCAAAATGCGACACACTCAGATGTTTGCAACACACTCGGATGTTTGCATGTGTCTTTGTGCAGTTTTTAATTGGTTGGTTTTGAAGGTTGTGACCCGGAGAAAGTGTTTGGAGCATTGCACTTTAAAGGTGCTCTGCTGATCTGAATCTAAAGTCCTGTGTAGATTCGAGACCAAACGGCAGAGCTGACACACTGTGACGCACAATGGTGCTATGATCTCACTCAGGGGTGGAGCCAAAACCCACCACTTTCAAAAACCCGTCTATTTCATTTCAAAAATTCTCATAGTTTTTCCCTTGTTCAAAGAGCACACTTTTAACTGAAATGATTCTTACAAATTCTGCTCCAAATGCCATACCATAGTCTCCATACCATAGTAAGTTTTTCCCTTGTTCATAGAGCACACTTTTAACTGATATGATACTTACAAATTCTGCTCCAAATGTTCCTGTTTGTCTAAACTGTCACTGTAGCCAAGATCACATAAATTTTAAGAATAATACATTTCAAAACTGGTTTGAGGAGATTCTCAAAGACTTTCTTCTCAATCGTGGTTGTGTTGCCGCCCTCGCTCCTCGGGACTCACAGAGGATCAACTATGGGTGATTTTTGCACTAGTGTTGTACATAATTTTGTATTGATCTTTCGTGTACTTAATTCTACTTTTGTCCTATATTTATTTTTCTTTGTAATTCAAAGTAGTCTCTGTGAGATGACTTTGTTATTGTTGAAAATAAACTGAATGTTGCGACGTCTTTGAAGAATTATTGAATTCATAAGAGTTACACACAAGTTTATTCACATGTTTTATATTCAGTGTCTTCATCTCAATTCAAATAATATCTTTACTTAGAGCTGAAAATACACAGTGGGAGTTTTCCGCCATTTTTTTTCTTTCTGAATTTCTTTTCTCAGTCTTCTCAAGTCTCTTCGGTGTTTGCTGCAGATTTTGCCGTTGTCCGATAAGCACACAGTTGAAATAGTCCTGTAAGGAGGGACACGTAACATACATTTACCAGTTAAATCAGAACACAAAATATTTAAAAAGTATCACTACCTGCAGCAAAGGCCAAAATAATTGCAACCCAGCCAATTATATAGGACCAGGAGAATTTCCAGTTCAAGAAGCGCTTGCCAAAGAATGTGACCATGACTCCGGTGTAGATGGCCATCGCCAGCAGAGCCAGGAAGCCTGACAAAACAATAATAATAATAATGTACAAACACTTGGTGTTTGGTAAAAAATTTCCTACACCTACATGAAACTCAATTTGCAGAAATATGTAAGATTTTCATGTCTTGTCATCATAAAAGGGCCCTAATCTGTCATCATGAAAGGGCTCTAACACGTCATCATTAAAGATCCCTAATCTGTCATAATGGTAAACATGCTCTTGTTAGGATTTAGCAGACAGAGACGGATCGTGGTGTGCCAAACTCTGGAAGTTTAAGTTGCTCTCAAGTTCCACTGGTTTACTCGGTTTCTTTTCCTCAGACAGAATAAAGGCAGTACACAGTTTATATAGTCATTGTCACGTCACACATCGAAAGACATACGTGTCACAAAGAGACAGTCAAATCATAGTCATAACATGGAGTCCTTGTAGAGTCCTTGTACAGTCCTGCACGTAGGCCATATTGCTATCTAATACTAATACTCTTTTCCAATACTTCTTTAACTGATAACAGTAGTTCAGAGATATTCTAATTTCTACATTACTTTTCCAGCCTCTAAATCTTGTTTTCATTTTGATGTCCTGCCCTCCACCGTTTCACCAATCAGAAAGTCCGTGATCCAGCCGCCAGAACTCACTGCATGGAGCTAATCTCACTGGTAAAGTACCATGTGGCGCAGAACTAAAAAAAAGGCTTGTTATGATTCTCAAATCATTAACGACAAAACAAGGATTTCTATCTTTGTGAAAAAGGTGTTGGTTATAGATTTGTTGTTGACAAAACTCTTGTCTAGCCCGGACCATGTGTCTCCAGCCACTCAGACACTGCGCCAGTGAGCTAACTCCTGTCTTCACTGACATTTTCAACACCTCTCTGCAGTCCTGCCATGCCCCGGCCTGCTTCAAATCCTCCATCATCGTCCCCGTCCCGAAGAAGCCCAGGATCTCAAGTCCTCAAGTCCCCCCTCCTGGACCCCCTGCAGTTCGCCTACAGAGCCAACAGATCTGTAGACGACGCCATTAACCTGGCCCTCCACCACATCCTACAGCATCTGGACTCCCCGGGGACCTACGCCAGGGTCCTGTTCGTGGACTTCAGCTCTGCCTTCAACACCATCCTGCCATCCCTGCTCCAGGACAAGCTCTCCCAGCTTACGGACAGGAAGCAGCGAGTGCGTCTGGGGAAGAATGTCTCGGACTCTCGGATTATAAATACAGGAGCCCCACAGGGCTGTGTTCTCTCTCCCCTGCTCTTCTCCCTGTACACCAACCACTGCACCTCCAGCCACGACTCTGTGAAGCTGATTAAGTTCGCGGACGACACCACCCTCATTGGACTCATCTCCAACAACGATGAGTCCGCCTACAGGAGGGAGGTGGACCGGCTGGTGTCCTGGTGCAGTGGTAACAACCTGGAGCTGAACGCCCAGAAGACAGTGGAGATGATTGTGGACTTCAGGAAGAGCACTGTCCCCCCGCCCCCACCCCCACCCTCCGTGATGGACTCCCCCATCACCTCTGTGGAGTCCTATCGCTTCCTGGGCACCACCATCACCCAGGACCTCAAGTGGGAGCCGACCATCAGCTCCCTCAACAAGAAGGCCCAGCAGAGGATGTACTTCCTGCGGTGCTCAGGAAAGCCAAGCTGCCTGCACAGATGTTGGTGCAGTTCTAAACGGCCATCATCGAGTCATTCCTCACCTCCTCCATCACCGTGTGGTTCGCTGGAGCCACAGTCAGGGACAAGCAGAGACTACAGCGCATTGTGCGCTCTGCAGAGGAAGTGATCGGCCGCAGCCTTCCATCGCTGCAGGACCTGTACGCCGCCCGAGCTCGAGGCCGGGCTGGTCGTATCACAGCCGATCCTTCTCACCCTGCACATGGACTGTTCCAACCACTCCCCTCAGGCAGGAGGCTGCGGTCCATCAGGACTAGAACCTCCCGCCACAAGAACAGTTTCTTCCCCTCTGCTGTTGGACTCTTGAACACTTGAACATTTCTTAACCTCCCCGCCCTATAGAAGTCCCCCACTGCTCTTTATAATGTCACTGCCCATCACTGCCCATCACTGTCACTGCCCTGTTTACTGCCCATCATACGTCACTTTACTTCACTGTACAGCTGTCACCTTAAATTGTGTGCACCATGTGCACTGTTTATTGTATATAGTAATTGTAACTCTATTTTAATTTTAAATGTATTCCTTAGAAGTGTTTTTTTATTCTTTTTATTTTATTTTATTCTCTCTCTCTGACTGTTGCACCGAGCCAAAGCAATTTCCAAGTCTGTGACCTCCTGTTACTAACGTGGCAATAAAAATTATTCTGATTCTGATTCTGAGTCTCCAGCCACTCAGACACTGCGCCAGTGAGCTAACTCCTGTCTTCACTGACATTTTCAACACCTCTCTGCAGTCCTGCCATGCCCCGGCCTGCTTCAAATCCTCCATCATCGTCCCCGTCCCGAAGAAGCCCAGGATCTCAAGTCCTCAAGTCCCCCCTCCTGGACCCCCTGCAGTTCGCCTACAGAGCCAACAGATCTGTAGACGACGCCATTAACCTGGCCCTCCACCACATCCTACAGCATCTGGACTCCCCGGGGACCTACGCCAGGGTCCTGTTCGTGGACTTCAGCTCTGCCTTCAACACCATCCTGCCATCCCTGCTCCAGGACAAGCTCTCCCAGCTTACGGACAGGAAGCAGCGAGTGCGTCTGGGGAAGAATGTCTCGGACTCTCGGATTATAAATACAGGAGCCCCACAGGGCTGTGTTCTCTCTCCCCCTGCTCTTCTCCCTGTACACCAACCACTGCACCTCCAGCCACGACTCTGTGAAGCTGATTAAGTTCGCGGACGACACCCCCCTCATTGGACTCATCTCCAACAACGATGAGTCCGCCTACAGGAGGGAGGTGGACCGGCTGGTGTCCTGGTGCAGTGGTAACAACCTGGAGCTGAACGCCCAGAAGACAGTGGAGATGATTGTGGACTTCAGGAAGAGCACTGTCCCCCCGCCCCCACCCCCACCCTCCGTGATGGACTCCCCCATCACCTCTGTGGAGTCCTATCGCTTCCTGGGCACCACCATCACCCAGGACCTCAAGTGGGAGCCGACCATCAGCTCCCTCAACAAGAAGGCCCAGCAGAGGATGTACTTCCTGCGGTGCTCAGGAAAGCCAAGCTGCCTGCACAGATGTTGGTGCAGTTCTAAACGGCCATCATCGAGTCATTCCTCACCTCCTCCATCACCGTGTGGTTCGCTGGAGCCACAGTCAGGGACAAGCAGAGACTACAGCGCATTGTGCGCTCTGCAGAGGAAGTGATCGGCCGCAGCCTTCCATCGCTGCAGGACCTGTACGCCGCCCGAGCTCGAGGCCGGGCTGGTCGTATCACAGCCGATCCTTCTCACCCTGCACATGGACTGTTCCAACCACTCCCCTCAGGCAGGAGGCTGCGGTCCATCAGGACTAGAACCTCCCGCCACAAGAACAGTTTCTTCCCCTCTGCTGTTGGACTCTTGAACACTTGAACATTTCTTAACCTCCCCGCCCTATAGAAGTCCCCCACTGCTCTTTATAATGTCACTGCCCATCACTGCCCATCACTGTCACTGCCCTGTTTACTGCCCATCATACGTCACTTTACTTCACTGTACAGCTGTCACCTTAAATTGTGTGCACCATGTGCACTGTTTATTGTATATAGTAATTGTAACTCTATTTTAATTTTAAATGTATTCCTTAGAAGTGTTTTTTTATTCTTTTTATTTTATTTTATTCTCTCTCTCTGACTGTTGCACCGAGCCAAAGCAATTTCCAAGTCTGTGACCTCCTGTTACTAACGTGGCAATAAAAATTATTCTGATTCTGATTCTGGTCTATTCAGCTGTTATGGTCCCAGCTGGATTCGTCTGCATATCTGGCAACCTGAGTCAGGGAGAGCGGGAGAGGCTGCAGTACCACTTTTGGCCACATTTTTACATACAGCTCCTTTAACCGCAGCGACTGATGTGTGATTGGTGGTGGTCAAAAAGGGGCCGGTGGCACAGAGTGGCTGCCTCTCTTCTGTCAGTCTGTTCAGGGCAGCTGAGGCCGCAACAGTCGTTTATCGTTGCCGAGTACGGATCAATCAAGAAGAAATCATTGATAACTTTGATGTATATTTTGCAAAGAAGTACAAAATTAAAATCTACCTGAAAGAATAAGAGCAATCCCTGCGGTGCGTACTCTCCGGCTCTTGGTGCCGTTGGTGAAAGCAGTCAGACCGAGCACGACTCCAGCAAAACAGCTCAGCACCGACAGCAGCATGAAGGCCCTGGTGGCGTCCCAAAAAGCTGCAACACAACATTAAACAATTGTTACCATGGAATACAACATCACTAGATTTTACATGTGTGTATTTTTGGATTCTGTCACGTCCAACTGAACCAGACAGAACCACCCTCAGCCAATCATCTGTCCATTCATGTTTACAGTCTATGGTCGTGCCCAAATGTGTCAAACAGTGACTCACACACTGTAAAAAATGCCTTGAAAATAATTATGAAAATAAGATAATAATCATTAAAAATGATTTGCGACAGAACAGGAAAATATGTCTCAAGATTTCTGAAAATAATAAAATAAAACTAGCCCCAAACGACTTGATTCTAGTTTTAAAAACATACATTTCAAGTATTATTTACTTGTTTCTTTTTTTTTTTTTTATGTTTTCTTAAAATACAATATCACAAACTTATTTTATCTAAACAAGACAAGTTTGGAAATAAGAAGAAATATAGTATTATTATCTTAAAACTAGAAAAATAATCCAATCACAAACTACATTCAAGCAACAAAAACTTCCATTGAAAAATGTGTGTGTGATGTGTGTAGTGCGTGTGCATGTGTGTGTGTTTGTGTGCGTGTGTGTGTAGTGTTTGTCTGTGTGTGTGCTTTCGTGAATTCTTTTTTAACTTTGTTAAATAGTAAAACAAATGGGCTCTTTCTTATGCTTTCATATAAAAAAGTAAAAGTAAGTAAGTAATCTTTATTTGTATAGCACACGACACTTTTCGAGGCAAATAACACTTTTTAATACCGAAAGAATAACTTTAAATCTTTAAAAACCATCCCGGACTGACCTACGGCGATGGTGTGGGGCCTGCACCGGTGACTGATGCAGTACCGCCACAGCCCCTGGTTGTCCCAGTTCTCGATGTGTCGGTGCTGGATCCAGAAGTCTGTTGCCGTGGAGACGATGAGGAGAACCAGGGCGGCCACACCACACACAGTTCCTCCTCCTGCCAGAGGGGGCAGCATCACAGGCTGAGACTCCGAGGTCCAGCCTCCGACAGAAAAACAGCTGAATACAGAGAACGGACACGGGACGTTTCATGGAGGGAAACGTCCCGTTAGAGTTAGAATTCTTTAGAGTTAGGGTTCTTTAGAGTTAGAGTTCTTTAGGGTTCTTTAGAGTTAGGGTTCTTTAGGGTCAGAGTTAGAGTTAGGGTTCTTTAGAGAGGAGTTAGAGTTAAGGTTCTTTAGAGTCAGAGTTAGGGTTCTTTAGGGTCAGAGTTCTTCAGGGTCAGAATTAGAGTTCGGGTTCTTTAGAGAGGAGTTAGAGTTAGGGTTCTTTAGGGTTCTTTAGAGTTAGGGTTCTTTAGGGTCAGAGTTCTTCAGGTTCAGAATTAGAGTTAAGGTTCTTTAGAGAGGAGTTAGAGTTAGGGTTCTTTAGGGTCAGAGTTAGGGTTCTTTAGAGTTAGGGTTCTTTAGAGAGGAGTTAGAGTTAGGGTTCTTTAGGGTCAGAGTTCTTCAGGGTCAGAATTATAGTTAGGGTTCTTTAGAGAGGAGTTAGGGTTAAGGTTCTTTAGGGTCAGAGTTCTTTAGGGTTAGAGTTAAGGTTGGGGAGTAACTGAGTACATGTACTGCCATTAAGTATTCCGAATACTGTGAGTAACTGTATTCCCTCACAGTTACTACTTTAAAGTCTAGCGTTTAGAAAACCGAAAGTGCAGTATGTTATTGCACCTACCCAAGCATTTACAGCTAAGAATCACAGCAGCTACTTATTTTGTATATTTTGCGAGTTCCCTGTGTCTCTTGCTACTGTCCTGTCTGACGTGGACGTAATATGGATGCTAGAGTAGCCTCACCGCAAGTAAAAATCAGAGTTTTGTTTTGGTTTTGTCCAGGTAAGTTGTTGTTTGAATTAGCTTTAACACATTGTCTTTAATAGTGCAGAGTATTCCCTTAAAGTAGCTTTATGTAAGATTTACATGTCAAGTCATCATTAAAATTTGTTTTCCAGCCCCTAAATCTTGTTATTGTTTTCATTCCGATGTCCTGGCCTCGACCGTTTCATCAATCAGACAGTCTGTGATCCGGGTTGCCAAAACTCACAGCGTGGAGCTAATCTCACTGGTAAAGTAGCATGTGGCGCAGAGCTAAAAAAGGTCTCGTTATGATTCTCAAATCATTAATAACAAAACAAGGAATAAAACCAGGATTTCTATCTTTGTGAAAAAGGTGTTGGTTATAGATTTGTTGTTGACTAAACTCTTGTCTATTCAGCTGTTATGGTCCCAGCTGGATTCGTCTGCATATCTGGCAACCTGAGTCAGGGAGAGTGGGAGAGGCTGCAGTACCACTGTTGTCCAGATTTTTTACATACTGTACTGCTCCTTTAAACTTTAGTCTTTCTTCATGTCAGAGAGGTTGCATTTACCATGAAGTAGACACATATTCAGATCTGATCCATTATGAGTCTAATTCTATCAAATGCTGCGGTGGCTTTGAACCAAACCAAACTTTGTCAGAACAAGGAGAGTGCACATGAAGCATTCCTGGCCTTTGTCTCCTCTTTACAAAGTGAAACTGAACCGTCAGCATCACTGAGATTCCACAGTCGGACTTTGCAACAGAATCAAACAAAGGCTTTAACATGAATTTATTTTATTTGATTAAAACCTGTGGTAAATTAAACTGTAATTTCTGTCTGATAATGTTTGTAATGTATCCATCTACTTTTATTTTATTGTTTTACAACATCCTGCTCAGGGGCTACAGGTGAATATTAGCACTGCTGCTGACCTGCTAAAGCAACTCTCATTTTGGCTCATGTTATTATACACTGTAAAAATAAAAATTAAACCAAATTCTCCTAATTCTAAATAACATAAAGTTGGAAACACTTGAACTTGGAGCTTGGACTGAAACCTGTTTTGAGAATCTCTATCTCTTGGTTTTAGGCCCTTTTACAATTAAACTGCTGCTCAACCAAAAAACAAGGTTAAAAAATTGGATTTTTAGTGCTCGCATATCTTAGAGAATCCTAAAAAAAAGAAAATAAAAAACAAAAAAACATTGCTTTCCTCCAGAAGTGAACATTAAGGGGCTAAAGAAGTTTTAGAGCTGTTAATGTTTTCCTCTATATTTAGCAAACACTGAGGAAATCGGTAAAATTCAGTTTTGAGGAGATATAGAGAAATACCGTGGAGTTGTTGGGAGTCCGGTCTCTGGCTCAGTCTGGACCCGTGTGGTCTTGAAAGCTCTGCACATCAGGACCCCACTGAGCCCCTCACAAAAGAGAGATCAAAGCCCGAGTCTGCATCATCTGCAGTGTCGGGAGTATCTGAGTACATGTAATCCCAGTATTGAGAGTACTCTGAGTATTCCACTAGTTTCTACTTTAAAGTCTGGTCTTTAGGTTACAGTTACTTTCTGAAAATGACAGAATACAGACTTTCTCACATGTTTTAAGGTTAAGGTTTTAAGGCTGTTGAAGCTTTGACTGTTTTACATAAACAACAAATTATTGATTAGGTTTTATTTATTTAAACATTTATAGAGATTGCGGTTTTAAATATTTAGAAATTTACCTTTATACGTTTTGTAAATACACATGAATTTACAATAAGTATAAAAAAATACAAATAATAATGAAAAGTGTAAATACAAGTATTCTAAGTATCCAGAATACTGGTGCTGCTTTGGGCACAGTAACTGAATACTTTACAAATACATTTACATTTTAAAAGTATTGTCCCTAACTCTGTATAGATGCAGTTATTGACAAGTTTTTGTTTTTACGTTATGTTTGTAAAGATGATAAATGACGACGTGTTGCAAAAAGAGTAAAAAATAAAAACTTTATTTGATATTTGGTTAATGCACAATGAATGTTCTGTAGAAATGAAAGAAACAAAGCTGGACTTTCTGGTCGTGTGTGGTTTGAGTGTGTTATTATGCAGTGCTTTGGAACAACTCTTTCAGGAGATTTAGAGGAGTTCTTAAAAAAAAAAAAAAAATTCAAGTAAGTAAGCAATTTTTATTTATACAGAGCCTTTCTCAGACCAGAGTCAAAGCGGTTTTCAATTGTGGGCACTTGTCTCTCACTCCACACAGAGATGGGAGCAGTTGTCTACAGGGCAGACCTATTATACATGTGTTTAGTGCTAGGGGAAACCGGAGTACCTGGAGGAAACCTATGCAGACACGGGGAGAACATGCAAACTCCACTGAGAAAGGCCCTGTTCCGACCGGGATTCGAACCCAGGACCGTGTTGCTGCTAACCACTCAGCCAGTATTTGTCTCACAGCAGAGACATTTTTATTGATCGAGTGATATACATTATATTTTCTGAGGTCACACTGGAAAATACCTGTGAAAAATAAATATGAAAATAAGTAAAAGACGGCTTAAAATAATAAAAATGATCTGTCAATAGAAGAAGAAAATATGACTTAAGAATTTAATAAAATAAAACTATCCCCAAACGACTTGACTCTAGTTTAAAAACATACATAAGTATTATTCACTTATTTCTTAAACATTTATGTTTTCTTAAATTACAGCATCACAAACTTATTTCTTCTAAACAAGAAAAGTCTGGAAATAAGAAACAAATACTTAAAACAAGCTTAAAAACTCACTGCTCATAAGATTATGAAGAATTATCTTAAAACTAGTAAAATAATCTAATGACAAACTACATTCAGGAAACAACAAAAATAAGCATAATTTATGTTTGGGTGAGCTCTCAGTCGTTCAGGGGTTCGTCACAAAGGAAGGTTTCTCATCTGCACTTCATTTGTTATTTTTAGTGAATAAATCTGACCAAGATTTTACTTAATTCAGTTTTCTCCCCATTTCTTCTTGAGTTTTTTCCTTCATTCTTTTTGCAGCCAATACTAAAGTTTGTTTTTGTTAAAGATTAACGTTTTAAAGATTTAAAACTTTAGTTTGTCAGTTTTATTCCTGGACACTCTTTATTCTTTCAGAGGATCATGAAGTGAACCAGAGGAAAAGATTAAACAGGACTTATTACGTTACACAAGCACGTCTGCAAACACACACACACACACATCCATCTGCAAACACACATCAGTCTGCAAACACACACACACAACACATACATCCGTCTGCAAACCCACACACCCACGCACACACATCAGTCAGCAAACATAAAGACAGTTACACAAATACACAGCTACACAAAAACACACACACACACACACACACACAACAAAGGTTTGGGTTGTGCTTTTATTCTGTGGTAATATTACATTAGATTGTTCACATCATTCATACACATCATGCGAGGCAGCCCAGGAATATAGTGAGTGGGTGACATAAGTTCTTCAGTTTCTTATATTCTGACATAAATATCACTTTTCCTTCATTTTATAGTATTTATTTAAGCCATTTATGAAGTGATAATTATATATTTTATTATAATTATGAGGTAAACAATAATGTGCAGTGGTAGAAAAATAAACAGCTCTGGGCCATAAACAAGGATTAAAAAGGCACAAAATGTGACAAAAGCAAAATAACCATCACAGCTACGCCATTTTCTTTGTATTAGTAGTATCCAAGTAGTAGTATCTAAATAGTTGTAGTAGTAGTAGTAGTAGTAGTATGCAAATATTAGTAGTATCCAAATAGTAGTAGTAGTAGTATCCTAGTAATAGTAGAATCCAAATAGTTGTAGTAGTAGTAGTAGTATCCTAGTAATAGTAGAATCCAAATAGTTGTAGTAGTATCAAAATAGTAGTAGTAGAATCCTAGTAGTAGTAGTAGTATCCAAATAGTAGTAGAGTAGCAGTAGTAGAGTAGCAGTAGCAGTAGTAGTAGTAGTATCCTAGTAATAGTAGTATCCAAAATGTAGAAGTAGTAGTATCCAAATAGTAATAGTAGTATCCAAATAGTAGCAGTAGCAGTATATTTTCTTCGGCCTATAAGATCCTATAAATATTTTACAATAATAAAAGTAAAACAAAGACCTAAAATGTGTGTTAAGAATTTTAGTGCAAAAGAAGCCTGAAAGACGTTTAGTCTGAAGTCAAGACTAAACTAAACACAGTTAATATTTCACTTTTTGATCAAATCTAAACTGTCGCAAAATGAGTTAAAACTATCTGTGCGTTTCTAAAAACATTTTCTTCTTCTTTGTGTTTTCTCAAATTAAGCAAAAGTCACAACATGGAACTATTGACTTTTCTTTTGCATAATGTCCTTGTTTGCAGGTGTAAAGTCCAGTCCACATTCAGGCTGCCTCAGGGCGACTGTGGCGCCCAGAGCACCGCGGTACGATCCGCAGACGAGGAGAGGAAGCTCCGGTGGTGAGGATGCCAACGACACTGGATCACTTTATCCCAGTGCTCCCCCACCACGACCTGGGGGAGGGGCTTAGTCAGGTCGCCTGGACAGACAGGAAGTATAGGGATACATTAAAGGGCCCTAATCTGTTATCATTAAAGAGCCCTAATATGTCATCATTAAAGGGCCCTAATATGTCATCATTAAAGGGCCCTAATATGTCACCATTAAAGGGCCCCAATCTGTCATCATTAAAGGGCCCTAATCTGTCATCATTAAAGGGTTAGGGCCCTTATCTGTGGTCCCTTATCTGATGACAGATTAGGTTGTGTGTAGTTGTGTGTTGCCTGTACCTTGGAGGTCACTGATGATGATGCTGTTGTCGTAGGAGGCGGTCAGAAGGTGATGAGCTCCGGGTGAGAAGCGAACTGAGCGGACGTCGCTGCTGTGAGGGCGATACGTCTGAACGATACGACCTCCTTTAATATCGTAGAGCGTGCAGGTGCTGTCCTCCTGCCCCGAGGCCAAGAGGCGACCACTGGGGTCCACCGCCACAGAAGCCACCGCACTTCCTGAAACAAATCATCAATGATGTCAACATTTAACAGGTTCTTTCAAAGCTGAAGCAGTGAGACTCTAATGCATTCATTTGTCTGTCTTTTGCGGTAAAACTATGAACACACTTTACTTTAGAATGTTCTGGAAACTGCAGCGAGTCCTGAGCGTCTCTGAAACTGTTTTGTGTTTTACAAATGTTATTTTTCTTGCTTTTTTCTGCCTGAGATATTGCTGCAGTTCAGTGTTCATAGTTGTACACTGGTCCAGACCAAAGCAGAGAGGATTCATAGTTGTACACTGGTCCAGACCAAAGCAGAGAGGATTCATGGTTTTACACTGGTCCAGACCAAAGCAGAGAGGATTCATGGTTTTACACTGGTCCAGACCAAAGCAGAGAGGATTCATGGTTTTACACTGGTCCAGACCAGAGCAGAGGGGATTAGGCGAAAATCCACTGGAGGAATTTTTGAAACACGCTAACAAAGCATTAAGCTTATTTTACTTTGGACCAGAGCAGAGAAAACGGTCCAAAATGTCCTGCATCTCAGCGAACAATAACTTCTGCCAGAGGAAGAAGCTGGAACATGGCTTTTCCATTGTAGGGTTCAGAGGAGAGTAACTAAAGTCTGCACCCTCCCATCAGTCCGCTTATACTTTGAGCTTCTGAGATCATATTTATTAGCCTTTACCTGAGCCGTGCAGTGTCGTACTGATGACTCTGACACAGCTGGGCACTCGCAGATCCCAAAATCGAACCGTTTTGTCTTGGGAACCCGACGCGATCATCCAGCCTCCCCATGTGTACACGGTCAGAATATGGCCTGGAAATGCACCGTTTTCTTTCAATAATAATCAGGAGTCATCATGTCAAACGCAAACTCTCTAAAGTCATTCTTTAGAGCGTGGGGGCATTCCACAGTCCGTGCTACAGCGACTCTCCAAAGTATTGATACATCTTAAACCTTTCCACATTTTGCCGGGTTTACAACCATAAACAAAGATTTTACTTTCATTTTTTAGTGAAATTTCACAGACAAATAACAGACAACAGTGGAGTGACAGTAAAACGATACAGGATCCAGTTACTATTTTAAAAATAAAGACCGTCTTTGCACCCGTCCTCTGACAGTCAATGTCTGTACCTGTGTTCCTGTGCTCCTGTACCTGTGTGTGTACCCGTGTTCCTGTGTTTGTACCCCTGTTCCTGTGTACCTGTGTGTCCGCTGATTGCATGCAGGCCCTGGCCCCTCTGACAGTCTGTATCTGTGTGGGTGTACCCGTGTTCCTGTGTTCCTGTGTACCTGTGTGTGTGCCTGTACCTGTGTGTCCGCTGAGTGCATGCAGGCCCTGGCCCCTCTGACAGTCTGTGGTGTAGATGTTGCAGTCTCCGGCCCCTGCACTGATGAGGATGGACCCCCCAGACTCCGGACCCTCCATGAAGGCCAGGTCTCTGATGGTGCCGTCGTGTATACTGAACTCCAGGTCCGGTCCTGGACACATCAGAGTCAGTACCTGTGTCCAAACCAGTCAATACACAACAGAATAATAATGATAAAGAATATAATAAAGACCTGTGGCGTTGCAGGTTTGTGGATTAAAAGGCAGAACTTTCACGTATTTGTCGTTGGAGCCCGTGGCCAAGAGTCGCCCGCAGTGACTCCAGGCGACGCAGTAGATGGAGCCTTTGTGATGTTTGTTCCTTTGAAAACGCACTGCTGCAGGTTTGACCCCAGTGCTGCTGAAAAGAAGGAAAACACATCAAAAACGAATGAAATGCTGCTGTAGCCTTTGACCTGTACCTTGGGGACAGAGAGTCTGGGTACGCACAGACCCGCAGGGTCTTGGAGTTGGAGCCCACGGCGTAGAGTGACCCTGAAGGGTTAAAGGCCACGGCCCGCAGTGCCTGAGTGTCCTCCAGCTGCGTGACTCTTAGATATTGGGCTTTGGTTCTCCCGGGCTGTGGTAAAACAACAGCTGGTGACAACGTGGAAGTGGAGGTGAAAGTATCGTTCAAACACACACCTCTTGAGTCTGACGAGAGGCTGAAGTCTCTGAAGTCTTGGAAGTCTCAGGTGGATTCTGGACCCTGATCTTTTCAGCACTGTTCATCCCAACAAGAGAGAAGTAATGTAATGCATATTTGTAAAACCACATCAAACTAAAAGGGTGCACTATGACGGTATAGAGCTAGCCTGGTCTTACCATACCATTGTACTCAATTCATATAGTACTAAGGTCTGGATTTGCTCCATTGACTCCATTAACAGGTGGGAGGGGTTAACTCCTTTTGCAGATTGAAACAATTGGATATGAGTTTTGTTTGTAATGAGCCCGAGTGAGTCGTTATCATTTAGCCTAGCTTTAGCCATCTCCTTTGCCGCAAACGGAGCCCGTGGGGAGTAGCGCCACAATCTTTGACAGCAATTAATCATTCCTCTTGCTACGGCTTCAGTTTCTTGATAGAACCAGACCAGATAGAACCAGACCAGAATAATTTACCATTGCATTCTTCGCCATTGCCAAACTACAACCTGCCCGTTCGGCGCAAACTTGACATCACCCACAACTAACAACAACACCCGCCTTCCGCGCTCTCTGATTGGTCGGATGGAATTCAAACGGTTGTAATTGCAAACACAGGGACCAGACCCAGACGTTACATGCAGGAAATTATGATTGAGCGCAGTGTACAGATGGATAAGGCCAGGGTAGTATAGGTCTAACAGACATTAAACTTAGATTTTCTTAATTTCTTATGGTAAATTCAGTGGAAGACTTAGACAGACTTTGTTGATCCACAAGGGAAATTGCGTTGTCACAATAACAATCTAAAAATTAGAATAGAATAATCTGGATAGAAGTACTCAGGAATATACATATCCTGAGACTACCACAGGGCCTTCATCCCCATTGCTGTCAGACTGTACAATAAGTCACTGTAAGTCACTAATGCACTAGGACTGAAGAACCAGCTGCTATTCCCATTTTTTATTGTACATAATTATATCCGGGACGGACTATATTTAACCTTTAACATGTCGCAAATTTATGTCCTTTGCACAATCTGTCTGTGCTAATTTGAGATGTATGTTTCTCCAGTGAGAGATTAAAGTGATAGTCTGGAACTCTAAAATGAATTACAAATTTTAAGATATGTATTAAATTGACCTCCTGGCCTTAAATATTGATATGAAATAAGTCATTTTATGAATTCTAATATTACAGGTAAGTCCCGCCTTCCCTTCTCTTAGCTATAGCTAGAAATCCACGATGCCGTCCACGTTAACCAATCGAGTCGTGCCAAGGGCAATCATCAGCGCTGACGCTCGTAGCTGCGCGCATGCTCAGTTGTTTGTTTTCACAGAGCCTCTGAATCAAGCCTCCATTTAGCTCTGGAACTTCATGAAAACTTAACAAAGAATTCTGAACATCCGCGCCGAGTTACCCATTTATAAACTGAACCTATATCCATAATCAGATCCTCTACAGATGTGTCCTATAATGTTCAAGCAACGTTAATAGCTACTTCCGGGTTTACAGCGATTGCTTTTTTCATGCATTAAAAAAATATTTTTGTCATGTAAACGTTAACAAATAATTCTGAAAACCTCCGTGAATGTGTATTAACACCAGTGGGGGCGGGTCCCAGCTCAAAAGTGGCCAAAATGACGTGCGCTGACATGCTGCAATACCACCCCGGGCCGATGGGGGTGGACCCACAAGAAGAATTAGCCAATGCTAACATATAGCATTGGCAGACCTCTCAAAAACGTCTTTACAGGATGGACCAAAAGTTGGCTCTTGGCCCAAAGCTCCGTTCCACATGTGTGTCAATGCTGAGGGGGGTGGATTTTTTGGTCCACTCTAGTTTACTCGCTGTGAATTTCTGAAGTCTCTCGTTCAAATGAATGGAGCTGTGCCAGCTGACGCATGCGCAGATGCGTTTTTTCACAATTTTCTTGTGGGTGGGACAACTCGCGGCCATCTTAGATTGCTCCATGAAAGCACTTTTCATGGCCAACTCCTATGAACGGCGGAGATAGGCGTGACTCTGTCCGTTATTATATACAGTCTATGATTAATAATACATAAGTATAATGTGTTCTCAGATCAACATTTAAATGTGTTAAGGAAATGTAGGTGTAGACCAATCAGAAAGGAAGGGGGAGGGAGCTTGGGTCGTTTTTTTCAAATCCTGTACCTCTCTTTCTTTTTTCTGACAAACTCCAGACAATCACTTTAATAAAGTTTATCTTATCTTAATAAACTAACACATCTTCCTTACACACATGATTAATTCTCTTTAAGTTAAATCTGCTGTACCTAATTTTCCAACCACAAAAACTATAACAGAATAGCATCAACTATAGTGACTCACAGCTGGAGGATTTCTAAAACTTTATGTTTTATAAAGAACATGTTTTACAAAAATTATAAAACATTAGGTTTGGTTTGCTAATCAGCTTTAACAAAATTAGCATCATGCCAGCTGATTTTTCTTCTGACTTTGTCTAAAACTCATTCTTTTGTGGACGAAATCAGTTGAAAACAAAAGCGGCTAGAGACAAACTACCACAAGTTCCACAGAGTGTCTTTAACTAGTACCTGCAGCTGATGGGCACTGGAGACTCGCCAGGGCAGGGCATGGGGTGCTCTCCCGTCCTCAAGGGGGTGCTGCTGCTCCGAACACCGTCTGGCTTCTCTTGTGTGTCGGGCGTGTGTTGGTGGTTTGTCGTCCCGAGACTTGTGTGGCAGTTTCCCGTCAGTCCGTTCCACTGCTGCCCCAACACCTCATCTCTGTGCTCCAGTCCCACGTTCATCTCCTCCAACTTCTGAATAGATCTGCAGAGCGAGATGGGTCATACAGTCAGCAGGGGGCAGGGTCGAAGCCCAAACTCACCTGTTGAGGAAGGTCTCGGTGAGGTTGTTGTGGGAAACCTGTTGTGGTTTGACTCCTCCCTCTAAAAGCATCTGTTGGTACAGCTGCTTCTGCTGCTGTTTCTGTTCCAGATGTTGCTGAACCCGCAGACGTTGCCGATAGTACTCCTGGATCTGCTCGGTGGATCCACGCTGCTGCAGAAAAAGAGGGTAATAGTCAATTTTGACAAAAGATTGATATCCTCTAAAGGCTGCTCATCCGTTTTCTTCCGCTTCATCCGTTGCAGGGTCGCGGGGGGCAGCAGTCTAAGCAGAGACTTCCCTGTGCACACACACTTCATCAGCTCATCCGGGGGGACCCCAAGGCGTTCCCAGGACAGTCCCAGAGACAGTCCCAATATCCCCTCTAAAGCTGTACAAGCTCATTTTATTTTATTTTTTTTTAATTTAGGACAGTACATATTAATGTATCTGCAAACAGCGTCAACATAAATAAGCTAGAAGTAGTACAAACGCTAAATTGCATCTATTGTTATAAGGTCGGGACTAGATCATATACAGAATCGGGACAAAAGTGGAAGTAAACATAACCAACTACCTAAACTAATAGATCCATGCCTAAACTTGACCAGCCATTCCCATAGAATAACCCCAACCCACCCTAAACCCTAAACATAACCATCTTACTCAGTCACCACGGGCTCAAGTCTAAATCCAATTTGTATGTAATTTATATATATATATATATTATATATAAATAAAAATACATGTTTTTACAATATGTATGTAACTATTTTATAATCTGTAATGTACAGTATGTAACTGTATGTAACTTTTGTCCAGGACTCCCTTGAAAAGAGGTTCTTAATCTCAATTGGACTTTCCTGGTTAAATAAAGGTGAAATAAAAAAATGTCCATTGTCCTAAGGCAGGTAAGAAACACACAGATAAAAGGTAAAAGTACAAACAAAAAGTCGACAAGCACAACGTAAATAATTTTAAAAAGTCCAAGGAAGAGCAGATCATGAATGGGAGCAATGTTTCAGGACTCATTTAAATGTTCGGTCTCACATGTTAAGTTCGTATGTGTTCCAGAAAAGTGTTTCATAATGTTGTGCCTCTGATGCCGCCATAGCCCCAGAGGAAAACTCCCAAGGTCCATCTCTTCATTATGCAGTCCATAAAAAAACTTGTGAAGGACCCCATCATATTCAGCAGAGCTATTATAAACAGCATCTCATCGAACCCACACACACAAAACCATTTGGTCTCAAAACTTTGCTCCTTCCGATGGCGGCGACAACACATAAAGGTGAGGGATGATGGGAGCAGGCGGCCATCTTAGCCCTGACGAGGTACACATCAAAGCAGATTACCATCGAGTGTCCCTGACCCCCCCCTCCCTCATTGGGGGCAGTGAGGCGCAGAGGCCGCTCAGGTCGGGCTTGGAACATTACTGAGGATTTATGGGACGGCAGTAGCCTGGTCGTTCCACACCATAGTACGAATTTCGTACTAAGGTCTGGAGGTGCTCCATTGAGCTCCGTTTACAGATAGGAGGGGTTAACTCCTTTTGCAGATTGAAACGATTGGATCTGAGTTTACTGTGACGTATGTAATGCGCCCGAGTGAGTCGTTAGCATTTAGCCTAGCCATCTCCTTTGCCGCTAACAGAGCCTGTGGGGAGTAGCGCCACAATTTTTCCAGCGATTACATTTGCTAAACATTCCTCTTGCTCCGGCTTCAATTTCTTGATAAAAACCAGACCGGATTACTTTACTACCGCATTTTTCGCCATTGCCACCACAACCTACCCGTTCGACGCAAACTCTTGACGTCACCCACATCTAACTATAATAACCTGCCTTCAACGCTCTCTGAATGGTCGGTCGAAATTCAACCGATTGTAATCGCTAACCCAGGGACCAGGCCCTGACGTTACATGCAGTGAAATGATGATGAGCGGAGTGTACAGATGGATAAGGCCAGGCTAGGACGGCAGAGGTTTGGACCAGAGACGTCATGTGATGCTCTGACCACAAAGACATTTTTTATTTTGATTATGACCAAAACCTGGAAAGAAAACGTTGCACTTTAAGTGTAAATGTTCTCGCTTCTCTGAAAGAAGGTCCTGGGTTCAAATCCCGGGCGGAACAGGGTGTTTCTGAGTGGAGTTTACATGTTTTTCTTGTGTCTGTGTAGGTTTCCTCCAGGTGCTCCGGTTCCCCCCGCTCACTAGCTAACAAACTACCACTTTATTTCGAGCCATGGCAAACAAGAACAAAGAACAAAACAGACAAACAGAATAGAAAAAGAAACAATAAATGATAATGTAAAAATATACAGGTTTTATTTTATTAACAAAAATCCAGCTTGAAAAAGGAGTGGGAAGAAGTTAAGACATGAAAAAATGAAATGATAAAAATATCTGAATTCTGAACAATTGCAGCGCTTTGGGTGACAATGGTCTGTAAAAAAAATGTTTCGTAGAGCAAGTAATTTAACGGATTTAAATCTCAGTAATATATAATTAAATACTTTTTATTACCTCATGTGGTTCAGAGCTGGAGAGCGGTCCGCCATCTTTGCCCGGGGTCAGAGGAGTGCGGACGGTGTTAGGACCATCGAGGCCCTGTGGAAGTTTACTGCAAAAACAAAAAACAAACAGTTTAAACTAAGACCGGGTGAGTTTTGAAAATAATGAATCACATTTATTTCCTCATATTTGGACCATTTATCTCAATTTACAAAGAAATAAAGGCATAAAATATATTGAAAATACAAAACTGAAACACATTTCTAAACATGTCTTGATAATCTCCATCTACAAAGATTTGGATTGCAGTCATTCCACTTTTCCACAGCTCCAGCTAAAATATGATTACTCTGTTACTTTTTTTGATTGATCAAATAATGAAATATTCTTAAACGTGGAAAATAATTATAAAAAGGAAATTGAAATTATGAAATTAAAAATGTTTTGCAAGTTATATCGTTTATGTCTTGTTTTACACCCGCACATCTCATCTTCATCCAGCAGGGGGCATCAGAAGCAGCAGAATGAGAGCCATTGACTGATCGGAACAGTGAGGTTCTATAATGTATTATACATGGAATCTTTTATCATCGTATTTATCTTTTTTTAAACAATATAGGTTTGTTCACACTAAAAGGATTCAAAAGTGTGGCAAAGGCAAAAAAATAGATTTTAATAATCAGAATGTTTTTCATGTATCCTAATATCTGCAGTCCATCAGAAATTTTTTTATTTTATCTTTTTACACAGAGTGGAAACAAAGTGATGACTTTCATATTAAACCAATTAAATGTGAAACCAGACCATCTTTTTCTTTTGTCAAGTTTCATTTTTTGAAAAAAAAAATGGACCATCACATCTGTTAAATTTGTATTGATATTTTTTTTTTATGATTCCTTTTCAAATCAGGGCAATCAGAACTGCCACCCAATGCTTATAGCACCAGTCCCTCTGATCCTCTGCAGGTGGAGGGTCCACAGAAAGATGGCTGCTCCGATTTCCTGATGTGTTAATGTGAATCTGTGGAGTTCATCTTTGTCTCTGACCTTTTATTTCCTCTGTCACTGAGTCACTGAACAATGATCCAATCAGAGGCTGATCTGGGTTTTTAAAATTGAAATTGTATTTGTCAATCTTTCCATTTGATTTTAAGTAAGTAACTAAGTAAGTAATCTTTATTTATATAGCGCCTTTCTCAGACCAGAGTCACAAAGCAGTTTATAATTGTCATTTTAGGGCATTTGTCTCACTCCACACAGAGATTTTATCCACACTTTCTCTTTGGGACCATCTCTTTGGGACCATCTCTTTGGGACCATCTCTTTGGGACCATCTCTTTGGGACCATCTCTTTGGGACCATCTCTTTGGGACCATCTCTTTGGGACCATCTCTTTGGGACCATCTCTTTGGGACCATCAGTGTGTCTTACCGTTCCGGTGAGTCCTCCTGTTGGTGGCAGTGGTTTTCGATCAGGCTGCGGCTCAGAGCGGCCTTGGCCTCTGCCCCCATCCCCCTCTTGTCCTGCGCCGAGAGTCCATGTGACAGTCCGTCCAGAGCCGGGTTGAGGGACCTGGACATGTAGGTATCCGCTGAGTGAGCCCTCTGGTGGAAGGGCGAGGTGGGGCAGGGGGACAGGCTGTGGATCAGCGGGGTCAGCAGGTCTGCGTGGCCTGGCTTACACGGCTTTACCAGTTTGTCCACCTGAATGTTCAGGGTCTTCTGTTCGAACGCACAAGTGAAGACTCCAGACGAGAGGTTCTGAAGCCAGGACAGGAGCGACAGATCCAACTCTTCACAGCCATTTCCACAAAGTAAGTCCACTCCCAGAAGAACCTCCCCCTCGGTGATCTCCTCTCCGGTCGCTTTACTCTGCACAAACCAACACACACACAAAGGACAAGGCAAATTATGTGAATTTGTAATGCGCTTCATAGAAACTTGCTCCCACACTGCAAAAAACATATAAAATATGAGATCAAATAGCTTGAATCGAGTGGTTTTCATCTTAATCTGACTGCGTTAAAACAATGTGAAAAAACGCATTTGCGCATGTGTTAGCTGCAGAAGATCCATTCATTTAACGAGTGCATTCAAAAGTCCACAGCGGCTAAATTAGACTGGTCCAAGAGCCACTTTTGGACCATACTGTAAAGCCGTTTTCAAGAGGAAAGACGACGCCATACAAAAGCATTGGGTAATTCTCCTTCCGGGTACACCCCCACCAGGGGGAGTGAGATTGCAGCATGTCAGTGCACGTGCTCATGAACCTTTTGGAGCCGGTACCCGCCCACACTGCTTTTTACATGCATGTACTTTTTGGCTTCTGTCACATTACATCTCCAGATTTTTTAGACAGAAAAGTGAAAAATAAAGTATGAATGAATAAAGTTTATGTTGCGACCCGATTAGTTTTCATTTTATTTGTTTACAACTCTTTCAGTTGGGGTAAACAACATGAATTATATATGAACAAAATTAGGTCCCCCAGGTTTAATTATAAAACATTTAACCATTAAGGGCCGTGGTCTCTGCTCCTGATGGACCAATGTGTTTTTATGGTTACATTTTCCTGGTTTGATTCTCTGATCTGTTTTGGTGATTTCAACGGTTTTGTCAAGTCCTCTGAGAGAACTACTGTTGTGATTTAGGACGACACAAGAATACATTGAATTGAATTGAATTATTAAACCTATTTTCCAGTTAAGTTGGTCACTCTACTGTCTATTAATCCTTCCCCTTCTTACATCTGATTTTCCTCTGCCACCACCTGCCAAATACTGTATATTTCAACAGCTAATGTGGACGGAAACAAAACCAAAACACACAAACCTGGCAGAACTCCACACAGCACTCATACAGGATGCCTTTAATGAGCAGCTGAGAGAGCCGGTTGCCGCTGGCCTTAAAGCCTGCCTCGCTCAGCTTCCTGTCTGCAGGGATGAACTCGGCCACCATGGCACAGGCCTCCTCAAAGCAGTGCACCCGGGCCGTGCTGGGGTTCCACTCCTTGAACTCGGCGTGGTGGGTGAGGCGCGGCAGGGTCAGCAGCAGACACAGTTTGCTGTAGTCCTCTTTGGTCGGACAGAACTCCTCCAGACTGTTCAGACACTTCACCGCCTCCTGCATGGAGATCTCCAGCTGGGCCAGAACAAACACAGAACTTAAATGAGAACAAGGGAAGGAAGAGAAACACTAGGGTCTACAGCCTCAGTCCTGGGTCTACAGCCTCAGTTAGTGTCTAACTGTGATGATCCAGGACACTCTACTAATGATATGAACAAATAGATAAATAATAAATATTCATACATTCATGTGATCCTCTGTTGCAGACATTGCGTTATTTACACACAATGCTTCCAGAAACTTCTGTTTATAAATTATGAAGCGAAACCTGAAAACACAATAAAAAAAAGTCACACCAAGTTTTTATTTTCTTTCTTTAATAATTAAAAAATACCTTTTCTTGTCAAATTTCTCCAGTCCTTCTAGAGGTTGGATAAACTGCATAACTTCCTCCCATTGGCCATCCAACACAAGCTGCCTGAAAAACAGAAAATATTATATTTAAAAAAGGGTTAGAAAAGGGTCTCTCTGGCCTCTGTCTCTCTGGCCTCTGTCTCTCTGGCCTCTGTCTCTCTGGCCTCTGTCTCTCTGGCCTCTGTCTCTCTGGCCTCTGTCTCTCTGGCCTCTGTCTCTCTGGCCTCTGTCTCTCTGGCCTCTGTCTCTCTGGCCTCTGTCTCTCTGGCCTCTGTCTCTCTGGCCTCTGTCTCTCTGGCCTCTGTCTCTCTGGCCTCTGTCTCTCTGGCCTCTGTCTCTCTGGCCTCTGTCTCTCTGGCCTCTGTCTCTCTGGCCTCTGTCTCTCTGGCCTCTGTCTCTCTGGCCTCCGTCTCTCTGGCCTCCGTCTCTCTGGCCTCCGTCTCTCTGGCCTCCGTCTCTCTGGCCTCCGTCTCTCTGGCCTCCGTCTCTCTGGCCTCCGTCTCTCTGGCCTCCGTCTCTCTCTGGCCTCCGTCTCTCTGGCCTCCGTCTCTCTGGCCTCCGTCTCTCTGGCCTCCGTCTCTCTGGCCTCCGTCTCTCTGGCCTCCGTCTCTCTGGCCTCCGTCTCTCTCTGGCCTCCGTCTCTCTGGCCTCCGTCTCTCTGGCCTCCGTCTCTCTGGCCTCCGTCTCTCTGGCCTCCGTCTCTCTGGCCTCCGTCTCTCTGGCCTCCGTCTCTCTGGCCTCCGTCTCTCTGGCCTCCGTCTCTCTGGCCTCCGTCTCTCTGGCCTCCGTCTCTCTGGCCTCCGTCTCTCTGGCCTCCGTCTCTCTGGCCTCCGTCTCTCTGGCCTCCGTCTCTCTGGCCTCCGTCTCTCTGGCCTCCGTCTCTCTGGCCTCCGTCTCTCTGGCCTCTGTCTCTCTGGCCTCTGTCTCTCTGGCCTCTGTCTCTCTGGCCTCTGTCTCTCTGGCCTCTGTCTCTCTGGCCTCTGTCTCTCTGGCCTCTGTCTCTCTGGCCTCTGTCTCTCTGGCCTCTGTCTCTCTGGCCTCTGTCTCTCTGGCCGCAGAAAGTAAAGACACTGGGAAGTTGAAATAAATCCATCCACTACGAGACCATACTCCATCCCCAGTGTATGTAACAACAAACCCCACAGCATTAGCATTAGCATCCCGTTAGGCCGTACCCAGTGGGCGCGGGTCCCGGCTCAAAAGTGGCAAAAATGATGTGCGCTGACATGCTTGCAATACCACCCCGGGCCGATGGGGGTGGACCCGGAATAAGAATTAGCCAATGCTAACATATGGCATTGCCAGACCTCTCGAAAGCACCTTTACATGATGGTCCAAAAGTTGGCTCTTGGCCCAAAGCTTCGTTCCACATGTGTGTCAATGCTGAGGGGAGTGGATTTTTTTGGACCACTCTAGTTTACTCGCTGTGAATTTTTGAAGTCACTCGTGTAAACGAATGGAGCTTGTGCCAGCTGACGCATGCGCAGATGCGGTTTTTCATAATTTTCTCGTGAGCTGGACCACTTGCGGCCATTTTGGATAGCTCCCGTAGAGCACATTTTTTGGCCCATTCGTTTGAACGGCGGAGATAGGCGTGACTACGTCCGTTAATATTTACAGTCTATGGCCGTACCGCAGGAACAGCATGTCGTCAGAGTAGAGTCCGTTGATGACGCCGCTCTCCTTCTCCAGGGCCAACATACTGATGTGGAGCCGTCTGTGGTTCAGGAAGTCCAGGATCAGCTTGATGACCTCGGCCTCTTTTATGTGGATGACCTCTTCCGCCGTCATGATTCCACGAGTCCGACTACTGCTGACTATTACTGCGAAATACCAGAAGAATATTTACAAAATACAAGATTCAGCAGATTGATAATGTGCTTTACTCCCCTCTGAAATATGTCGTTAGACTGTGGCACAATTCAAAGTCTGTTTAGTACTAATAAATACACTCCACATTAAATATACAAGTTTAGATTCAATTGTGAAGATTTTAAAATACTATTTTTGGAGTATTATTACTTCAAAGAGCAGTATGTAAAAATCTCTCCCACTCTCCCTGACTCAGGTTGCCAGATATGCAGACGAATCCAGCTGGGACTATAACAGCTGAACAGACAAGAGTTTTGTCAACAACAAATCTATAACCAACACCTTTTTCACAAAGATAGAAATCCTGGTTTTATTCCTCGTTTTGTCGTTAATGATTTGAGAATCATAACGAGACCTTTTTTAGTTCTGCGCCACATGGTACTTTACCAGTGAGATTAGCTCCATGCGGTGAGTTCTGGCGCCCGGATCACAGACTTTCTGATTGGTGAAACGGTGGAGGGCGGGACATCGAAATGTAAACAATAACAAGATTTAGAGGCTGGAAAAGTAATTTAGAAATTCAAATCTCTCTGAACTACCGTTATCAGTCAAATAATTATTGGAAAAGAGCAGTTTATTATTATTATGACAGATTAGGGCTCTTTAATAATGTTCCTCTTGTACACAGGAGGCACATCCCAAACCTATTGTACATGTTTTTAGTGTTAGGGGAAACCCGAGCACTCGGAGGTAACCTTTGCCGACACACGGAGAACATGCAAACTCCACACAGAAAATCCTGGAGGTGGAATCAAACCCAGGACCTTCTTACTGTGAAGCACAAGCGCTAACTACTCAGCCACTGGGCCTGTTATGGTTATGAATGGTACAACTTTTCAGAAATATGACAACGTTGTACTGCAGGATTTTTTTGTTTTTGTTCTTGGTTGGATGAGAATCTAGTTTTGAGACTAGTTTTAGAATCCTTAGACAACTTCTACTACTGTTCTGTAATTTGTGATGCAACACTGAAATTTCCCCACTGTGGGACAAATTAAGGATCTCCTAATCTTAATCTTAACACATTGGTTTTCTTCATTTTGACTCATGACTGATAATAGAAGTCATTATGGCAGAAAATAATATCAATAATCCATTTTTTAAAGTATCCCATTGATATAGAACTTTTCTGGACATTCAAAGACATCCTCCGTACACGGTGGATGTGGCTACAACAGTAAAGTACTGTTGTAGCCACAGCTGCCCTAGGGCGGACTAGTGTGACCGTCAATCTGTGTCTGCTTCCATGTGTTATCGGACCAGTCTCATCCTACGCAATGTAAATGATGCCTTAAAACTCACTCACATCGGTCTCCCATCACACTGCACTGACCAGGCCTGGTCCTGCTTAACACATCGGCCTCCAAAAGTTATTTTCTAACAAGGCAAGAACAAGGAATCGTCCGATTTATTGAAGCATTTACAGCCAAGAAAATTTTGTGTGTGCTCCGTGTGTCTCTTACCACTGTCCTGTGTGTTGCAACAGTGAAATTTCCCCACTGTGGGACAATAAAATATCTTTAAAAAAATCTCTTGCTGTGCTAGAACTGAGGGATTTTATACTTGTATTTTTCATTTTAACCCTATTATGTTCACTTCTTGAAGTAAGCAATCTAAAAGGTTTCTTTTTCTGATTTTCTAATTTTTCTGAGCACCAATAACAAACAAATAATTATGTTTTTTGTTTTTGTAATAGAAATACATTATATTCATAGCCCTTTACCAAATGGCTGAGATGCAGTTTGATGGTAGAAGAAGTAGATTTTAGTTCCAACCAAGCTTCAAGTAGAAAATGGTGACTAAAAAAAGTGTTCTGGTTGAGGAAACTATTAAAGGGTAAAGGCACTGTAATTGTTTATTATTTATTTGAATGCCTTTTTGATCGTTTCTATCTTGTTTTGTTCAACCCTTGTAGTTTCCTTGTGTATAAATTGTGATATACAAATAAACTTGCCTTTCCTTCATCATCAATTATGCATTGTGTCTTTGTCTAAGAAGCAATACTAACAATATGGGAGCTCTTTACCGCGTCCCCCCCCCCTGCATGGTCCTGTCCCTCCCACAGATGGTACCAGACCATATGGATCTTACAGACCTCCCCTGGTTCTGGTTCTGCGGCCCAAGAACCCACACTCTCTCTGCACATTGTGGACCTTTAATGTGCGTGCGTCACTAACTACGTCTGTGAGCACTGCCTGGTGGTGCACGACTGGTGTGAAAGTGCAAAGCCATAGAAGAAGATTCACTGGTTTGTTTTGAGAATTACGCAGCAGCAGCACGGGCTAAAAACAGAGCTTACCTGCGTCTGCTGCAGGGTCCACGTCTCCAGCCCCGTGCCCAGCCCCGTCTCCAGGCCGTTTAAAGTGGCTCTCACAGGAGATAAAGGTTAGAAATCTGTGCAATTACAAAGAGGAATCATCTCTACGGGAGAGAGAAACGAGACAGGCGTGATTTCTGTTCTGTACACAGCTGTGGTTTCCATGAAGACGCAGCCTCAAAGCCCTGATTGGCTAAGAGGTCCGCTGGTCCCGCCCACACCGGCAGCACCTGTCAATCAGAGGCCCGTAAGACATCCGACCATGTGTATCCAAAACGTAGACTTTTACAGTAATATAAACATAGTAAACAGAAGAGGGCCTATTTTAAGGACATTTGTAAACTCTAAAGGGCCAATACCAACGTGTGTTCTGTTTTATTTCTCTATGTTTTGACTGATTGATTCTCTAATCTGAGTTGGCAAATTGTGTAAAGTCCTCAGAGAAAACTACTGTTGTGATTTAGGGCGATACAAGAATACATTGAATTGAATTTTAATATATTTGAGACATATAGAGTATTTTAGTAGAACCAGAGAGTTTGATTTGTTACAGTGATAAACCTCTGTCTGGGAATAAAAGCAAAGTCATAGATCATTAGGGTAGATCTACTGTAAATAGTGGTAGCATTGCATCAAAAAACATTTAAAGTTGTCAAAATGAAATGCAATTGTATATAGCTTTTTACACTAAATTCAATGAACATAGGGAAAAGGGACATTTTTTCTTTTTGTCGTCTTGTATTTTTGTTTTTTGTTATGACTCTGTTGTTTTCATTCCATGTTCAAATAAATGTTCATTCATTTGCTCTGAATGGACAGTAACTAGAGAGTTTGATACGTTACAGCAATAATAAACCCCTGTCTGCGATTAAAAGCAGACTCACAGGTTTATAGGAGGGTTTCCCAAAGTTTAGGAAAGAACCGCCCTTTTTAAACTAAACTCTCTGGTCATATTGGACGAGCTCATATCACCAGAAAGATTGGGAGGACCAATAGTCTTCATGATCCACCCGGGAGAAGACAATCCTCCTATTTATCTCTTCTAGACCATTTGTGATAAGTAAGTAAGTAATGTTTATTTATATAGCGCCTTTCTCAGACCAGATTAAAAGCAGTTTACAATTGTGGGCATTAGTCTCTAGAGATGGGAGAGGGGCCAGTACAGGAGGCACAGACCTATTGTACATGTTTTTAGTGGTAGGGAAAACCAGAGCACCTGGAGGAAACCTACACAGACACAGGGAGAACATATAAACACCACTCAGAAAGCCCCTGTTACGACTAGGATTTGAACCCAGAACATTTTTGCTGAGAAGCGGGAGTGCTAACCATTCAGCCACCGTGGATCTACTATAGATAGTGGTCGTAATGCATAAAAATGCAAATTGTCAAAATGTATAAACAAATGGCAGCGTGTGCTGTTTATGGATGAAATGGAAAACAAAAGACATTAAATTCTTGCTCTATTTTTCTAGATTTGAGGTAATTCCGTTTGTCCATGAGTAATATACATATGTGGATGTTTAGCTGTGTTTAACTGGCTCTGGTTTAGTGTCAATAATAATTACAAATAACAGCTGTTTGGCTAATGACCCATTTATTGTAAACAACAGACAGTTTGTGCCTAAGAACATCATTGGTGCGAAATCAGCATTTAAAATTACTATTCATGGAGACGAGTGTAAATTGTATATCTGAGAGAAATATGCCTGTATATCATTTGAACTCCTGTAAAGAGAAAAGTTTGTAACAAGGGGTAGGAAGCATAAGTTTCACTTCTACCTACTCCTTTTCGAATTGTGCATATATATGTTTATATGTTTCTTCTTTTTGTTTTGTTTTGTATTGCGCATGTAATTCGAAATAAACACTACTACTACTAAATCTGTGAAGATAATTACCACAAGTAAAGACACAAGTAAAATATCTTCACAATAGTTTCTTTATTGAATAAATACAGTCAAGAAATGATTCAAACAGGAAGATTAAGTCCTGATTCACACGATTGCATCTGCCTCAGTTTAGTAATTCCCCATTTGGTTTCACAGAATGCTAATCGTTCGCTAGCTTAGCCTTTGTACACTTAATACTAGCTTTAAAATAACAGTGTATACAAACTTTGTCATTGAACCACGAAACAACACAATCCCTGCGCAGACAAACCTTGTACCTAAAGAAAAACTGTCATAACTTTGCATGACAGAAAAACTCGATATAAGATAAATAAATACTTAAATAATACTTAAAATATATTATTCTCAGGTTTGTTTTGAATAGTACCCAGCATTTCTGTAAAAAGTCCTGAACATTCTTGTGTAAAAAGCAGAAACTGCTTCGCTTTGAACTGAACTCACATGAGGCTAATGTGAGGCTAATGCTAGCTGTATGGACCAACTTTTTGGCCATGTGTAGTTTACATACTTTTATAACAAAGAAAATATTGTTTGTTCACATAATACTCCAGTGCATTCCTACAACAAAATACTAAGACAAAAACATTCTTTACAAAAACAAAAACATTCGTTGCTTTGTGTAAATGAACCATTCATTCTGTCTCTTTATGTTTTGGCACATGGTAAAATCAACACCATCGGAATAACAATCAAAAATCCAAACATACATTTTCTTCCCCTAAATCCATTTCTGGGTCGGGGGCGGCAGTCAGAGCACCAGCCCCTGATCCTCCTGGTCCTCACTAATCCTCCTGGTCCTCACTGGTCCTCACTGCTCCTCCTGGTCCTCACTGGTTCTCACTGCTCCTCCTGGTCCTCACTGAGTCTACCGCTCCTCCTGGTCCTCACTGATTCTCCCGCTCCTCCTGATCCTCCAACAGGTGTCAATAACAACACAGCCTTGATCTTTCAGTGGGGGCTTCAGGCAAAGTGGGGTTAAGTGTCTTGCCCATGGACACAACAACAGACAATCCCAGTGAGAAAATGTCCTTCTCAGTGGCTGATTCCAGCTTCTTACCTTCATAATCACGGCCATAACCAGGACAAAAGTGTGGAAATGTAACAAAACATAATAACATTGGCTCTGCAGGTGTCTGAATCTCATGGATATGTACAGTGCAAAGGAGAGAGTGGTGTTTGGCACTAGCTTAGCCTGGTCTTACCACACCATTGTACTCATTTCATATAGTACTAAGGTCTGGATTTGCTCCAAACACTCCGTTAACAGGTGGGAGGGGTTAATTCCTTTTGCAGATTGAAAAGATTGGATCTGAGTTTACCGTGACGTATAGCCCGAGTGAGTGAGGCATTTAGCCTAGCTTTAGCCTTTAGCATAGATTTAGCCATCTCCTTTGCCACTAACGGAGCCCGTGGGGAGAAGAGCCACAATCTTTGCTTCAATGACATTTACTAAACATTCCTCTTGCTCCGGCTTCAGTTTCTTGATATTTGGATTGAACCAGAACAGATGATTTTACTATCACATTCTCCGACAACCAGCAAATTCAGCGCCAACTCTTGACGTCACCGACACGACCTACAACACCTGCCTCCCCCGCTCTCTGATTGGTCGGATGGAATTCAACCAAAGTAATTGTAAACACAGGGACCAGACCCAGACGTTACATGCAGGAAATGATGATTGACCGGAGTGTACGGATGGCTAAGGCTAGGTTAGCATTAGCTCTGTGGTGGCAGAACTTTCTTGGGCGTGGCCGGTTTCTTGGTCTGCCACAGGTGACCGTGGATGGTCACGGCGTCCACACTGGCCGACATTGTTTTGGCTGGTATCTGACTGAACTGCTTCTTGTCGGAGTTGTACTTGTAAAGGCCGTCGATCATCTTCCGTGTGACGCTCTTGGGTCCGACTCCGGCCAGTTTGTGGGTCTCCTCAGTCTCAGGGCAGTAGATGTACAGAGAACGGAACTGGCATCCGGCGTCTCGGAAAAGAACGAGGAAGTTGTTGGCTCCAGATTTCTCCATTTGCTAAAACAGATGAAAATATTACAGTATTTTTTGCTAAGTCGCAGCAGCTGAAAAAGCATAATAAAGAAGGAAAAAAACATATAATTTGCATTTTAGAATAGAATAGACATTTCATCTTAGTCATTTTCACTGTGAATTATCTGTGAGGTGCAGTTTTGATAAAGAGTAGGAGCCAAAATGTAGAAAATACAAAAAAGTCTATTTCTACAAGACAACAAAAGCTATTGTCCTAAAAATCACAATGGTGTTCAGTAGACATAAAAGTACTAGATTATTTTACTTTTTAATCTTATTAAAAGAGAAGACAAAATTAACTTTTTACATTTAACATGTCTTCATTCTTTGGAATCTTCTTAAAAGCTTATTAGCCCGGGCTATTATTTGATATTTTACAGTAAATAAAATATGTAATAATTTCACACATAAATTGCAGCCTTGGCCAAACTATGACAAAAACTGCGATTTATAATCCCAAATGATATTGTACATATTTGTTGTCAAAAAGACTTTTCTAAATGTCTTTTCTGTAGTAAATGTAAATGTAAAAACAAACCTCTAAGATCTTGTTCTTCTGGGGCTCATTGACTTTTCCCGCTAAGCAGCAGTAGGCCATGGCATTTTGAATGATGTGTTTATTAGATTTGGCACTGGGCTCTTTGTACAGCCTCGGACCTGAAAAACAGAAGGAGGAGTTCATATGAACGAATGTTTGGATCTCTTAGGTGCAAAACATAAGAAATGGAAAATGAATGAATTTGGCAAAAAGACAGTCGCTCTGAGACTGTATAAAAGGAATGGATTTATAAAGTAGATAAACCAGGCCTTGCCAGCCCCTTTCATGTAGCTCGCCAAAGGATTTAGAATTTAATGATTGAATACATTGTGAGTCATTACGTATCTATTATAAGTATACACATAAGGTCATACAGTATTACAGTATATTCTACATGTGTTCTTGTCATTATTACATAGATTTTTATTATGGCTGCTAAAAGGAGTAGCTCTCTGCCTCTTCTGTATTACAGTAGCTCTCTGATTGAAAAAGGTTGGAGACCGTTGAGGTAAACAAACCCTATGGTCTAAAACAGGGGTGCTCTATACGTCGATCGCAAAGGTAGTATTGGTAGATCGCATTACATTAAAAAAATGCATTTGCGTGTAGACAGAGATAACTGGAGTTTTGCGTTTTTGCACGCCACATCAGATCTTACTGCCTTAAAAACTGTTCGCTGCTGCCAGCCGTTTGCAGCAGAGAATATCCTCGCTCCACATCAGAGAGCAGTGATCACTGGACAAAACAACCAAAACAGGAGCTAAACCAGGATTAAACCAGGACTAAACCAGGACTAAACCAGGACTAAACCAAGACTAAACCAGGACTAAACCAGGATTAAACCAGGATTAAACCAGGGCTGAGGACGGGGGTCAGTGCTTGTAATCATATGTCTTCACCATGGATCTATAATAAAACAGTGCCTTGCGAAAGTATTCGCCCCCCTTGAACCTTTCAATATTTCGCCACATTTCAGGCCTCAAACATAAAGATATAAAAAAATATTTTTTTGTCAAGAATCAACAACAAGTGGGACACAATCGTGAAGTGGAACGAAATTTATTGGATAATCTAAACGGGGCGTGCAATATTATTCGGCCCCCTTGCGCTAATACTTTGTAGCGCCACCTTTTGCTGCAATTACAGCTGCAAGTCGCTTGGGGTATGTCTCTATCAGTTTTGCACATCGAGAGACTGGAATTCTTGCCCATTCTTCCTTGCAAAACAGTTCGAGCTCAGTGAGGTTGGATGGAGAGCGTTTGTGAACAGCAGTCTTCAGCTCTTTCCACAGATTCTCGATTGGATTCAGGTCTGGACTTTGACTTGGCCATTCTAATACCTGTTGGAAGATAAATCTCCGTCCCAGTCTTAGGTCTTTGGCAGACTCCAACGGGTTTTCCTCCAGAATGGTCCTGTATTTGGCTCCATCCATCTTCCCATCAATTTTAGCCATCTTCCCTGTCCCTGCTGAAGAAAAGCAGGCCCAAACCATGATGCTGCCACCACCATGTTTGACAGTGGGGACGGTGTGTTCAGGGTGATGAGCTGTGTTGCTTTTACGCCAAACATATCGTTTTGCATTGTGGCCAAAAAGTTCGATTTTGGTTTCATCTGACCAGAGCACCTTCTTCCACATGTTTGGTGTGTCTCCCAGGTGGCTTGTGGCAAACTTTAAACCAGACTTTTTATGGATATCTTTGAGAAATGGCTTTCTTCTTGCCACTCTTCCATAAAGGCCAGATTTGTGCAGTGCACAACTGATTGTTGTCCTATGGACAGACTCTCCCACCTCAGCTGTAGTTATCTGCAGTTCATCCAGAGTGATCATGGGCCTCTTGTCTGCATCTCTGATCAGTTTTCTCCTTGTTTGAGATGAAAGTTTGGAGGGACGGCCGGGTCTTGATAGATTTGCAGTGGTCTGATACTCCTTCCATTTCAATATAATTGCTTGCACAGTGCTCCTTGAGATGTTTAAAGCTTGGGAAATCTTTTTGTATCCAAATCCGGCTTTAAACTTCTCCACAACAGTATCTCGGACCTGCCTGGTGTGTTCCTTTGTCTTCATGGTTCTCTCTGCGCTTTAAACAGAACCCTGAGACTATCAAAGAGCAGGTGCATTTATACGGAGACTTGATTACACACAGGTGCATTCTATTTATCATCATCAGTCATTTAGGACAACATTGGATCATTCAAAGATCCTCACTGAACTTCTGGAGTGAGTTTACTGCACTGAAAGTAAAGGGGGCGAATAATATTGCACGCTACACTTTTCAGTTTTTTATTTGTTAAAAAAGTTTAAATTATCCAATAAATTTTGTTCCACTTCACGATTGTGTCCCACTTGTTGTTGATTCATGACAAAATTGTTTAAATTTTATATCTTTATTATATTATATTTAAAGCCTGACATGTGGCGAAATGTTGAAAGGTTCAACATTTTGAGTTTCTTCTAGGACTGTAAAAGTGCCGCTACAGAAGTACCGGCGTCAGCATCAAAGCTCCGCCCACTTCTGTGTTTTTCCCCCATAGCAGGACGCACATGTTTGGAATGTTATGAATGTCATTGAAAACGCAGATGTTCGGTTATGTGTGGATGCAAATTATTTCATAAATCATGCGGTTTTGCATTTACATCAGCATACATTGTAGATATAAAGAATCCTCAATAAATTTAGAAATAAAAAAAAGTGTGAGCACCCCTGGTCTAAAAGAATAACGTGACTTATACAATAATAATAAAAATACCGGTGTATTCTGTGTTGGAGGTGACAGAGGAGGTTGTGGATGCGTTTTCCCAGTCCTTCTCTCCGTTCCTGCTGCTGGAGCGACTTGGAGACAGGAATCCATCAGCGGAATCAGGCCTTTAAAGAAACATAAATCAAATCAATCACTAGATCTGAACTGATATTTTATACATGTAGAATTGTGCCCAAAGGGATATAAACGAAACTGTGACTACATGTGTTTCTTCCAAGCAGCAAAAAATAAAACTTTGAAGCATAAGGTCCAAGGATGAAGCTTAGTGCAGTAAATAAAATCATTTACAAAGAGTGAAACAAGCAGGTGGGTTTACAAATCCAGAACCATACAATAAAAATATCTGCAGCATAAATAAGTGTTGGTTGGTGACAAATTATTGAAGAAAAGTGCTGTTTATTAAAGATGCTATACCCAATTTTTTTTTTTTTATTGAGTTCATAAATAAACTCAATGCTACATACAAGTTGTATTATAATCCACAATTTAATGTAAAACTTGAGCTCATTGATTCAGCTGTGTATGAATTCAGGCCGTAAAAAGTGCTGAGTAGAGACTTAGCATGACGCCCGCTCTCCTCCAATCACAGAACGAGGCTGCGTCCTCTAGCCTCTACAGCGCTGCTAAACACAGTAGCATGTTAGCATAAGTGGCTATAACTCCTCCGGCTGTAACTGCAGACACAGCAAAACAGCCCAAACCAAACAACAGTGAGGAAGAGAAGAGGGAACTAAAGCCAAAAAATGATCAAAGAAGAATTCAAGCCCGGGTAACATAGCCAGCTTACATCGTATCCTCTGGAGAGACTTGTCTATGGGAGAGACCTGCGGGACCGCCTCGGACTATCTATGCTTGGACTATCTATGTTCGGACTATCTATGCTTGGACTATTCATGCTTGGACTATCTACGCTCGGACGTGAAGTTAGCGGTAATCTTTCAGTTATATATTTTGTTAGCAGTGCTTTGCTTTTGTACCATTTCATCAGTGATTGTTGTATGGCTTACAAGAAGTTTCGCTAATGCTAATGTTAGCATACGTATCGGATCGTATCAGAGCGTAGGGGAAATGAGAAGCCTGTGAGCGAGTTGGGGGCGAAGCTAAACATTCAAACCTTGCAGAAACGGGTATAGCTCCTTTAAAGACGCAAAACATTCCCAATAAAAAGCAAAAACATAAATAGTTATTTGTGCACGAAGCAGGCTGTAGCTGACATTCACCAAAGAAAACTGACCTTCGCCTCTTTTTAGGAGAACGTAGAAAATAGAAGAGACTGACAGAGGCTAAACTCGCACTTCTAAAGTATGAGATACACAGTTAGTCTTTAGAGTTTATACAACGCAAAACTGGATTAAAACACAGAGACATGTTGTAAACGGATCAGGAGAAAATCCACTGGAGGAATGCTAACTTTTTGGAAAATGCTAACGAAACATTTAGCATTTTACTTTGGACCAGAGCAGAGAAAATGGTCTGAACCAAGCTGCACCTCTGCTGCTGTGACCTGAAATCATGTTACTTATTATTACTACTATTAGCTTTTTAGAATGATCTATTTGGATGGATGTGTTTCTGCTGATGGGATCAATAAAGTATCTATGTATGTATCAAGCGCTTTGGGTGACCTTGGTCTGTAAAAAGTGCTATATAAATAAACATTACTTACTTACTTACTATCTATCTAATATTAAACTACACAAGACACTATTGTTTGAATATATATCATCTTAAACTTAGACTTGGACTTAGGCAGACTTTATTGATCCACAAGGGAAATTATGTTGTCATAGTAGCTCACATTGTATTTCACTATAAAAATCTGAAAATAATGAGAATAGAATAATCAGGATATAGGTACTCAGGTATATACATATCAGTGAATATGTACACATTTGGGTGAGTCCAGAGTCACAGATGATAGAATGAGCACAGGACAAGCTGATATGGTCTAATGTAGTGTAATTACTGTGTTATTCTAAAGGAGTTATTACCTTGAAAGTCTATTCTCACTGTCGTTATCCACCTGACTGAGCGAGGCCAAAGACAAGCTGCAAACTGAAAAGACAGATTCTGTTAAAGCGGCGTGACTTTATGGAGAGGGAGTGTCATCTTCATGGTTCAAAATATTTGCAACAAAAAGATAGTTTTTTGTTTTCCGTGGTCACCTGTGGCAGCCCTGACGGGGGTTTTGGGGGAGTCCAGAGAGTCCCGATGGACGGACTTGGGCCTCGCTCGCCTCTGGACCCGAGGTTTGATGACGGTCTCCATGTCCTCCATGAGCTTCAGCTGCTTCCTCCTCAGATACTCCTGTTTGATAAACTGCTTCCGCGCCTTGTCCTCCTCCTTCCGGATGCGCTCTTCTTCTGCTTTGACGCTACACAACAAAATAAGTAAATAAACATTCGAAAAGCACCATTCACAGATACAACTCACAAAGTGCAATACACCAGAGTGCAATAAATTATGACATCAGATAAATGCAAATGATAAAAATCTGACCTCAACCAAAGCCAGTTTTAAAATAATAACAGTGTTTTTAAAATAGGAAAGAATGTTTTGGTCTACTGCAATAAGCTTTGTATGAAATAAGGTTTAGTTAAAAGGTAAATCTTCCTAGCAATACAAGTTCATCCATTCATCTTCTTCCCCTTAATCCAGGCATGTCGCAACTCAGGCCCGCCGACCAATTGCGGTCCTCTGTGTCATTTTATGTGGCCCTCTGCTGCTAACACAAAGCCATTCAGGCACAGTGTCATCCAACCAACGTCAGCTCCACCAATACAGTAATGCTATACGTTGCTGTAAACCTCAAACCCTCTGGAATCCAGCTGTTGACTTTATTGTCACAACATTCAAAAAAATAAAAATAGTCATGTCTTTTCACACAGTGCTCTCTAACGTCAGACTCTGAGCATTGCTGTATTTAGAAGAACAAAAGAAATGTTGATTTTTTTGTATGCCTTTTTATTAATTTATTCTGATTTAACTTGTTTGCACCGAGAGCCAAAGCAATTTCCTAGTTTGTGACTTCCTGTTACTCACATGGCAATAAAAAGGATTGATTTAGGCATTATATTTTGGTTATAAAAATACATTTGTAGGCAAACTTAAAAACAAACCACACACTTTTAGCCCATTATTTAATGAACAGCTGAAAGGTGAATATAAAGGATGTACAGACCGGGCTTCTTCCTTCTTCAGCTCCAGCTCAGCTTCCAGTTGCATCTTTCTTTGTTGACTTTCCTTTTCCCGTCTCATCCTTTTCTCCAGTAAAACCGCTCTCTTCTGGGCCATGTTCTCCTCAGGTTTACCGTCCTCCTGCAAAGCAAAAGAAAACACTTTTACCTATTTCACATTACTCCTATCCTGAAGTCCCTACACTGGCTCCTGTCTCACACAGAATACATTTTAAAATTATAGTGCTGACATTCAGGGCTCTTCATGGTCAGGCGCCTGAATACATCCAAGGCCTGATCCACCTCCTCCAACAGGAGCCTGAGGTCCTCCACTCAGTCCCTGTTGATGGTCCTCTCAGAACCTGTTGATGGTCCTCTCAGAACCTGTTGATGGTCCCCCGCACTCGCTTTAAAACCAGAGGAGACAGATCCTTCCAGGCAGCTGCTCCTGGTCTTTGGAATGAGCTTCCTCAGTCTCTGTGTATGTTAGAGACTGTCGATGATTTTAAGTCCCAACTTAAGACGCATTTGTTTAGACGGGGTTTCTCGCCTCACTGTTCATAGGCCTCTGAACTGTGTTTTTCTGTTTTTTGGTTTTAAATCCGACTTGTGTATTTTATGTGTTTTAATGTGTGAAGCGCTTTGTGATCCTGGTCTGTGAAATGCGCTATACAAATAAACTTTACTTACTTACTTACTTACTATTTTACAATAAGATAAAGCAATGTACTATTCATTATGTAACTAACAAATTCTATATGAGAGACTGTTATGGTAGTTAGCACTCTCGTTTTTCAGCAAGAAGTTCCTGGGTTCAAATCCTGGTCAGAACAGGGCCTTTCTGAGTGGAGTTTACTTGTTCTCCCTGTGTCCGCGTAGGTTTCCTCTGGGTGCTCCGGTTTCCTCTGGGTGCTCCGGTTTCCTCTGGGTGCTCCGGTTTCCCTTACCACTAAAAGCATGTACAATAGGTCTGAATGTAATGAATGAGTGAATGGATGGCGTTTGGTCGGAGGCTTTGATGGACCAGTGTGTTCGGCGTCTCGCTTCAGTCATCACCGTGTGGAGAGAATGGAACAATATTTTAATTCTGAACAATTGTGATGCGCTTTGGGTGACCTTGGTCTGTAAAATGCGCTATATGAATAAACATTACTTACTGAACTATGAAAAGTAGGCATCTGGACGTCTTTGTTAAACCACTATCTTTATGCCATCTGAAATCTCGTTTGATTCCTTCTGTGATCCAGTCATGAGTAAGTATTACAACCTTTCCTTAAATGTCTCCACAGCTGTGCTTAAATTATTCACCATAGACCCAGTTTCATGACCTATATCAAGGCCCACAAGCCAGAGATGTGACTATGGGTAGCGAAAAGATAGATAGATAAGTCTGATAGTCAGATAGATAGATAGATAGATAGATGGAGATAGATAGATGGATAATTTATTGATCCCGGTAGGTTAAATTCCGATGCTCAGCTAGTTGTATTTGAGTCATATAATAGTATATAATATTCATTCAAAACATAATACCTTGAAGAAAAAGCCCCGACATGTCTTGGGATCCTCGTCCGGGTCGTCCCCAGCAGCAGGCTCTACATCCAAGGCATCATCCAGGGCAAGATCCTCAAGTGATTTTACAACCGACAGTGGCACCTCAATAAGGTTGCTCTTTGCTTGTTCTGAGGCGTCCAGGTCTAGTGACATTGTGGAACTGTCTCCCACTGGATACGAGAGAACTTCCGGGTTTGAACTCTCCACATCGCAGCTTGAAGTGTGGTTAAGAACCTCGTGAATTAAACCGAGCTCTCTAAGGTTCATTTTGTTGGGTGACGTTGGGAGTGACTTGGCTGCACTTCTACCACTCTGCGGTTTCTCTCGAGTGTAAATAGACTCCATTTCCTTAGCTGTTTCGGCCATCTTTGTGCTGGCAGACGCTGGCTTCTCTCCCATGTACACAAAGGAATTCGCTGAGGGCAGGCAGGGAGAAAAGCGGCGTAGTCTTGGGATGCTGTCTACAGACTGCGGGACGTTAAGGACCCGGTTATAAGGGGCTAGTTTGAGTTCATTGGGCCGAGCTGTACGTGTGTTGCGGGAGTGGAAAGAGGCGGATTTGCGTTTGATGCTGGTGGGGGAACGGTGAGTGAATCGTGGGGACTCTACAGGCGAGGACGGACCTGAAGATCGGCTGACTGCTCCGCCGCGATGGTATTTTTGTGGATTTGTGTGAGACTGTGGTATGACCCAGGCCTGCTGCTGCCCCCTCATGGCCATAATTACTTCCTGCTGTTGAGACAGTCGCTGCATCTCAGACTGAAGGAAAGCCAGAGAATGGTTGAGCTTTTCAATAGAGCGAGTGTATTCTGAAAAGTCCACTTCTGTGATCGGAGGATGGCTCTGGACTACTTCCTCTCCGGCACCGGGCGACTTGGTCCAACACGAGCTGGTGGTGCTTTGCTCAGCCCCATCAGGTGTGTCTGTTTTACTTCTACCAAATTTGAAGGTAGGACTTGCCGTCTTCGCTGATTCCTCTTCAGAGCTGGCAGCGCCGTCTCCCTTCCTCTTCATGGCATTGAGAAACGCAGAGTGACCCATCTTTTGGCGATGTCTAGTAAAAGCAGCCTCTACTTTCTTCTTCTGTGCTTCAATGGCTTTGCGTTTGTCCTCCAGACGTATCCTCAGCTGGACCATCTCTGTGGCCATTACCTGAGCAGGGTCATTTGCTGGGAGCTGAACCGGGGATGGAGATGGCTTAATTAAGGGAGCGGGAGTGGTTGGTTGATGGACCGGACTGTGCTCAGGAGTTGGAGCCCAGGAGACTGATAACGGCAAACCCAATTCTGAGCCTTCCGGAGGCGTCTTCATGGAGCTGCTACTACCCCGACCCGAATCCGGTGCAGACGGAGTGACCTTCTTCATCTTCTGCTCTGCAAAACTAGTCATCTTCAGGCCAGAGGGAGATTTGCTTAGATTGCATGGACTAGGGCTGGGCGTATCCATGTCCAGATCTATATTCATAGAGCAGTCCTTCAAAGAGGAATCCTCATCCAGCATATCGTCTGAGTGGATGTGAATGCCAGTGTCTACCTCCGCAGTGTCAGTTGTTTTGGAATCTGACTCGGAAACAGTCTCCAAGCTCCCAACCCCAGTTCCACGATCCTGACAGTGCAAAAAGAACCCACTGTTGGTCCCTTCCACTGGTGGTCTGCTCGGGCTTTGGATTAACTGCAGAGCGTCCTCCATTGAAGCAGCCGTCGCCGCCGTATTGCCATGTGCACTGGGAAAAGCTGGTTTGCTCTGCTCCAGACTGGAAAGACTGTCTGCACAACTCTCCTCTTCAATCCCAATTCTCTGCCCGTTTACCGGCTGGAACGACAGGTTACGTTTCATCCCCCGAGGAAGGCTGTGGACTTTGAAACCAGCGCCATCATCGGTGCTCACAGACCGCACCATGCCTCGTGTAGAAAGGTTCTGAGCAGCAGCAGAGTCGTCTTTGTCCAACGGGATATCGAAAGACACCCCATAAGGCCCTGACCTAGTGAAACGACAATCACAAAAGGTTTTCAAGTAAGATGGTATTTCAAGATGAGCAAAAAATGGGTCTTATTACAAACCTTTTCTCTTTCGGCCAGGTGCCAAGATTCCCATCAACAAAAGACATTGAGCTTGACCTCTTGATATCTCCTTGATGATTTTAAAACAAATATTCATCAACATACAAATAGTGTACATAATAATAATGTTTAAACTGTAATTTGTATGTTTTGTACCTGAGTTTTTTGGTTGAGGTCTGAGTGGTAAACTTTATTTAAGGGATAATAATGTCAGAGTTAGTATTGTGAATATTTATCATAGTATTGTGATAGATAAAGTAATAACCTGGGTCTTTCAGGACTTGGAGGTTGTTCCATGAAGCTCCTCTTGGTTGCCATAGAGACTGATGGTACATCTTTTAACAAGGAGGATGATACTGAGGTTGGAAGAAAGATAAAAAATTACATCTTATATAATTCTTACTAGTACAATCTCTAAAACAAACCTGTGCGGTCAGAATCCAAACTCCTCGGCTGCACAAACGACGGCTTCGCTACTTCGAACCACCAATAAAGCTCTGCCATGAACGCCAAGTAGTTGTTCTGTTAAAAAAAGACAATAAAAACATGATGTCTTCTGGCCTGGTCTTACCACACCATCGTACTCATTTCATTTCGTACAAAGAGACATGATAGAGAAATGATAATTGACCGGAGTTTACAGATGGCTAAGGCCTGGCTAGATGGTTACTGGTTACTACACACTTCTGTCCAGCAGGGGGCTCTAATAACCTTTAAACTAGCTTTATTATGCAGCAAAGGGTGTAACATGGCTGAGTTCGTTCTCTGCATATTGAATATCACTTAATGAATTAGATTATCCTCAGAATATACTCCTTTGCCTTACTACTCCCAGTTCATGCTACGGGCTGTTTTTATTTTATTTTATTCCATCTTTATTTTTGTAATACCTGTATGTACATTTTAAGTTGCATCATTCTACCTGCTGCTGTATGTATGTATGTATGTGTTTATTGTATACAGTAATTATCTATATGTTTTCTGAATGAAGTATCACAGTAGGGGGTGGAGTGGGATCTGAGGGAGCAAACCTGTCTTGTGTGTGTTAAATGTGAATTGTTTGTATTGTATTATATGTATTGTGTTCTTTTTTTTAACGGGACCCTCTCAAAAATGAGATTCTGCATCTTAAGGGGCTTTCCCTGTATAAAAATCAAATCGAATTTCAAAAAAAAAATTCTATTTATAAAGCGCTTTTCATACACACCCACACCCAGGCTATATATAACACTAAATTATCATGTACACTATCCAGATTGAAAGCAGCGGTCTGTCTGGCTGTCTACACACACTCGGTAAACTCACTATAGCTCTTAGGTGGTGGCCAGCTCTTGTGATGATAGTCGTCAGTGATTAAGGAATTAGCCTGGTTTGGAGATTAGAGGTCAACTATTCTGTCTCCTTTGCATCACAGAAAAAAACAGAACAAACTAAAGCTGGGTGCGCACTGCAGAGGTCAAAATACAGAGTGAGGTAAACGGGAACGGGCCTTCTGCTGGTGCCCAGAGTCAGAACTAAACATGGGGAGGCTGCATTTCAGATTTATGCGGCTAGGATTTGGAACATTCTTCCCAAAAATGTGAGACAGGCAATCTTTAAGTCTATATTAAAAACGGTTCTGTTTAGCTGTGCATACAACTGATTGATTTTATTTTTAGGTGCACTACGGCTATTTATGATTTTTATCCCATGTGTGATTTTATTTTTAATGTTTTTAAATTTCCATGTGATCTCATTGTGTGTTTTTAATGCCCTTTGGGATTTTAATTGTATCTTTAATGTTTATGTAAATAAATGCACAGATGTAAACTTACTGCTGCTAATGTACAGAAGTAAACGTACAGATGTAAACATACTGTTGCTAACATGTACAGATTTAAACATACTGCTGCTAACATGTACAGATGTAAACATACTGCTGCTAATGTACAGATGTAAAATACTGCTGCTAACATGTACAGATGCTAACATATAACTACACTTTGCTTGCACTAGAATACACAGTACTTTATACCTGCCTCTTATTGATAAATGTAAAACTTCGTTCGTTATTATTATTATTATTATTTTCAAGATAGAGTTTTTAAACTTATTATTGATGCTAGAGTTATGATATTGCCGTGTGCTCTTCTTTCCTACTGTTCTATAACTTGTGATGCAAAAGTGAAATTTCCCCACTGTGGGACGAATAAAGGATCTTTTAATCTTAATCTTAAACCAGAAAGACATGTAGATTCTGAAGTGATATTGATATTATGAGTAATAACTTTAATACTGATAGTATGCCTGTTTTCATTCTTAAAATGAGTAATATATATGTATATACATGTATGTGTGTATGTGTGTTTGTGTGTATGTGTATATGTGTGTATGTGTATGTACAGTATGTATCAATATCAAACGCACACATCACAGTTCAAGCCCTGTCTGCTGAATCTGCCAATCTGTCATCAACCATCAAAACACAAAGTGAGAAACCGCACGGAACGGGGACACGAGCCAAACGAGAACAGCAGAACTGCAGCGACCTTGAGGGAACACACCCCCCCTCCACCCCCCAGCCCACCCCCCCCGCCCCCACCCCACCCGGCTACACTCCACCCTGAGCAGACAAAAGACAATGCTGCGTGGCTCAGCTCCAAAGACTCAGCCTGAATCTCACCATCAGCAAAACTCTGTCCTGAACGGAGTGAGCCCGACCCACAACTCTGTATCACAGTCATATTTCTAACTCGCTGACTCCGGCTCATAAGAACTAGTCATTTAGAGCAGAAACAATGCATTTTACTGCAGCACCTAAAATATACAGCATAATTACCTATTTATATGGTTTCGCATGCAACGCTGACTATGCACAACACCCATTTAATGTAATAATAATAATAAAAAATCATTATTGTATAAGACTGACAATAAGAAAACAATGTTTACTCTCGTCTCTCTCTTGTAACTCATGGTCTCTCTCTGATGTTCCTCTCTGGTCCCTCTCTGCTCTCTCTCTTGTCTTTCTCTGGTCTCTCCCAGAACCTGCATCCTCTCTCTGGTCTCTCTCTGGTCTTACCTCCTCGGGCAGGTGGTTCCAAAGCCAAGGATCTGCCCAAGATCATAAATATCGCTGGGAGCCAAATCTTAAAATCAATTCTAAAACGCACCAGGAGCCAGTTGAGGGACACTAACACAGGGGTAATGTGCTCCCTTCTGTTAAAACCAGTGAGAAGTCTGAAATGTCCACCAACAAAAAACTTTATAAAAGCATAGCAGCTTGTTTAAATACAATACAATAACAGGCATATATATAAGGTTAAAACATGTGTACAAATGAAAACAAGTAAAGTAAAGACCTCCCAAGTCCAACCATTGACGAGAGCTCTCACAGAACCTGCCTTCTCTCTCTCTGTCTCGCTCTCTCTGGTCTCTCTCTGGTCTCTCTCTAGTCTCTCTCTGGTCTCTCTCTCTAGTCTCTCTCTCTAGTCTCTCTCTGGTCTCCCTCTGCTCTCTCTCTGGTCACTCTCTGGTCGCTCTCTCTGGTCACTCTCTGGTCTCTCTCTGGTCTCTCTCTCTGGTCTCTCTCCAAAAAACTGCCTGCTCTCTTTCCGTACATAGACTAGTGACACCCCATGTGGCAAGGTTATCCAAAATGCAGTCCTAAGCATTGTCACAAACTCCATCTTTAACAATCCCTGCAGCAGCAACGACCCCACGCTGCGTTGCCAGGTCTGCTGCGTTGCCAGGTCTGCTGCGTTGCCAGATTTTCGTCAGGGTGCTCGGATATTTCTTCTCGTCCTGTTGGGAGGAAACTAGACCAGGGACGTTGGTGATTAATGACCCAGCGGACCGGGTTGAGTGGATTGAGAGACCGAGGACGGGAAACGCTAATCCACTCTCGATGGTTACAGAGAGAGTCCCCACTCCGCTGCATATGTGGGTTTAATGCACACACTTAGGAGGGTATAGGTACTTCAAAATAAGAAATGCATTGAAATATTTAACATGTTACATATAAATGCAAGGGAACCATGTAAGTAATAATTTATTTTTGCTGGTTAAGTGCAGGTCAAGCCACATACGCTGAACTATCAAATGGTTTATGGTTTACTGTTGATCACGATCGCCTGAATTCAACTGTGTGTTTTGAACAAACGTCGGGTGCCCATAACAAAACCTAGTATTAAAAATGTAGCTAACTTTCAAACCATAAAAAACATGACAGTAAAAACCATCAAAATACATAGTTCCTTGCTCTACGAACTGGTCACTAGTTTTCATATGCATCTGTTTTTGGCCTTTTGTTGAATAAAAAAGTGAAAAAGAGAGACCCACCCTCACTCAGCCAATCAGATCTCAGCCCAAAGGGTCAAAAATGACTCACAGGGATCTATTTTTACAAGTATGCATGTTTTTTTCATGAACATGAACACAACATGTTGGGATTGGTTTGTTTAAATTTTCAACATTTTACTTTTGCAAGACAATGTAGTTTACAGATGTAGATTAGCACAGCTGCTTCAACCTGGGACAAAGCATCTCTCTTTTTGAATATTATTTATTGTACAATGTCCCTGCAAAATAAAAAAAACATACCATACCATATGATACAATAAAATTTGGGTACCCCAGCTTTAATTATCTATGTAATGTATTTATGGTTGGGAAGCACTGAGTGTGAAACTTTGGGCCGATACCGATGTTTAACATAGAAGCTTGGCCGATGTTCTTTCTTTTTGTTATTGAAAATGTATATATTTCTTGGCGGTTTCTTCAGTCTTCTGTTTTCCTTCAAATTCATTCAATGAGATTCTTTAAATGATTTTCAAGCCGCCCTGATCTTTTTCTGATACTGTAAAATATCGCCCCATGACAGCTGCCATTTTCTTTGTTTCTTCTACTGAGGAAAGTGCATAGACGCCCTCTACTGGTGACTCTTTGCGCGTACCAACATCGGACAAATGTCACATTTATTTGCTTTTGGTCGTAATTGTAAAAAACATCGACTGATACAGATTTTCAGCCCAAGAATCGGTGAATCTCTAATTTATGTTATTTCTATGTGTTCGGTTGGCGGTGCTAATAAAGAGCTATTGTAAGCTACATACATAATTGTGCAAATACAAAGCTTGTGTTGATAAATGAGCCATTTCCTAGATTTGCAGATAGTAATTTAGATGTGTGCGTTAATTAAATGGAAGCTAAATCGGAGCCTTTGGACAAGATTTATAATCTAAAGACCTTTAGGAGAGAATAGCTTTGGCTAATGCATGTCGTGATTTATGAGAGTGGGAGTGCGTCTGGTTGAAGCTATTACGTCTGGTTTTTATATGAATCAATACAAAGATTGTTAAAAGCAGGCTGACACTACTGACATCAACCAGGACTAATCAAAAAGCATGCAAATGTAAAAAATTTAAATGTGCACTTTATTGTCCCCGTGGGGAAATTCATCCTCTGCATTTGACCCACCCTGATGCCGCTAAGCCTTAAGTCAGGAGCAGTGGTCGCCGTAGTAACAGCGCCCGGGAACCATC